CAGCTGCAGTGCGTTCTCTTTCCCAAAAAATAACTGCGAGCCCTGCTTGTTCTCATACGACTCGCACAGGATCTGAGATGATTCGAATAGCAGGTGGTCGTGTCGCGCCCAGTCACAGTTGACGACATAGTCCTCCAGCAACTGCCAACTCAGCCCACCGTCTGACGTGTACTGCGCTTGCGCGCGACAATTTTCGTACCCCATCTGGCAATCCACATCACCGATCCAGATGAGATAGGAGGACTTGGTCTGGAAGTGGAGCACTGCGGCCCCGAAGGTGTTGGGAGGCGAAGGCGCTTTATTGATATGCCAGTAGAGACCTGTGCTTGTCGTGTCATAGAACTTGTTAGTGTCGGTGATGAGGTATGCGCGTTGGTGGAAGTGCGGGTGCATGTAGAACGCGAGGAAACGCTCCTCTGGGTACCTTTGTTCCCATGTGTAGCCTTCATTGTTGGATTGCCATATTGAGAAGTCAGCAAGACGGACAAGGACGGTCTGGGGAGGGAGAGCTGAGCTGAGGTCTCTACATATCATGACGTACAATGCCCACCTTCGAGCCTCTGAAATACTCGCGCTGCACAATATCACTGGGGAATGGATGCTACAATACCGTAAGTTATCCACACTGAGAACAAAAGCGAGAACGGAACACACAATCTGGTGAACAATCTCTCCTTCGACAGGTAAAGCTGCAAATGATGCATCAGGCACAGACGCTCCACCACTTCTAAAACACTTACCTCCCAAACAATATTTGGATACGGGCTCGTCCTTGCGAATGCCGCCCTCACACTTGTTCCCTGGGATCTTACGATATCCCGATGGTCCAATGTACCTCTCGTCGGGCTTTCCGGTGGTGCACTGGATGCCGGGTATGCGCTCTGGACCCAAAGGAATACACATATTATCGCTCCATACGTAGTTGTAGTCACTAGATCGATATATGAGCGAGTAGGATTGAGGGACAGACGAGAAACGACCGACCACTCATAATCATGGTCCTTGCACGGGCACTTATCGTCACGAACTTCAGGATCATGGAACTTCTCCCCCATATAGCAATCTGCATTAGCCTTGCGCCTGGTATACCATAGCTTTGAAGTATATCAGCAAGACGATTCGCATGGCAAGATTTGCATCAGCAGCTGACCTTGGCGCCCATAATGCACTCAGAATTAAAATTGGCTCTTGCGTACCATGGCTCCTTGTCGTCAGGACCACACTTCGGGCGCCCGAGGGTAGCAAAGTCGAGGTAGATGGCAACGTTGTGGCTTATACCAGGTTGTTGGGGCTGTGGTATCACTTGGCCGAGGAGGAGAAACTTCTGAGATGCCGAATCCGATACCGTTGTCAGGCTCTTGGCACGAAATTGGATGCCAACGTTGTACAACTTCCTATGGGGCGGGGCAGTTCAGTATATATGCACACGCAGCGAATGATGGGGCGAAAAGGCATACCAGGTATGGCCCATGTCCGTAGAGTACATGATGGAGTCGGTAGGTCGCTGATCGTCGACCGTGACTATTACGCTTCCGGAATCGCCGAATCCATATTGACATGTGCCTTCGCGGACCATCTTCCATGTCAGGCCGGCGTCAGTGCTCATGTATGTGTTGCTGTTATCATATGGTGCGAGCGTCTTTCCGACAGAACCCAAGCCCATGACGAAGCCTGGGGCAGGGGACGACAAAACGAGGCCATAGTTGTACATGTCTGTCACCGAGTGCAGGTGCAGGGAGCATGGGTCGTACGAGCAGGAACCGCTAGGAGCGAGAAGAGGAGCCCATGAGCTGCCTGCGAAGATGTGAGGTCAGTTCAAAGGAAAATACATAGGAAACACCGTTCCTCACCGTCATTGAATGTGATGACCGACTGTAGCTGCTTGGCTGGAATATTCCTCTCGTATTCTTGCGCATTTGCGACGACGTTGGCGATACCGATACCCTCAATGTCATAGATGTTCTCATAATCAACGTACCCCGCCATATTCCTGTTCGTGTCCTTCAAGCTCTCCACAAAGTAGGTGCCATTGGAGTTGCTGACGAACAGGGTACCGGTGGTTATATCGTGTACGACGACATCTACTGCTAGGGCGTGGACTGTACATTCGACGATGGTGTATGCGTTCTCCCGTAAGTGCACCTGGGAGGGGAACTGTGCCTTGACCCACTCCTTCGTGTCCACAGTAACATATAACAGCATGTCACCATTGCTGCCAGGCATCAAGTCCTTCAGCTCAACTACGGCGAACTTGGACACAATCGAAAATGTGACGACACCCTTGGCGTTATTCCCGATGCCAAGGTCTTCGTTCTTTTTGGTGGCAAAGAAATCTGTGCTGGAGTAGAGACGACTGCTTTCGATACTGTGCGCACCAGACATTACAGAAGAGTCATAGGCGACACAGTAGATGAGGTCGTTGGAGGCGTCGTGCTTAAAGTCTTTGCTGCTGTGAGCGAATTGGCAGCGAGAGACGTCATCTAGGAGTACTTGTGGTGATGTTGCAAATCCATCTTTGGTGTAGTATGTCTACATAGAAATTTGGATACGAGTAATAGAAACAAAAAGATGAGCGCGCACCACGTCTCGACACCGTTCTCTCCAAGGAGTTTGGTCGCATTTGGTGGCCTGGAAGAGAATATAATACCATTTGCGGGGATCTGAGTGGAAGGAGAGTGGTTTTGGGACGTATGCTACCAGCTCAGGGACATCGAATATGTGCCATGTCTTTCCGCGGTCGTCTGTCCGATAATGCGTGAGAGAATTTGTTAAGACGAATGCCTAGAGAGAATTCGGTTAGATCAACAGCCACGTCAGGTTCGAGGCAGGATGAAATATACTGGGAAGAAGAGTATGAACTATGACGCACCACGCGATTGTTGAATGGGTGCTCGATAAACATTACAGCCTCGCCAGGTGGTATATCATCTGCGCGATCCCAGGTCTTGCCTTCGTCCTCAGAAACATATATGTCTTTGAAGATGGCATCGTAGTATATCACACTCTATAAGTTAATATCAATGATATTGAAAGTGAACAATGAGGCAGATATGAATGCCTCACAGTCGCATCATCGAAAAAGAACAATCGGGCCGGTTCATTGTCGAAGTAGGTTACGGCATGTTCTGGGTCAGTAGCAAACGCAGCACCAAAATAAATGAGAAAAGCAAGCGTTGACCATATGAAAGCGATTGTCCCATGGCAAGAAGCCATGCAGGATGTTGTGGGTGGAGAGAAGTGTAGCGCACGTTGTATGCCGCTGTGACACTTGTGGGGAGTCCCACTGCCCGTAGCCCGTGGGTTAGTGATTGAGAGCAGTGTCTGCCAATAATAATCTGGCATCCCACCTAACTTGCGGCGGCGGCCCGGGGTGCGTCAGACTGAACTATGGCTGCCCGGAATCGAAACCTAGTAGAGAAGGGTCCAATTGCAGATGTAAGAATACATTATTGAGGCTGCGAGTACCAGTAGCCGAGAGTAGCCCATTATGTAGTGGGATCCACTAGTACTACTTTGAGGAAATGAATAAGGGCAACGTATCGTTGATCCTGTCATCGTCACTCCAGCACCGAAAATCAAGCTCTGCATGGGACACTTTGACCCGTGCTAAGACTGCCTTGAAACTCGTTGATATTGGAGAAATCGCTAGCCGCACTGGGGCCACGGTGTGAGGAAGAAAACGAAGATGTGTAAATAGAGGTAAATAATGCTGTTAGTCACTGCGACCGTCTCCTGTCCGACTCTCTGGCAGTTCACATGTACTTATATGCAAGAGCTCAGACGACTTCACAGTTACGAGCACTATGAGCACACCAGCAGCCGATTCAAGATAGAAGCTAGGTCCGAAATTCGAATTCAACCCACTGGGAGTCTGGGAGTCGGCACTCCATTCCCTTTGAGTCTTTGACCTAGGCCCACCTCGTCTTCAAAAGCTCCAACACAAAATATACCTCCAAGATAAGTGATTAAAGCACTGCTTTATTTGCTCACGAGGTACCTCGGGCCTACCATGGAGAGATGCCACCACTTGACTTTTATAGTACGTATCTATCTTGGGCGAACCAGGTTATGAGACTGATGTTATGTTCCGCATAGTCTAAGCCAGGCCATCATTGCGAAGAAGATAGCCCTTCTGGATTCTGTTTAGTCAAAAATGTGGCGATTGGGGCAGCTCATGGTAAGGTTCGCCGACCTCAATGACGTCCATTTACGCATTCCCGTTGCAGCATCTCGAGCATGGGATTCAATGTGTTGTTATACTGGTCGTTTATTTGCACCATAGCAAGTTCAAGGTCGTTCGTCGGGGACATTTTTTTAAAGGTTGTGCCAGGTAATGGCACGCGGTCAATAGTGTGGCAAATAATGAGGAAACCTACTTGACAGCCACTCGAATCTGACAGACGCGTTCAGTCAAGATTCCGACGGTTTTCTATGCCGATCTGCTCTTGGCACGCGAGCTTCTGCCGACGTTTATGCTCGTGGATGCATTGTGAGCGTGCTACCAATGAAAGGCGGGTACAGCGATCATGCGCTAATTGGCCCCGAACAGAGCTAGCGCTGGTACAATCTCCCATCAACATGCCAATTATAAGCACAAAAGCCGTGCGGTTTGAGCACTTGGACTGGGTGTCTCAACATTGTTGCGTTCTCAATCAGTGGATACTATATTTACTACGATTAAGAGCCGGGAACATCGCACTTTGATTCAGCGTCTACAATCGTAAGTGGTTACCCAGTGCACATACTGACCATGATCAACGGTTGCGACAAATCTCTGACGTGTGTAGAACAAAGTTTGATGATGTGTTACTGGAGATTGAACAGCATGAGCGGGAGAAAATTGTGAAGGGGTGCGGGCTTCGCATCATGAATGTTTACCCGCTGCGAACTCACACTTCTATTATTGAATATGTTGACACAGGAGCATTGCTGTAAAAGAATACCGGAACCCAGAATATCGAAAATTTCCACGATGTGAAGTAGGTTCTTGTATTCCAGGTACAAATTCAAATGGTAAATTCACCCTTTCCAAAAGCCTTCGCGTAGCCCTTGAGCCGGACAAGACCTTCATCCTGATTCCAAGCCACCCACAGCTCTCCTCCACGCGGGCTCACCTGACGAACATGCATCTCCTCCTGATCCTTCTTCCCGAGCCGACTCGCCCAGTAAGGTACGAGCAACGTGTGCGCACTTCCACAGACCGGATCTTCAGGGAGATCTGCTGCAGGCGCAAACATACGTGAGACGAAGATTTGATCAGCGTCAGGCGTAACGTGCGTGATGATGTTGATGGTATAAGAAGTTTTGCGCTGGCGATGCACATTTGAGAACGGGGTCTAAACGTATGTGACATTGTATGCTTACCAGGACTTCTTTATCTAATTTCATGTCGCCTATGTTTTCATTTGGACCGACAACAATCATCAAGTAGTCACCCATCTTGCCGTCGCCTTTGGCGATATACTCTACCTGCACATCCCTGCCGGCGGCCTCCTTGATTATACTTGTAATCCTGGTCGTCTCTGCGTTCAGAAAGGTGGTCACTGGAGTGGCGGGGAGTGCAATCTCGTACATTTCGTCATCAGATTCGCTGTCTGTGACCATGTACGCAGAAATAATGGCTCCAGCCTTCGTGCGGAACTTTACTTCGGGTCCCCATTGACCAAGGGATGGCAAGGTGTTTGTACATAGCGCTTTCGCTGAAGCGAACATCCCATGTCCACAGATAAGTGGTGCATAAGAATTGATATAGTACCGAACGTCGAGGAGGGTAGAATCGTCCGGAGATAGCGACAGGAAAACGCAGATGGGCTGCGCGAATGTGAGACTGATTTTTATCATGGTTTCTTTGCTCAATGTTTCCGGTTGGGAAAGAAAGCCTGGTGGGAGAGCGACGACAACAGCTGGATTACCCTCGAAGGCTGAACGCCCCCATGCGTTTACGATGACATAGGGAAAGGTAGTCATATTGTCTCAGGGTGAGATGAGGGGTATCGATATCGTGTTGTTGAACCCGAACTTGAAACTGAAGACGAGTGAGTGTGACAAGTGGATGTACCTCAACTCAAATATCCTTGTTAGTAAGTTTATCACCTGGATTGGATCTCACTCACGAGCTGGGAGAAGAGTGGACGATGGGTGATTGCATTCACCGAGGGTCCCTTTTATTGAGCAAGTACTGGCTCTGTTCTAGGACGTCAAGACAAGAGGATGAATCCAGTGTACATAAATGTGCCGTTTGACGTGCTTTGCCCTAGGTGTCGGAACTTGCTCTCGTGACCAGATGTTGTAACACTGGATTGCTATGATGTTTCTGGAAGAATTGAGGTATATTCATATCCGCCTCATGGTACGAGGTCCAGCGCGGTGAATATCCTGATACAAGCAAGGTTCACCTTTACCAGACCCAGCAGAACAAAGATTTTTGACGGACTCGGGGACCTAAAACACACCTCATGTTACTAGTGCAGCATGATCCGTATCTGAGTGATTCAGCCAGACAGCTCGCGGGCGGGTTTCATTTGAGTTAGCACTGGATGACTCCACATACTTGGGCACATCAGCGGTGCCGCTGTTCATTTTCAGCGAATTTGGAAATGCATGAATGCGCCACCTAGAAAGTCGCCCGCATGCTGAGCATATCACAAAATTTACCAGAATGAAACAATGTCTTCGTTTTGCAGTCGGGGAGCAGCTTAGTCAGCACGTATCAATAGTTTGTTTCTCCATCGTGTTCAAGTTGATCATGTGCCACACGGAAGTTCATCGTGACAACGAGCTTGGAAGTCTCAGGCTCATACTACAGACCTTGAGGATGCGAGGGGAGATGTTGGTACGCCGTCGAACCTTCTATCTCCATTCCTCAGCTTGAACACTCAACATGATGATCTTACATGTCATGCAGTGCTTCATCCGTTCGGAACAACTTGAAGTGCCTGTGCGTCCAGTTCCACAACAGCCCTATGTCATGGTATTCCCTATATGTCCTCCCGTCGCATTGCGATGAATCGTCAATGCCGCCACCGTCATCGTCCAATACAATACAATCTCTTGATCCCTAATCTACTGGCGTCCAGTTCGAGCGCGATTCTGAGATCCGTGCTACGATATAGTACGGCACTTACTACTGATTTCCTCGACGCTCGTCCTAAGCTCTCATCTTGGATCACACTAACATCTCCTCAGGCGCCCTTTGAAGAAAATCTGAACGAGGCCGGCAACACTATACTAGCACAGGGTCAAGCTTCAACTTCGCAACCACTTAGCTCAGGTTACCTTTGCCTGACGCGTCCTCACAGAAGACCGACACATACTCCTCAAAGAATAGGCCCACGATTGGTCCACGACGTTGCTTCAGTCTACAGTCTAGGCAACTGCGAACTGCATGGCGCAGATCTGCAAAATGGCTGTGGGACTGGCACGAATAGCTCGAGGCGTGTCTCGAGGCAGACATAATGGACATTATAGTTGTTGGGGTTAAAATCGGTAACCATATACGCACTCGTCAGACATTTGTGTTGACCACGAGCCAGCCTAAAACAAGAACGTGTTCTATACAGGTCCCTTCCTATCCTTTGTGAAACCTGAGAAACTCTCCATCGTCAATATTCTCGAGATTACACCTTCCAAGGCAGCAGTGCCAGATGTCATGAAACCGATTTGCATGGATGTAATACAGGGTTGACTCGCCACTCAAGATGTACATACATAGCGTTCGTGAGGGTGATAATGACTGACACAAACGACTAATCATAACCAGAAGTAGTTGATGATCCAAAATTGATCTTCAATGTTTAGATTTTCATAGTGATCCCCTTCCACACCCGCATTGCGCCATCCCTTCCTCTGGTCGCAGGACCCTAACACAACATGCAGGCACCGTGATAATCAGGGACTAATAACTTCATCACTTTTGATCATCTTGTCAAGCATGTCGCTGGCCACAGTCCTAAATTCTTTCACCGCAACGGCAACCCCCTCTCCCTGCTCTCCCTGCTCTCTTTGCTCTGAATCTCGCTCCTCCAGTGTTGTGAGAGTATAGTCCACATATCTGATGAGATCTTTGAGATCAGATTTCGAAGCAATCTCCATGTACTTTTTCGTGCCTTCCACAAGGTCGGGAAGGAACTCGAAATAGTGTATGTCGTCAATTATGCGTGCATGCCTCCATGCACTGCTCATCATGACCCACCACTGCCGGTCTGTAATAGAATTGAGCGATGTGGGCGACAACTGTTCAGGTACGATTCGGAGGAGGATGCCAGCTAGGTAAAATTCATGCGGCATGAAGCGAACCTCTCTAATCATGCTGATGCACCGGTCTATATGGTGATCCCCAAATAAATGGGAGTGCCAGTTGGAATTCCTCGCGAGGGCAAAAACCAGTTCGAGATAGCACTCGTCACGGTGATAATCGAAAACGCCGTCAGGGCCATGATCTGCAGGTGTTGAATCTGGTCGCGGATAAACCGCGGTCAGAATAGCGGGGGAGAGCTCTGTCAAAACCATGTCCCGTACGTTTGCATCATTAATCGCATGGATCGATGCCATTTCTTGTCGGATATTGTGAACAACACGAAGAGCGGCATGACGTAAATTGTAAGGCTTGCCACTGCCCATGCAGGCGACGAGGCTCTTGATAAACTTATGTTGTTTGGCGGTGCTGCAGCGGACTCCTGGGTTACCCAGTAGCAAAAGGATGTCATATGTCGTCTCGTGGTCGTGGGAATGAATGTAGTCGAGGCAGTCCACCAGCCAGTCCAAGTTTTCTGGCGAGGGGGAATCACCCCGCCAAACCCGGGTATACCACAATCTGCCAGGGTCTCGGGATATGCCCGCAGCAGCGAATGTGAAGTGCAGCGCATTTCGCAGATTTCTTAAGAACTTCCAGGGATAAAATTGTTTGGATGACTTCGCTTGTGAATAAATCTTGCTGCACATGTCCAGGTTCTGCATCGTGTGGGATGAAGCAACATAGTGGCGTTGAGCAGGCTCGAGAATGGGACAGATAACGTCGAGGAGTTTCCATGCCCGGCGTGCGACTCCTGTGGTATCTTTGTCGACATCGCCTCCATCACATGCCCAGAGAACCTTTTGGAACTGCGTCAAAAGGGACTGCGCGAGTTGAGGCAGAGCAGAACTACACAATTTCATTGTTAATGATGGCAGAAAAACTACCAAAAAAGTCAATGGCACCTTTTATCAATCCGAACTATATCCTTCTTGTCGAATTGAACCCCGATCATGACGCAAGCGAGAAGAGTGCAATTGGCGACGATTTGATTCGACGGAGAGGACTGAGGGCTTAGTAGTTTCGATATCACTTCTTGGGCGAGGTCTTCTACACGTTCATTCACTCGCCCGGTAACAAAATGGTAAGGAAGAGAATGTGACACCCACTCCAAGACAGAGATGTCACAATCCGCCAACCAATTGACCTGACTCAATCGGTCCCAGCCATGATGATGGTCATGTTCCGGATGACAAAGTTCCATGGTCGTGTGAAATACCGTGTGTTCGGCTGTGCGTACGCTGGAGTCCACCCTCATGCCACGAAACACATCGTAGTCCCTTGTCCCGCGGCCAAGAAATTCACCATGTTCAGGAGATACCTGGAGAACGCGGGCGCAGTATAGATGACTCAAAGCCATTATACACGCAGAGGCCTTTTCCTTGAACGACGGTACGATTTGGTTCTGAATATCGACGCAGCTAGTATAATTATCATACAGCTGAGGCAGCATGTCTGACACGTCAAGATCCAAGGGCCATTCGACGCGCGGAACAAGACTGGCAGCCGCGAGAAATACTTCAGGATCCGTAGACGTCTCGAGCAGCCACTTGATGCTAGGTGCTTCCAGACCGGCAGTGGGTTTGTCAGGGAGGTTGAGAGTAAGGGTGCGTTCATTCTCCGCCAAAATGTCCAGGTTTTGGTCGGGCGATTGTCTTTCCGGGTCCGCGACCTTTGTCAGGGAGCGCAGAACCACAGAACGCAGTCCGTTATAAAGGGTGAACAACTTCTGAAGAGATTGCCATGCAGATGCGCCGACCGCACGTATAGGGTCTGGGGAATGAAATGGGCACTGGGTATCATGTGTAACAATAGATAAGAACATCACCTCTCAACAATTGCTTCCATCTCGATCCGACGGTGTCAATCAGTCGCCGCAGCACACCTGTCAAGGAAAGGTCAAAACCTGTGGACACATAAGAAAATATAGCTTACCGAAGGCTGGTTTAAATATTAAGAGTAAAACTCCTGCAATGTTGGTTCAGACAGGAAACGACCACCAGAATTCACAAAATGATCTTACTGTCGACGCGCAACAAGCGCAATATCGTCGATATCGGCGTTTGAAATGGACAGGAGGGAGATATCAAACACGCCATCACGGTCAGCGAATAAAACAGAAATCCGAACGCCGTTGTCGCAATGATGACCCAGGCGATGCTCGACTGCTGGGTCCACAAATTGGCGCTGAGGGCAATCCCGAACAGAAGAAGGGAGATCTGAAGTAAGACCGGAAAGGATTGCACGACAGCAATGAAATACCATGCCATGAGGCCGTCGAACTTGTCTTGTCTGCGCGATCCTCGTTCCTCCTGCGACCCACGACCGTATCTATTCGACTTGTAGTACCCGAGCCACTGCTTTCCCAGCACGGCTCCGAAAGCAGCGAGCAAGCTCATGGACAAGCTTGCGTGTGCGATCATTTGGATCCATACAGTCGTCGGCGACGGCGACCACGTAGATGCTGGAGCTGCGGCTGCAGAACCCGCTGCAGTGAGGTTCCCAAGTCCGATTTGTACGAGTTGTGTTAGAAGGGCATTCGTAGCGTCGCTGGGGTTGGGATTGAGATTGGACTCCATCGCCACAATAAAAGACGTGCTGACAGCGGAGAAAAGACCAGACTGATCAAACATCAATCTGATGGCGAATTGAGGATGAGCATGCGACACGCACGAAGACCAAGACAATGTCCATGTCGCTGGTATAGAGGTCAAGGAACTCGCCATCGTGCTCCTCCGCGACTCTTTTGTACACCCCCCAGAAACGAGAACGAGGGTCCTCGTCGCTCTTTGACGCAATGGTGGATTTCTGGAGAACATCCAATACTTGTGTCATGAGACTTGCTCTGCGTGTAGGATGTTGTCAGCTACGATCGCTCGGCTGAATTTTCGCTCACAATTCGCTCAGAGTTGATTGGTCCTTCTTCTCCGCATCCTTCTTCTCCGCATCCTTCTTCTCCGCATCCTTCTTCTCTGCGGCCTTCTTCTCCGCGTCCTCCTTCTCCTCCTCCTCTGCGGCCTTCTTCTCTGCAGCCTTCTTCTTTTTCTCATCGTCCTTCTCATCGTCCTTCTCCTTCTCCGCGTCCTTCTTCCCAGCATCCTTCTCCACCACGACCTTCTCCCCCTCGCTGATACAACATATGAGCTTGTTTGACATCGATATGATATTGATAGGGACTTACGGAGCTAAATCATCATCTGGTGCAATATTCAAGTTGTGGGTACTTTCCTCTACGCGAAGTTCTGATGCTTGGTAATGCTCGGTGTTCGAGCTGCAGTTCTGGTGAGGAACACCGACACATTAAGGCAGAAACGCTTACACCCCTGAAGGCAGCACCACCGAAGGTTCACCATTGATTTCATCCCTGTCTTGCTGTTAGGTGGGCAGCAGACCATGAAGCCGCAACTTACTCGTTTGGGGGTCCTACGGTGTCATTGTCCGGGTGAGGCTTTTCATCGTGGTGAGCGCACTGATTCTCGGTGTGGTCGGTGCCACCTGATGCTTTTGACATGACGAAATGGAATTATACTGAATCCAACGTAAATCCAGTGAGATTTGGGAAGAGTGTGAGGTGAGTGGGCAGGGAAGAGTGGTGGTACGCAACAAGCGACTTGGGCGGCAATGAGCTTGAGCCATGAATGCATTGCAGAGTTGTTCGCTTAAAGAGACGCTGATCACATATAGCTGAACTTACTAGTTTGGAACCCGCACTGGAGAGTCGGGGAGTAGCTTAGTCAATTAATATTAATAGTTTGTTCTCCATCAAGTTGATCATGTGCCACATGTACACGGAAGTTCATCGTGAAAGTAAACTTGCACGCTATCATTTGCTTGCTGCGGTTCTGGGCTACGAGCCGTTCGTTCTTGTCTGATGGTTCTTGAATCGATGTTAGGTTACTTACCTTGCAAGCTTTGATCCGACGGCATGATGGCGACCATCACGGAGCATCGAGTCATGACCGCTCTGCTATACAGAGGCGCCTAGACTTCGGATCATGTGCATGAATCGCGATAAGTTGTTGATCCTATTTAGAGACTAAATTCGCTTCAAAACACCAGCTAGCACTCAACTGCCACTCTCACGACGTGGACATCCAAGCGGAAACTTTTCAGGTCAATCGTTCCTTACGCAATGCAGTTCGAGTCGGTGGAGCGGAAGCAGGCAGAGTCCCACTCCAGTTCTGTGACGCCAGATTTGGCCTCTGATAAGCCTGCGAGGAATGATCTGGAGGACAATCGTTATCATACGGGATTCCTCAGACGTACTACGAATTTGCTTTCTCGGTATGGAATTGAAACTCATGGGTGAGTGAGATGGTGTTGCTGTGATGTCTGTCTGAAGCATTTCTACCTGGTACTTGGATCAGCATCGCACCAGTACCAGCAGAGGAACGTCTCGAGACTCGATGGTACCAAATGTTTTTCGTTTGGTTTTCTGCCAATATGAACATCTTGACGTGCGTCTCAAGTTCTGTCTCGATTCACTTGCTTTCCGCTGAATGATCGAACCACTTGACTCTCGCAGATTCAGCACCGGCACTGTGGGACCTGCATTTTTTGCTCTGGGAGTTAATGACTCTATAACTATCATTGTCATTGTTGACCTGGTGTAAGTGCAAATAGTTCATACAAATATCGATTTGCAGTGAACGGTAGCTAGGGTCTGCTTATTGCCCGCGTTCTTGTGAGCTTTATCATTATTATCTGGACGTTTGTGAGGACTTCATGATGTACAGTGCTGTTTTCGGCCCAAAGCTTGGCACGCGAGCTATGGTACAAGCAAGGTTCTCGTGGGGGTGGGTCACGTTTACTTGTTTTTTCGATTGCTAATATCATTCGCTGACGAATATCAAGGTATTTCGGTGCTATCATACCGACGGTCTTGAATGTCTTCTCCATGCAAGGCTTCCTTATCCTAAACTGCATCGTTGGTGGACAAACGTTAGCAAGCCTGTCTTCTCGCCTTGATGATACTCTTGGTATTGTCATCATTGGTATCATATCTCTTGTGGTACGTCAAATTTATTGGTGTTGCATCAAAATGACACGTTTCAAAGGTCACTTTCTGTGGATACCGCATCATCCATTGGTGGGATCACTCTCCAACGTACTGTCCATAGAATCCTGATCGAATTTTGATTCATAGGTACGAAAGTGTCGCCTGGATCCCAAATGTGATTACGTTTATCACCATGCTGGCTGTCGGCTATCCACAACTACGCAGCAACCAATCAGCTCCGGTCTCTCCAGCAACTGTCGCTGAGGTTATCTCTTTTGCGTCTATTCTCGCATCTAGCATTCTCAGCTGGTGTCCCATGACCCCTGACTATGGCGTATACCACAGCCCTGCTGCTTCCTCGTGAGCTTCCTTGGACCATGCCTGGGCTCTCCTTGACATCCTTTTTAGTGCAAGAATTTTTCTCTACACGTATCTTGCGTTTTTCACCGCCAGTGTAAGTCCTCATGTACTGTTATCAGCGCCATCGTAACATTTTTGAAAAGGTGACCGCCCACACCATCGGTGCTGCGTTCGCAGCCGCAGCTCCTAACGTGCCTGCTTGGAATGCAGGATTTAACAACAGCTCTTCCGTCGGTGGCTTGTTATACAGCGTGCTTCTACCTACCGGCGCATTTGGGAAACTTCTGACCGCTTTGGTCGCTCTCAGCATACCCAGCGCCTGCGCACCGACGATGTATACTTTCAGCACCAGTTTCATGGCTGTCGCTCCGTGGTTTGCTGCGGTGCCTAGATGGGTATATATCCTCATCTCAGAAGGAATGTAAGTATCTTCAACCGTCATAAACTCTTAGTGATGTTCATAATCTGTGTTCAAGTCTGATACCGGTGGCCATTGTCGGTGCCAAAAGGTTTTATACCACTTTTGTTGACATCCTCAGTACGAATCCGAAATATCTGTATTCGTGACTATCACTGATATGTTTAACCCTCAGACATCATCGGATACTGGTCATCGGTCTTTTCTGCGATTATCCTCACGGAACATGTGTTATTCCGGCGAGCCTCGTTTTCTGAGGATCAATATCCCATCACGACTTGGGCTTCGTATACTCTTTTGCCTAGCGGGATCCCGGCGGTCGTGGCTTTTGTGTGCGCCTGTGGAGCTCTTGTTCCATTTATGTCACAGGCTTGGTATGTAGGACCAGTGGCGAGGCATGGGAGTGGAGACGTTGGGGTGTACGTGGGGTTTGTGGTTGGGGCTATCGTGTACGCGTTGGCGAGGGGTTTCGAGAAAACGTGGTATAAGAAGAAGATGAGTAAATCAGATGCGTATCCCGGACTCTCACAGTAGTGAGGGGGAAGGTTTTGTTGATCCAAATCCCCAGCATCTGTACGCTTATGTTTAATTGTTTGAAGTACAGTTCATGATGAAGATAAAGAGGGTCATCTTCGTTCACACTACCCTGATGGTGGCTGAGCTCCCAACTCCTACCCTACACTAGCGGTTCAAGAAGGGGTCATTGTTGCAAACAACGTCTACTCTCTAATTTCGAATGTTATTGCCAATCACTATATCGTATTGACAAAGTTCGACCCTCACTTCGATTGGATCGTTTTCGTAAGGTTAGTGTAGTCTGCAACATTGAAGTGAAAGGATAAAATATCAAGTACTTTTCAACACGGTCAAGGGCTGGCCGGAGGTCGAGCCGATATTATATGCTCCTACCTACTAAGCCTACCCAAGCTTGATAGAACATTTCTATACTTAGTATGTATGCCTCGAGTCTCGTCAAAGATACCCGATGAAAACAATGACTCGTCAAAACTACGCAGTGATCACTGATGAGTCGATGCCGCCTGGGTCTTGGTAGCAACCGTGACCAATTGGAGCCGGAGATCTCTGGCGCACAAGCGCCGCTACGTTATTTTTAGGAACTTCCTCTGGCCTTACGGTACTACACGAACTGCTACGAACTACCGTAAGCTCGCATCGATGAACGTAGTGTGGCATGCAGTACTCACATACGTTCACTGGCCTTGGATCCTAGGGATACACAACATCGAGAAGACGTCAACGATTGATCAATTAATGATCATGCTGTTTTGATTATCCATGCTTCCGAGTCCATGTGGTAGTAATCCGTAAATTTTCAGATCCCACTTCATTTAGGGATAGGTCACCCGAGATTGGAAGTCGGTTCAGATCAGCGGCATGGAACTGATTGTTGGCATCTTCACTGACGCTGAAACGAGTCAATTCCTACTCAAGCATTAATGCAATCTAACACAGTGGAGCAGAAACAGTCTAATGAAGCTGCGGGGAACGATCTGGAGGACAACCGCTATCATACAGGATTCCTCAGACGCACCACTCAGTTGCTTTCTCGGTATGGAATTGAAACTCATGGGTGAGTGGAATGGTGTTCCTGCGATGTCTGTCTAAACATCTTCATTGGTACTTGGATTAGCATCGCGCCGGTGCCAGCAGAGAGACGTCTCGAGACTCGGTGGTACCAGTTGTTTTTCGTTTGGTTCTCCCCTTGCATGAATATCTTGGCGTGCGTCTTCAGTTTAATCTTGATCCTGACGCCATCCCCTGAATATCCAACACCTGCAGATTCAGCGCTGGCACTACCGGACCTGCATTTTATTCCCTGGGAGTTCGCGACTCCATGGCTATCATCGTCACTGTTAATCTGGCGTAAGTGTCAACAGTTCATCGAATCTCGATCTGCAGTGAATGACTGTCAGCTAGATGTTGTTTAATGCCAGCGTTCTTGTGGGTTTTGTTATTGTTCTCCGGCCATTTCTGGGGACTTCATATTGTGCTAGTGCTGTTTTCGGGCCAAAGCTTGGCATGCGAGCGATGGTACAAGCAAGATTCTCATGGGGGTAAGTTATATTTTCGATTGCCAGTATCGTTTGCTGATGAACTATCAAGGTATTTCGGTGCCATCATACCAGCCGTCTTGAATATCTTCTCCTTGGAAGGCTTCCTGGTCTTGAACTGCATCGTCGGTGGACAAACGATAGCTAGTTTGTCTTCCCAACTTGATGATACTCTTGGAATCATCATCATTGGCATCATATCTCTTGTGGTATGTCAAAATTACTCGTGCTACGCCAAAATAACGTGTTTCAAGGTCACTTTCTGTGGATACCGCGTTATCCATTGGTGAGAGTGCTCAAATACGAATCATCCAGAATTCTGACCAGATTTCGATTTCAGGTACGAAAGTGTCGCCTGGATCCCGAATGTGATTGTTTTTATCACCATGCTGGCTGTCGGTTATCCGCAACTGCGCGAAAATCTATCAGTTGCCGTCCCTCCTGCAACGCCTGCTAGTGTCATCTCTTTTGCGTCTTTTGTCGCAGTTAACATTATTGGCTGGTGTCCCATGATCTCTGATTATGGCATATACCATAGCCCTGATGCTTCTTCGTGAGCTTCCTCGGACCATTACCACGGTCTCTCCTTAACATCCCAATAGCGCGAGAATTTTTATATACACGTACCTCGGATTTTTCGTATCTAATGTAAGTCCCCATATGTCTGGTATACTGACATTATGATGAACAATCTTCGTTTGAAAAGGTGACTGGTCAGGCTCTGGGTGCCGCATTCGCAGCAGCAGCTCCTAACGTGCCTGCTTGGAATGCAGGATTTAACAACAGCTCTTCCGTCGGTGGCTTGTTATACAGCGTGTTGCTATCTACTGGCGTATTCGGAAAAATCCTGACCGCTTTGGTCGCTCTCACCATACCCAGCGCCTGTGCACCAACGATGTACACGTTCAGCACTAGTTTCATGGCTGTCGCTACGTGGTTTGCTGCGGTGCCTAGATGGGTGTATATCCTCATCTCAGAGGGAATGTGAGTGTCGTTGATTCCAACCCCTAGCGACGCTCACGATTTGATTTGTGTCAAGTCTGATACCAGTGGCCATTATCGGCGCCAAAAAGTTTTATGCTACATTCGTTGACGTCCTTGGTACGAGTCCCAAATATCGGTATCTGTAATCCAGTCTAACAAGCTGATCTCGCAGATATCGTTGGATACTGGTCATCGGCATTTGCTGCGATCATCCTCACAGAACATGTGTTATTCCGACGAGCCTCGTTTTCTGAGGATCAATATCCCATCACGACTTGGGCTTCGTATGAGCTCTTGCCTAGCGGTATCCCGGCGGTCGTTGCCTTCGTGTGCGCCTGTGGAGCTCTTGTTCCGTTCATGTCTCAAGCTTGGTATGTAGGACCGGTTGCGAGGCAGGGCAGTGGGGAACTTGGTGTGTTCGTGGCGTTTGTGGTGGGGACTGTCGTTTATGCGTTGGCGAGGAGTTTGGAGTTGCGGTACAAGAAGAAGAGTAAAGCAGATCGTTACTATTAGTACTACTACACATTTTGACCTGTACACGAGTTGCCTTTAAATTTGGATCCAATAGAAGTTCGCTGAGGCCAGCTTCTCTAACAATGGTAGCAACCATCCCATGTGTACGCGTTCTTGTCATCGCAGCCAGTTGTTAGTAGTTTTCCATCCGCGGAAAAGGATACGCAGAGGGGCTAACAACTTCATCACTTTCGACCATCCTCTCAAGCATGTCGCTGGCCACAGTCCTAAATTCTTTCACGGCAACGGCAACTCCCTCTCCTTGCTCTGAATATCGCTCCTCCAGTGTTTCGAGAGTACGGTCCACATAGCTGATGAGCCGCTCGAGATCAAATATCGAAGATACCTGCATATACCTTTTCGTGCCTTCCACAAGGACGGGAAGGAACTCGAAACAGTGTATGTCGTCAATTATATCGTCTGCATTCATCCATGCACTCCACATCATGTCCCACCACTGCTGCTCTGTGATAGAATCGAGCGATGTGGGCGACCACTGTTCAGGTGCGATTCGGAGGAGGATGCCAGCTAGGTAAAATGAATGCGACATGAAGCGGGAAGCTGCAATTATGCTAATGCACTGATCTATGTGGTGATCCCCAGACAAATGGGAATGCCAGTTGGAATTCCTCGCGAGGGCAAAAACCAGTTCGAGATAGCACGCATCGCGTTCATAATCGAGACTGTGGTCAGGGCCATCATTGGCAGGTGTTGCACCTCCTCGCGGACAAACCGCGGTCAGAATAGCGGGGGAGAGGTCTTTCAAAACCATGTCCCGTAAGTTTGCATCATCGATGCCATCGATCGATGCCATTTCTTGTCGGACACTGTGAACAGCGCGGAGAGCGGCGTGACGTAAACTGTTAGGCATGTTACCGTCCATGCAGGCAATGAGGCTCCCGATGAACATATGTTGTTTAGTGGGGCTGCAGCGAGCTCCCAAGCCATGCAGTAGTAAAAGGATGTCATATGCTGGCTTGTCATTGTAGGGATGAATGTAGTCGAGGCAGTCCACTAGCCAGTCGAAGTCTTCTGGCGGGTGGGAATCCTCTTGCCAGGACCGGGCATACCACAATTGGGCAGGGTCACAGGATATGTTGGCAGCAGTGAGCGTGAAGTGCAGGGCATTTGGCAGAACTATGAACAAATTCCGGTGATTATATTGTTCGGATGATCTCACTCGTGAATAAATCTTCCTGCACACGTCCAGGTTCTGCATCGTGTGGGATGAAGGAACATAGTAATAATGTCGAGAAGACTCGAGAATGCGACAGATAATGTCGAGGAGTTTCCATGCCCGGCGTGTGACTCCTGTGCTGTCTTTGTCGACATCGCCTCCATCCCATGCCCAGAGAACCTTTTGGAACTGCGTCAAAAGGGGCTGCGCGAGTTGAGGCAGAGCAGCACTACACAACTTCATTGTTAATGATCGCAGAAAAAGCACCAAATAAGTTAATGGCACCTTTTATCAATCCGAACTATGTCCTTCTTATCAAACCGAACCCCGATCATGACGCAAGCGAGAAGAGTGCAATTGGCGATGATTTGGTTCGACGGAGTGGACGGAGAGCTTAGCAGTCTTGATATCACTGCTATAGCAAGTTCTTCTACACGTTCATTCGCTCGCCCGGTAACGAAATGGTAAGCAAGAGAATGAGACAACCACTCCAAGACAGAGTCGGAATAATCCTCCAGCTGTAGACGATAGAATGAAACATTGATATCGTCATCTTTCGGAGGACAAAGATTCATAGTCGTGGAAAGTACCGTCATGTTGGCTGTGCCCAAGTCCATCTTCAGCCACATTCCAAGAAACACCTGGTAGTCTCTTTCCCGTTGGCCAAGAAGTTCACCATAGCGAGGAGATTCCTGAAGAACGCGGCCACAGTATAGATGACTCAGAGCCATTATACATGCAGAGGCCTTGTCCTTCAACGACGGTACAATTTGCCTCTGAATATCGACGCAGCTGTCAAAATTGTAAAGCAGCTGAGGCACCATGTCTGACACGTCAAGATCCAGGGGCCATTGGACGTGTGGAACAAGACTGGCAGCCGCGAGAAATACTTCAGGATCCGTAGATGTCTCGAGCAGCCACTTGATGCTAGGTGCTTCCAGACCTCCAGTGCGTATGTCAGGGAGATCGAGATCGAGGGTCCATTCATACTCCGCCAAAATGTCCAGGTTTTGGTCGAGCGGTTGTCTTTCCGAGTCCATCACCTTTCTCGAAGAACGTAGCCCCTTATGAAGAGTGGTGAATACCTGCAAAAGAAAACTCCATGCAAATGCGCCGACCGCACGTATAGGGCCTAGTGAATGAGATTAGCACTGGGTGTCCAGCGTAATAGTTGATAAAAATGTCACCTCTCAATGCTTCTGACAATCGGGTCCATCTCGATCTGACGGTGCCAAACAAACGCCGCAGCACACCTGACAAGAAAAGGTCAAGCCCTGCGGACACGTAAGACAACATAGCTCACCATGCGCTGACATCACGAGCTGCTGGAAATACCTGGAGGCTGGTGTGAATATTGAGAGTAAAACTCCTGCAATGTTGATTCAGACTGGAAACGACCATCAGAAGTCATAAGATGATCTTACTGTCGATGCGCAACATGCGCAATATCGTCGATATCGGCGTTTGAAATGGACAGGCGGGAGATATTAAACATGCCATCACGGTCAGCGAATAGAATAGAAATCCGAAGACCGTTGTGGCAATGATGACCCAGGCGATGCTCGACTGTTGGGTCCACAAATTGGCCCCGAGCGCGATCCCAAACAGAAGAAGGGAGATCTGAAGTAAGACCGGAAAGGATTGTACGACAGCATCAAAATACCATGTGATGATGCCGTCGAACGTCTCTTGCCTGCGCTTTCCTCGTTCCTCTTGCGAACCGCGGCCATATCTGTTCGACTTGTAGTACCCGAGCCACTGTTTTCCCAGTACAGCCCCAAAAGCAGCGAGCAAGCTCATGGACAAGCTTGCGTATGCGATCATTTGGATCCATACAGTCGTCGGCGACGGCGACCACGTAGATCCTGGTGCTGCGGCCGCAGTACCCGCTGCAGTGAGGTTCCCGAGTCCGATTTGTACGAGTTGTGTGAGAAGAGCATTCGTCGTGTCGCTGGGGTTGGGATTGAGATTGGACTCCATTGCCACAATAAAAGACGTGCTGACAGCAGAGAAAAGACCAGACTAATCAAATGTCAATCTGAAAGCGAGTTGAATATGAGCATGCGGCACGTACGAAGACCAAAACAATGTCCATGTCACTGGTGTATCGCTCAAGGAACTCGCCGTCGTGCTCCTCCGCGACTCTCTTGTACACCCCCCAGAAACGAGAGCGATGGTCCTTGCCGCTCTTCGACGCAATCGTCGAGTCCTGGAGAACAACCAATACTTGTTTCATGACACTTGCTCTGCGTGCATGACGTTGTCAGCTACGATCGCTCGGCTGAAATTTTCGCTCACAATTCGCTTAGAGTTGGCTGGTCCTTCTCCACCACGTCCTTCTCCACCACGTCCTTCTCCTCCACGTCCTGCTCCACCACGTCCTTCTTCTCCACGTCCTGCTCCACCACGTCCTGCTCCACCACGTCCTTCTCCACCATGTTCTTCTCTGCCATGTTCTTCTCCCCCTCGCTGAGACAACACATAAGCTTATTTGACATTGACATTGATAGGGACTTACGGAGCTAAATCGCCGTCGGATACAACATTCAAGTTGGGGGTGCTTTCCTGTATGTGAAGTTCTGATGGCTGGGAACGCCCAGTGTTCGAGCTACGGTTCTGGTGAGTAGGGACACAGAAACATCAGGGCACAAACACTTACATCCCTGAAGACAGCACCACAGAAGGTTCACCATTCATCGCATCCCTATTTTGCTGTTAGGTGGGTGGCAGGATTCCCTAAAGTCGCAACTTACTCGTTCGTAGGTCCTACGGTGTCATTTTGCGGGGGAGGCTGTTCATCATTGTGAGCGCGCTGATCCTCGGCGTCGTCGGCGACTGATGCTTTTAACATGAGATACTTATATTAAATCCCAGGTGAACCCAGTGAGATTTGGGAAGAGTATGAGGTGAGTGGCCAGGGAAGAGTGGTGCACAGCAAGCGACTTGGGCGGTGCGACCATGACGAACACGTGCTTGACAGCGTTGACGCTGGGGCTGCTCGTAGGCGCTCCCTCCAGTAGACTGCAAGATCAATCCCGCAAATCTAGCTTGCGCAGCGTACACTTGATATATTCGTCCTTCACGCAAGGCGTCTTCCCTTGAAAGGCTACCGCATTTGACATGATAGAAGGCAACGAGGCCAAAGGAGTGAGCATTTTAGAATCAAGCCAGACGTCCTGTAGCAAATGAAGTGTAACACGTTGGATACGATGCAAATAAGTTCAAAGTTCACTTTCAGGCAAAAATAATGGGGAACCATTATTTTTGGGAAACGCGAAGTAAACAGAAAATAATACTGATCTACACCAAATCCTTCATGTTCATCGAAGTGAGGTGAGTCGTTACTTCAAAACATCGACGATGATCAAGTGCCTTTGATTTTCTTGCCATCGGATCAAAGCAAACCCATGCTGTGTGCCCTCCCTCTCACGAAATACCCCGTCTCCATCCAAATAAAGATGAGATATAGCTACATAGACATGCCTAACCCGCCAAGGAGCAGCATGAAAGAAGACAGGCGCACATGCAATCGATGTTGCACTTCTACTGATTCGCATGGGTCATGCGAATCTCCTCGACGGTTCCGCGCGTTTGAACTTCTGCACGACGTGGTCTGGACTGGAGCTTAAACACGGTGGGGCAGCAAATATAAATGGCACCGCTGTCGATGAGTACTGGCTGTTGGTGTGCAACATAGATAGTAAGCTTTCAAGCCCAGTGGAAACCCACTTCTCTAAGAATGGACTCGGATTTGAAAATGTTAAGTTCCCCAACCACTTTTTACCCATTTCAAGTGTCACTCATCCCAACCATCTCTGTCGTCGCCGTCATCGGATACGATGATCACAAAGATCTCGACGTGCCGCACTGGGTAAGTGTGTATGCTCTCTAGCTGTATCTATCGCCACAGACTATTAATATACCAGCTGATCAGATGCCATCGGGGGTGTATGCAAGCAAACATTTACATCCACACAATCTGGCACAATCCTGTACAATCACACACATTTGCATATGTGTGCTATTAGCTAGTCTCATTCTCGTGCTGAGATTAATATTGTCTCGATTAGTTCAGATGATTTCACGCAACCTCTGCCATTCTGTGAAGAGTCGGGTTTCACTGGGAAATTCTAAGCTTCAAGCTGAAGCTCTTTCTTAACTTGAGACTTGTTATGATTCTGAGCCAACGTGGTCTCATGTGGCTCAGTACTGGTGTGCGTCGAGTGCTTATCATATAATGCAGCTTCTAATCCTTAAAAGACTAGTGTCCTACATGTGTAGGGCCACCGCATCAATTAATCAGGCCGATTGAGGTGTTCCATCACGGTGTTTTGACGATCCATGTGGTAATCTGTAAAAATTTCGAACCCTACTTGTTTTACTAACGGTATCTAGGGACAGACTTTCGAATTCAAGAACCTCATAGCTAGCACTCTCACTGGCGTTTTTAGATGTGGAATAAACTGATACGCTCCAGGTCGATTACCGCTCAAGCAATGCAGTCCGACTCATTGGAGTGGCCCAAGCAGGAAGAGTCCAACTGCAATTCAACGCCAGGCTATGATATGGAGGACAATCTCTGTCGTGCGGGATTCCTCGGACGCACCACTCTGTTGCTTTCTCGGTGTGGGATTGAAACGCATGGGTGAGTGAGAACACGTTGATGTAATATCTGTTTGTAAAGCTCCTACCTGGTATTTGGATCAGTGTCGCACCGGTTCCAGCAGAGGAACGTCTCGAGACTCGGTGGTACCAAATGTTTTTCGTGTGGTTCTCGGCTAGCATGAATATCTTAGGGTATGTTTGGGTTCTGTCTGGTGCGTTCCGTCGAGTTAATCAACACCTGCAGATTCAGCATTGGAACTGCCGGACCTGCATTTTTTGCACTGGGAGTTCGCGACTCTATAACTATCATTGTCATCGTCAACCTGACGTAAGTGTTAATAGTTCATTCAATCTTGATTTGAAGTGAATGACCGTCAGCTAGGACTTGCTTGTTTCCTGCGTTCTCGTGAGTTTTGTTGTTCTTTTTCGAGCGTTTCTGTCTTCATAGTAGTGTGCTAGTGCTGTTTTCGGGCCAAAGCTTGGCATGCGAGCTGTGGTACAAGCAAGGTTCTCCTTTGGGTGGGTCATATTTATTTGTTTCCCGCTTGCCAGCGTCGTTCGCTGACGAACGTCAAGGTATTTTGGTGCCATCATACCGGCCGTCTTGAATGTTCTCTCCTTGGAAGGCTTCCTTATTCTGAACTGCATCGTTGGCGGACAAACTATAGCAAGCTTGTCCCCTCGACTCGATGATACTCTTGGAATTGTCATCGTTGGTATCATAACTCTTGTGGTATGTCACAATTACTCGTGCTACACCAAAAATGACGCGTTTCAAGGTCACTTTTTGTGGATACCGCGTTATCCATTGGTGGGATCATTCCAACGCGCGTTATCCAGAATTTTGACCGAATTTTGATTCATAGGTACGAAAGCGTGGCTTGGATCCCGAATGTGATTGCTTTCATCACAATGCTGGCTGTCGGTTATCCACAACTGCGCGAAAATCTATCGGCCCCCGTCCCTCCCGCAACAACCGCTAATGTAATCTCTTTCACGTCCCTTCTCACATCTGGCATGATCAGTTGGTGTACCATGACCCCCGACTATGGAGTATACCATAGCCCTGATGCTTCCTCGTGAGCTTTTTCGGAACATCCTCACTCACACTTCTTAATATCCTGACAGTACCAGAATTTTCATCTACTCATATCTGGGGTTTTTCGTATCTAATGTAAGCTCCTATGTGACGTTATCTGCGGTATCTTAACATCTTCTCTCGACAAGGTGGCTAGTCAGGCTCTAGGTGCTGCATTCGCAGCCGCAGCTCCAAACGTACCAGCTTGGAATGCAGGGTTTGACAGCTCTTCCGTCGGTGGCTTGGTATACAGCGTGCTGTTGCCTACTGGTACATTCGGAAAAATTCTCACTGCTTTGGTCGCCCTCAGCATACCCAGTTGCTGTGCGCCAATAATGTATACGTTCATCAATAGTTTTATGGCTATCGCTACGAGGTTTGCCGCGGTGCCTAGATGGGTATACATCCTCATCTCAGAGGGAATGTGAGTGTCATCGAGTGGACACAAACCTCAGCAACGCTTATTATTTGCATTCAAGTCTGATACCGGTGGCCATTATTGGTGCCAAAAAGTTTTACACCACTTGCGTGGATATCGTCGGTACGAGTCAAAAACGAAACCGGGTTCTGTGATTAACGTTCACCCTCAGACATCATTGGATACTGGTCATCAGCTTTCGCTGCGATAATCTTCACAGAACATGTGTTATTCCGACGGGCCTCGTTTTCTGAGGATCAGTATCCCATCGCGACGTGGGCTTCGTATGATCTCTTGCCTAGTAGTATTCCAGCGGTCGTGGCTTTTGTGTGCGCCTGTGGAGCTCTTGTTCCGTTCATGTCACAGGGTTTGTATGTAGGACCTGTTGCGAGGCAGGGCACTGGGGACCTTGGTGTGTTCGTGGCGTTTGTGGTGGGTGCTATCGTTTATGCGTTGATGAGGGGTTTTGAGAAGATGTGGTATAAGAAGACGAGTAAATCTGGGGCTTACTAGTTGCAGTTTAGATTCTTCGAACTTGGTTTGATGCAAAAAAATACTTTATTTTTTATGTTTTAGGCGAATGTGCGTGAGTGGCAGAGAGCAGAAAACCAGAAGGGAAAGGAAAGGAAAGGAAAACAGAAACCACGGCCAAGTGGTGAACGAAGCCGCATGTCAGACAGGCCTTCCGTGAGTGGGTGAGGGCTAGGAAACAGTCCGTGAGGGACTGTCCCGAGATGTGCCGAGGAGAAGGAGAGAACTCCAGCCCCAAGGCACAGAAGGCATGAATGGCGAACAGCAGCGTCAGAACGGAGGACTAAAGCTGAGTGAGACACACGAAACGAGAAGCGCAAACGAACAATTGAATTCCAAGGCAATTGGAGTGACTAAGAGGGATGGAGGGAGGGGCGACAAAAGAAATCTAAGCGAGCTAAAGGCAAGTACAGACGGGTGCGAGCTACAGACTACGTCGGAGGAGCGGAACAAGGAGTGTAGTCGATACGAGCGGAACTATGAGGCACCCGCGACTTGCCCTAAACCGTGCATTCCAACACCTCGTGCCTCGGTCATGGAATGCGTCCAAATACGTAGCCATGCGTGCTACGAAATAAGAGATAAGGGAAACGTTGAGATCTACGTGTGCGATACATATGCGACTGAGTGTATGAAAATCCTTTGTGTGAACTTGTAGGTCGAACAGATCCAGCGCCATAATATAACGTCCACTTCCTTATCCCTGCTCAGATTGCCTAAATGATCTGTCGCCAACCCCCTACTGCGAGCAATTTTTGTCAATAAGATCGCCCAGAATTGTGCGGGACTCCAAGATGCGATCAGTGAACACTGAGTCTTCACGAAGCGTTGTGACGCATGCATGGTCTTCGAAATGCATCCTACCACTCGTAAATTCTTCCTCATGACAATCCCACCAGTTCATCATACTATCCGGCTCTTTTTCCAATCCTGTGATGACGACGACGATTGGGATATTCTCCCCGCAGCTCTTGGCAAATTTGTAGTTCCGAACGAGGGTATCACGGGGCCTGGTACTGCTCACGCAGCACACCAAAAGGCCGACGCCATCCGATCCAGGGCTCGTGAGCTCAGCTAGAAGGCTCTTCAAGCGTTTTTTTCGCCTCTGCCGCCGGGACTGTCCCTCCAGGCTCCTCATTGAGTCCCGCGCTGTCGAACAGAACAAAATTCCTATCGGAAATCGCCACTTCATAGGGTCGAGAGATGCTAGTGCACCCGAAAGTATTGTTAGAGGTCTCCACTAGCGGTTCCTGCCAGTGCCTGAGCGCGTTGATGACCGAACTTTTCCCTGAGCCAGCGTCACCGAAAACGACGACGTTTCTTTCCCGTGGCCTGGACTGCTCTGAATTAGTATCTGTTTTGGCTAAGACATAGCTCAAGAAAGTAGGAAACATACACGGTCACTCAATTGTCCATGCCGTGCTTCCAACCTTATGGATGGGGCAGGTTTATTATTTACAATTTGTGGAAACACTTTTGGGCCACTATCAGGGACAGCAGTATTGCGGAAGGCAAGAACTCACCGAACTCTCCATCATGCGCGAGCAATGCTTCGAAAGTCGTCTTGACTGTAGCCACGAGCGTATCTTCATCAGGCATTGGTCGACACTCAGATGAAGCGTAAATTTTGAGGTAGACGTCTTTCGAGGTGCTGAAGAAGAAGGGCAGAAACCACCTGGGGAATCTGGAGGGACGCCTGCGGATGACGATGGTCTCATTCCAAGAAACGCTGCGGTCAGACTCTGCAGCCTTGATCGCGGTCTTCGATGGACCATAAGAAGTTGAAGCCAGGACGTAAAAGAGATTTAGTGATGGAACAACGAGGTTTTTTCCAGTGGTGACTGTGCGCATGCATTGATGTGAGCAATGGGAAAAGATGATTCAAGTTGAAGTCGCATATACATACCTTCCAGAGCTAAGACATATTCTCCACGACTCATCTTCAACACGCGGATATGTTATAGCTGAATTAAGGAAATTGTATGACTATGTTATCACGAGATAAGCGGCGGGGCAGGGTGAGGAAGGAGGTAGTGGAAGGGTCATTTTGAGAAAATCATTCAGTTAGTTATAGGGTGGCAGGACCACGCGCGTGTAAGCCGAACATGATCTGAGTACGGAGCCTTCACTGGCAATACCCTTGCTATTCGGTCGGACTTGAGCTGAAAGCTAGATGATGCGGAATGGCAGAAACTCGGATGAAGGGATGAGCGACCGACCAGGTTGTAACCGGTCGGTTGTGATGACCTACGCGGCTATGCTTCGGATTTCTGGATGATGTGGCGGTTCACCTCGAGGCCTCAAGCAGCACTTGCATGAATGACGTAATATTAAGCAACTGCTGCCGCTGCGGATATTGGCTACATCAATCATTGACTTCAGCGAAATCGCAGTGTGATGGAAATCGGGGAAGTGGGTCACATCCCACACCAATCCTCTTGATCATTTATTCGTAGCTATCAAAAAACCCATTCAAACCTGTCAGGTCTCAACGTCTCAGATGCTTGTGAAGATCACGAGGAAACTTGAGGGTATGAGAAGACTAGAAAATATAGTGCGAATATTAATGAAACTGTCTGAAGTTAAAATACCCGTCGACCGAGAGAAGGAATGCGCCAATCCAAACGAATTGTTCGAAGGTCAAAGGCCATTGATCAAAAAGATGCATGCGCAGTGCAGCGTGCACGGCAGTGAACGCGAGCAGTTGGGGGCAGCGCTACATGACAAGGGATTGGGAACTTCTGCAGTGAACAAGAGAGCAAAGATTAAACTTACTACAAGAGCCTCCGTGGGAGCCTAGGCCAAAAATCCTCGGAATCCTAATTCAGAACTAAGGGAGACCCTCCTAGGGAGGATGGTCTTTCAGTCTAGTTTCCCATAGCGAAGAAACTGGGCTGAGAGACCGTGTGAACCTCTTTGTAGCGGGTGCCAAAGTTGTTATCACCAAAGTCGCCAAGCCTCCAGAAATACAGGAGAATACGGGGATGAAGACAATCGTTGGGGGAAAAGGCAAGTTCCGAGCTGTTCTTAGACTTATATCGTAGTATAAGTACATCACCATGTGAGATAGACAACGTACTGGTATTCCATGTCTTCCCAAACCATTTCCACGCAATCAGAGGTATTCTCCAAATTCAGAGAAATCGTTGCAACTAGTGGATGGGACGCTACGTGGTCAGCATGGCCTGTATGTCTGGATGGTTGCGAGATTGCTGACAACCCCAACATTATCCAGGAAAGAACAGTTGACGCCATGGGAAAAGTGGGACGGGATGGAGATCCAACCCCCTTTGCGGGAAGTTATTGAATCTGATCGGGTGGAATGGCCCCGACAAGGTCAAGCGCTCGTCCCAGGCTGTGGAAGAGTATGGCTCTTTATCATGACGGTAGTTTGATGATTAAACCTCGAAACCTCAGGGTAACGACGCAAGGTTCATCGCGACCAGTCTAGGATTGAAAGTGATTGGGATCGATATATCTCCTATAGCTGTCGAAGCAGCCCAGCAAGAAACTCCCCACGAGAACGTATCGTTCCGTGTCGGGGACTTCTTCGCATCGACAGATGAGCAGTTCGACTTGATATACGATTACACGTTCGTCGTTCGCAATGTTTACTGTGCCGTCTTGCTCTGAACCTGTGATAGGTTTTTCGTAGCCCTGCCCCCGTCGATGCGCTCCGATTGGGGGAGACAGATGACCAAGCTCGTCAAGACTGGCGGATTCCTGATTACCTTGGTATTCCCAATCGATCCGCAGGTGGACAATGGGCCACCTTTTTTCGTGAGGCCAAACCATTACGAAGAAGTTCTGGGATCTGCATGGGAGAAAGTTATTGATGAAGTGCCTACTGAGTCTTCGCCTACTCACGTAAATCGGGATAGGATGATAGTTTGGAAACGCCTCTGAACTCGTGAGAGATATGGCGGAAGCCGCGAACATGGTTGACCGTACTCCAGCTTGTAATATTAGGATTCCTTTGTACAAATACCCAGCTACGCCATCATGGCCCGGGAATCGAACCAAATGAACAGGGGACTCACCATAGGGCAACACCCGCAGGGCGTTCGTGGCGCTTACGAAAGTTTCCCATCAGTAAAATGCAAGTCTCACAACTCTCGCATGCAACATATGAGTACAGGGATTTGCAAATACATTCCTTGCGTACTTTGTCAGGCGCACGCAAGTTTTTATGTTGTTGCGATGTTACGGAGATCTCGAGTAGTGGAGATAGCTGATCAAATAGATAAAGAGACGATTAATATTTGGCTGAAGATTATGGTGGTGAAATGCCCTACTTTCGAGCTCGCAAAACGTCTTCGGACGCAAAAAGCGAGAGGCGTGTAAGGAAAAAGTTGGATCTTGTGTATCGAGAAGGAAAACACTAGCCTTGAAACGTTGTAGAGCATCGCGTCAGTATGGCATCCCGAGGAGATCCAGTTCAGATGGTGGCTTGTACAGCACGATGCTTAGCCGGTGAATACGTTACCACCGAAGTCTGAGAGGTCTGGCAGATCGTGGCGTAACACTTGAAATGCATACATAACCTTATACCTGTGGCGGAATTCTTAGAAAGAGAAGCACCTGACCTATAGCAGGATTTAACACAGCGTCAAACACGAGGTGACATGTTGAACGTTGAACAGCCTTGCTTACATACGGCGCATGCTGGCGGCCAAAAGTCACTTGGCGTATCAGGCCCCGGCGGAGTTTAAAACATAACCTAATCATTTGCTGCTCCGAACCCATTCACTATACGAATATCCATCGAGTTGCATGTGATAGCTAGCAGATGTCGCGAACGACAATTTCTTCAAAGCAATATAGCATTCATGTACAGGCATCAATCAATTCAGCCTTGATCTGTCGAGCGATCACAAGTAACTGGGTCAGCCTACTATTGAAACTCAATGAGGATGGCACGAAAAGAGATTATCTGAGCACAGTACTTTTATCTTCATTGGTGATCGTGTAATGCCCAGTGGCTGGCTCCCGGCTGAGTGTAAAGGTACTGGACTCAGGAAGCTTGGCGAGATCTTGTTCCCAGATTGAATCAGTGCAGATGGAACCTTCCAAGATTGCAGTCTCTTGATGGTCCGATGAGATATAGGCGTGAAGCTTCGGAGTGAACTTAGCCTTGAAATCACAGCCATCTCTGCGTTTTGTATTGTGAGTGCCCTAGAGGAGAAATGAAGGGAAGCCGACATACTCAACATCCTTGAAACAGAGCACCGGCTTAGGCATCGGGTCTCCCGGGACCATAATACCTGGGTGAGAGATACTGAGGTGACAAAGAAAAAGAAAATAGTGGTCACAAACTGATTGCAATGTCCTGAGCAGCGTCAGTCTTGTTAGTGGCCTGCAGGTACCCAGGGACTCCCTGCTTAGGGGCCTACGCGAGTCGTTCGTAAGCTGCCGAGATAACGATAAACTATAGTCAGGCTTACAGAGAACTTAAATTCTAAGCCCGTCTTGGTCAGAGTGGTTTGTTGTCCGTTCTGCATGATGCCTTGCGTTGATGCTAAGAATCGCAACGTAGATGAGAGTCTCTCACGTTGATCTTGACGTAAGTTCCAGCGCTGACTACGTTTCCATCCACGACCTGCACTCGGGAAAAAGCAAGGCTATAAGTTGAATGAGCCAGGCTTGTGAGTATAATCTGGGTCCCTTTGCAGACATGGACTCACTCATTCGTGTAGGTTGCGTGCATGCTGTATCGGCCTGCGACGAGGAGTCATAGGTGAGTTTTCAACCGAGGGGGAAGTATGGTACAACACCCACCCTCGTCTCCAAAAGTGGTAGCCCTGAAATATTGCAATGTTTAAAATCGTCGAAGGGAAAGCGGAAGTCCTGACCTCCAAATAACAGGGAAGGATTTCCGGTAGGTACAATCCTTATCGCTCTGGAATATGAGCACAAGCGTCGCCTCCTTGCCGAGGTCATTACTGCGAGATAAAAATTAGTGAGGGCAGCGCAATGGAGCAAACACACTCACGTCTGAAAGGTCAGGTTTCTGACGAAGGCCGGGGCGCATGTCGGTGCTTCTGCTTCAGGGTGAGTGTGCATTGATGTACTTCGAGTTCTTCAGTTAGAGACTCAGAAATGACCTTATATGCTTCGGGTCAGGGAGGCTGTATCTGCTTTCTTGGTTCGTGATATAGTGCCTTTCCCATGTCTGTGTTTGCCGCAGAAGACCTGCTATATGCATCAAGCCACCCCTTGCTTCCTTGCTTGCTCAATGGTCACTTTCTTCTTAATAAGCCTTCCCTGCACATTCGTACCTGCCGCTGGGGACCTGATGCATTATACCATCCCCTTACCTTGGGTTTACCTTGGTTGGCTATATATCCAGCGCTCCCTTGGCTTTTCTTCGTGCCTTCATATGCGCCGTTGTGGACTCCGTCTCGCCTTCAGTGTCCGAGCGCTGCCAGCCTGGAAGACAGTGCCTGCTTCCTTGACTTGGTATATAGCCACCCTTCGTCGGAAGCTCGTAGCTGCCGTTGATACTGCATTCAGGTGCACAACGCTCCTCCTGGGCGTCATATCCTTGGCAATCTTGCCTTCCTCACCGTTCCTGTTCCTCAATCCTTTTCGGATTTCACCCTGCTTAGGTTCGCCGAATCATGAATGAAACAAATGGGACAAGAGGGGACAACACTCCTCACCTGCCAGGTCGTTCAACAGTGATGTTGCTATCAACTTGAAGACCTGATTGCTACTATGAATGAGGTGACAGAAAAAGAGAGTTGAACGATCTACGTTGCAAATCTGCTACCAACGGTAACCAACCATAGTCACAGTGGGCGTTTGTACTGACTGTGCCTGAAGCTCACAAACAGGTTCAAACATGTTTCAGTCCGAGTCGGTTAGAACAACTCTTGCTGACTCTGTACATGTAAGGATGTGATACTAGCCATCACAATTCGTATTTCTGGGACATTTCAAGGATCATATGCATGTGAATGACCGAGTGAGAATGTCATAGTTGGTTGAGAATGTTCGGATCATCCTAGGGTAATGAAAAGAGCATGCTAAGCTTTTGAAGCGGTGAATTGATAGTACTGTACACATTTCTCGGAGGCTCCGGAGCTATCCGAAACGTTCACACGACTATTATTACAAGCTTGAACTTAACTTTATCCTTCGCCATGATGCATGAGCGCTACTAGCCACTGAGAATTTCGATGGTATCGTCTTGCGCCGCTGCGTTCTGTCTCGAACCCCAGCATCTCTTGCTCGCTGGAACAAGAGTTTTCGCCTCGGCTTACCCTAAGCATTCAGCCTTGGCCGCACTGCTCTCCAGAATTCGGCCGATTCAGAGTTATATGCAGTAGGAGTCCACGAGGTTGAACTATCAATATTTCAATGCCCAAGCAATCAGGCAACTTCAAACTTCATTCTATGCAAGACGTGGAGGCAGGCCTTACAAATTGATATTGTAATGGTTGATCTGTTCTACCCCACAACATCACTCCATGACACAAGCCGTCAAGCCGTTTGGTTTCCGAAGCTGGTATGTAGACCCTATGCTGCAACACCTGTATAACCAATGCTGGAACAAATTGCGCTAGACAATTGATGACTTCCTCAAGATGGACACCCAACTGTGTCTATAGAGCGCTAGCGTGTCTGACCATACCACTTCAAGCACATTATCTTCGGCTTACTCAGTTTTGTTTCAGATCCAATTGCTGCCGCGGCCATCTGGGGTACAGCTTTAGGCTCGGGGATCGAGAATGCGTCATCGATATCCCTGCCAGTGTCTCTGAGGAAATGGCCAATTATGATATTCGGTCATGGAGCTGCTCGCGCCTGATGTATGTAAGTGAGATTTTGTCGAAGCATAGAATTGCTCGTGTCGAATTCTGATCACATATATGTAGTCCGCCGTTTGTGGCGAGATGTCCTCGTGTGGATACGTCGCAATTGCAAATTGAACATCAAGACGACACCAGCCCCAGCTCACGCATTACTGCCGAGGGCAGACTCCAAAGAGACTTTGCGAACGGCCTTTTGTGGCGAGATAGCCTCGCGTGGCTACGTCGTAATTGCAAATTGAATATCAAGACGACAGCTCATGCATTACTGCCAGAGTCCAAAGAGACTTTTACGAACGACCGTTCCAGTATCGTCGCTTGTCGAAGCTTCACAGCCAAAAAATGATACCACTATTCGTCATGTTCAGCTTGAAGTCCGCAAAGCAAAATTAGAGCAGGTTACCTGGGCCGTCTATCGCATCTCTCAAGGCGAACAAGTACCGCAGGTCCGCTTATCCAGAGGCGGCTGGAATCGGAGGCCTTGGACCAGCATAGATCCCTCAAGCCCAATTATGGCTGAGCCCTTCTTCAATCTGCTCGCAGTCTTTTTTTAACCCAGGGCAATTAGCTGCCGCCGCTTCGAACTTCTCCCGTGTGATTGTCTTTGACCCACCAACGTGATTGAGTATAACAAATTATCGACAATCAGCTGATCGCATTGCAAGAATTGTTCCGTGGAAAGGACAGATATCTACACCCCTGCTGACCATCGATTCTCACTTGGAGCTGAGTTTACTATACTGGAGGAGGTGGCCGCAAGGGCTTCTTATTGTCACACATTCCTTTTGCGTACGTGTAAAGATCTTGGATGGTATTGATCCTGACGTTTCCCAAAGGTGGTGCGACGCAGCCAGCATTCAGTTCATCCCGGATTCAATCGGCTTGTAGGGCTTGCAGCCGACCCGCTCCGCATAGTTGATTTGACGATCGATACCGAAGATGCATGGGGACAAGTCCAGCGCGTGGATAGCCGTGTTGTGGCGTCGGAAAGGCTTCGCAATCTTACAGAATCAGCGAGAGTCCAACATACTATCGAGATGAGATACAATGCGTCTGTCACCGATGCGAGTACAATTGCCATGATGCTACATAGGGTATTACAAGAAATAGCTAACCAGCCCATAAATATGAGAGTATACTTACATATGATATGAATTGTTCAAACGATGAATATCCCCTGTCACCTGTGACACCCTAATTTGACCGTCTTCTATACCCCTGCCTTCCCCTCTGCAATCTTATCATATTACTCGCATCAATTATCCTTCGAAGTTGAGCCATGAGGTCCTTTGCTAGGAAGACAGTGCCATTGTCTTCCTCATAGCGTATCCGGTCTTCGTCAAGAAGCTCGAGAACACGGATGTCTTCGGGTGACACGCATAGGTCATGCGAATACCGGAAGATGGACACAAACTCGTGCCGAAAAACGAGAATCGCTAGGGATTCTTGTGATGTCTCGGATTGGATTGGATGCACTGTAGACAATGGTGATCAGTCTACAACCATGTATCATGGATAGTGACAACGCACATTGAACGAGACATATGTCGCCCTTTACACGCGCGAACGCGAAACGTGGATCCGTTTCAAGATGTACCTGCTTCAACGTTGACGGGGTGGCAAAGGTTATTGAAGATGCCGACTGCCGGATATGTGCATCGGCACCGTATGTGAGCGCAGCAGCACCCATGGATAAAGTGTCAGGAATCTGGATCCACAGGAGGAAGGAGAGAACGAAGAAAGGGAGGAACTCATTGTTGGAGTGACAAACAAAACCTTTATAAGGACGTCCGAAGAATACGCTTTGTAGCTACATGCTCCGAACACGAGGAAACTTGAGGCTGAAAGCGGTGAGGTTTCAAACAGAGGGCCTCTTTATGATCGGAGTCTATTTTTGGAAGTTGCAAGGCTAGAAGCAAAAACACCACAAGAGCGCTTTGGGAACCTGCAGCTTGGCCACGGCAATGTCCTTTATCTCATTCATGACACTAGAACAGGCGAGATAAGAGCGAAAGCTGGCCACATAGTCGGATGTCATCGACCATGTTCTCTCGATCTTTGGCTCCATCGCAACACGTTGACGCGTTTGATAGACTCCAAACAGCCGCACATGTCCCATATAGTGCGTCACCAATGCTAACCTTGGTTGGGGCTGGGCCCGGGAGTGCAAGGTTTCGGTGCTTATTCGCATTTCAATCGATTCTAACTTCCTCTGACTCGAGCTCCGAATTGGACTCGAAAAGGGTAGACTTTCTTCCCTCTTGCGTTTTCCTTCAAGTTTCACTCCAGCATAAATACGGAGTACTATCGTGGTCTAGCCCGCAGCGGCATAGCTCAATTGGACAATAAAGTCAATAATCAAACCTTCATTCACTGGATGACCAACCCTGACAGTCATTGGAGCGAGACAACTCCGTGATAAGATTACTTCGGATAATGGAACCTGAGGCTGCACTGGTACTTGGCAAAGTACGGTATTAATGGCGGTAAGTGGATGATTTGAGTTTGGGATGATTTGCGAGTCGTGACGCGCCGTGTACATGCACTGATTCCTTGGTAATCTCCCCTACCCAGACCTATCGAAGGAAGATGATTGTTCTTTCAAATTAGGCCCAGGGTTCTTTAGGGACGTCGGCGCCAATTTTCAAATATTGCTCATTAGTCCCGGCTCACTGGCAAGGAGGAGCGGTTGAACGACACAAGTTCACACTGACACGGCATCACGGCACGAATTTTCGGGACGACCCTGGGCCAGAGATAAGTCAGTTGACATTTCAAATTTTCGTCTACAGCATCTTAAAAGACCTTACCAGAGTATCAATGACAAGCAACAGGCAGTACCTGGTAAGTATTCACCCATACCCTTTGACAATATCAGAGGTGTATCATTACACCTAGTTAAGGCGACAAAATCTGCACTCCGGACACTCCGTGGAGCACGTTACCATTGCATGTCATGATCGCGGTCCCTCAAAGACCCCCCGCTCGTCAGATTCCTGGGGCCGGACTTTCTGGATGATGATAGATATACTCCCGCCGAGCACCATGGAGATACATGTTTGAAACATTCGTGCCTCTGACGCTCAGGAGTCTCCACTCATTCAATGTGATCATCGATTGTCCTTTGGACGGGGTTAAGCGGTGCCGGGGATGCTTCTTGCAATCAGTGGAGTATGGAGTGTCGTGGAGCGGGAATATTAGTAAAGCTGACAGAACGTTGACGAGATGAGGAACGCAGTAAGTAAAATGTGTATCCTTGTGTACCATGCCATTGACAGCGGAAAAGCATCAACAGGGTGTCAACGTTAACGAGTTCCTGCAGAACGGACTCTGACAACAGCATATGAAGCAAAGCTTTCTGTCTGCTCCGATCATCAAAATGCAGACATAGAAGGAAAGACAATTGATTTTGGATATAAACGTTAACCTTCGCGGCATGTGACTTACAGTTAAATGGAGCCTAGATACCATGACCAGGTCTAACTCGCCACTCCAGACAGTGGTGATCTCCGTGTCAATGTATTTATGCTTGGTGCGAATACAGCTTCCGCCGAAGATGGTATATATCTGATGGACGTGCACGAACGACTATTCTCGACCTCCGCACTGACCCCTTCGCTCACGGTCAATTATATACAGCGTTATCGAGAGTAAGGACACGGAGAGAGACACTGTGCTTATTTGCGGGGACGAACGAAGAACGAGATTCTACAAACATTGTATTTTCCGAGTTATTTATTATAAACGCAATGTTGCAACTGCCGACCGAAGGGAGTCCCTGTAAATAGTTAACCACAATTGAGAGAGACTACCGAGGATTACCGTTGGTCTATCGTGCTAAGAAGCAACAGATTTGAGTTACAGTTTACAGCTGTGCAGTTTTCGGACCCACCTTGACTCTTCCGCTGTCTGCTTTTCGGATCAGAATTGTTCCATCAAAGGACCCGCTTGGTCCCCGTTGGGAGAGCACGAGAGCGACTTCGCCCGGCTGCTGTGACTCATCCAAACACCTTTCATCATATTCCCGTCGATATTCCACCGCTGAACGCTTCCGTCCTCCCACCCGCACGCAATCATCTTCCTGTCCGGTGAAAGCATCAGTCCGTATATCCTTCCACCCTCCTCCATGGCTCTCCGTGTAGCTCAGAAGTGCACTGGAAGTGCTCGTGGTAGCGCTAGTATCAGTACCTGCGATGTAATTCGCATCTGTGCTTGCGGTTCTGGTCTCGCATGTGTTCGTTGTCCCGGTCTTGGATTTCTTGGCCCTCGTATTTGGCCCTAGGGCCTGCACTGGTTTGTGTCCCAGCGCTTGTTTGCGGCGGCAAAACGGACCGAAAAATGTAGTGTGCCGTCACGGCTGAAGCAGTGCTTGGGCACGACCCAAGCGCCTACATGAGGCGATGTCGTTCTTCATGGAAAAAGCTGCATGCTGTAGACGCAGTGCACCACCCACGCACCTTGACCAAAACCATTGCTTCAGCAATAGGTAGATTTCTCGCACTATCCTCTTTGGCGTCTCTAACTTCCGGCTAGGCATAACAGACGAGGAACTCAGTGGGAGAAGAACTGCCAAGGATGGAGGATGCCAAACACTTACCTGGATCACATCGAGAGCCTGTCAAGACGTTTCAGGGTCATGATGATAGCGTCATTTCAATCGCAACTTTTCCGGATGGCAAGAGAATAGCGACTGGGTCCTACGACAACACAATACGGATATGGAGGCTTGAGGACGGCAAGGAGATGATGAAGTGGGTGGTGAAGCAGATGCTCGGCGCACTTGTAGTCTTGGGAAACGGGAAACAGGTTGTAAGTGCTGAGGGAGAGGACCCAACAAGCGATCCTAAAAAAGGTTTTCAAGAAGACGATTATGATAAAGTGGCGTATTGGGGGTTATGGGTACGTGATGTCGAGAGTGGGAGCATCGTGGCAGGTCCCTTGGAAGGTCACACAAATGCTGTGTTGACTTTGGACATTTCCCCTGACGGCAAGATGTTGGCCAGCGGGTCATGGGATCGCACAGTGATTTTATGGGACACGACCACCTGGCAGAGGAAAGGTCATCCTCTTGCGTGCGGATCACCCATCTATTGCATCCGATTTTCTCCGACCGGTCAACTCGGCGTTGCTACCACAGAAGATATCCAAATATGGGACTTGGAACGAAGCAAGCGTCTTGCTCAATTCGACGGCCACCGCGGCTTTAATGCAGCGAACTACTCGCTCACCTGGAGTCGTGATGGCGCACATCTCTTCTCAGCCGGTGATGAAGATGATGCTGTCATCCGCTGTTGGGATACATCCAATTCAAAACAGGCTGGTGATCCTTGGACTGGCCATGACAAAAATAAAGACATCTTCCATATCGTCTTGAACCCAGCTGGCACCCTTCTTGCATCAGCATCTAGAGACCACACTGTTCGATTGTGGCAGTTCCCCACAGGCACAGAAGTCGCCCGATTTGAGCACTCAGATGAGGTGATTCATGTTGCATTCTCGGTGGATGGACGCTCCATATTCAGTGGCGGCCGTGACATGAAAATCTCTCAATGGGAGATACCTAGGGATGTGCTCGCAGCAGTAGAAAGTGTTTCTCTGGCCAGCGCGAAGAACAAGGTGACTACTCCCCACTGTGATCTCACTCCCTCGCATGCTCACACGCACTCATTCCAAGGCTGGTCGAGCCAGACACAAGGTGTGTTTTCTAACACTACATATAATATGCATCCTGACTCTCGATCAGATGAAAGGGTTGCATAATGTACGTCGTTTTAACCCCATTCGATGGTCCCCGCTTCAATTTCTTAGTCGTATATTCATGGCCAGCGCCGAAATATGCCGGTGAACTACCAGCGCACCACTATCTCTGCATCGCCACTGGCTCATGCGGAACGCCCGTCACCTTCTCGTTCGCTTGATCTCAGGACCTTTTTCAATGACATGAGGCCGTCATTCGACAAGAAGGGGAAGCAAAAGGAGCATCAGCCGAAACAAAAGACTCCGCGAGTCGTCGATGTTCCTCTTGGAATAGTCACATATGTTTGTGTTTTGCAATTCCATTCATTGTCGTGAAATTTGACCGTATCCTTCGTTAGCCTGATGCCGTTGGTGTGGACGACGGAGAACGACCATACGTACTCTTCTTTTGCCTTTCTTGGTTCCAGAAAAAGGAGAAGAAACCAGTTCCACGGCCAGTCTATGATGACGACCCTTCGGATGACGAATCTGAGCATTCCATTCCCATACCTACTACTAGGTAAAACTAGGTGATTTGCTTGTTAAATGGCTTTATTGATGTACTGCCGTAGGACCCAATTCGACGCCCCCAAAACAGTCAAATTGAACCCAGCGACTTTTTTTCAGTCACAACCCGAGGCAGGACCATCTCGCCTCGCACCGCCAGTTGACAATGAACAACAGGTAGACATTGTCAATGTTTCGATGCCTACCCCCAGGTATTAAAATCACATTCGTTTGTTTTACGGATGACCTGATGCGGTGTCGTAGGGTCCAAACCGCCCAGCGCGAAAACATTGAATTGAAACCGATGGCCAGTCAGTCCCAGCCAGAGGCAGGACCATCTCGTCTTGCGGAAATCGAAGAACACCCGGGAGCACAGTCTTCGTAGTTTCAAGCCTTGCACCGTGGTTGCCGCATCACACCATGCTTTGGTCTCGCGAATGACGACATTGATATTGATCTTTACTTTCTACGCATTATTATCTCACATGTACAGCATTTCGCTCCAATCCAGTTGATTGCTCTTGGTCTGTACCCAGCTCCAAGCGAAACATTTCAATGGCCGCCTGATCTCCCAAACGGTCTGCATCATCCTACGTCAATTTGATATTCTTTCACCACCGAGGGAACTGCTGTGGTCAGTAGCGGGAGATGTAACCCGACATTTACAGTTGCTATCGTTGGAAGGCTCAGGTAGACTCGCGACGTCCTGAGTGCTGGCGAGATGATCAACTTCCGCGGTGAAAGCCTTCAGTAATGCTCTTGAAGCATCATCGACAATGTACGAAAGCCAGTGGTTGTACCAAGACAGCTAAGGCTGGTATCGATGCGTGTCCAACTGGAGGGTCGCAAGGAGGTTGGAGACCTGAGTCCCTCCAATGGTAGAATATGTACGCTGAAGTTTCTGAGTCCACTGGGGAGGAAGCAAGAACCGATCAATGCCTCGTTAGAGACGTGCTATCAAGCACCCTGGAATCAGATGTTGACGGACCAGATAATGTGAATTGGATAGCGGGACTCACGATCGTGTAGGCAAATGGGACCGTCAAAAGTGGTGAACAAGTTAGTCTAGGAAATGCCGGGATAATCTCGACATACCATACTCCGTCACCATTGCTGATGTATTGCTGGTGTCTGTGGACGAGACTTCAGCCAGTGCGAAGTCAGAAGAATAGCAAAGACAAACAATGGCCATGATTATTGAACTACGAATCCACGAGAAAATATCGAGAGGATTGATCCACACAACGTTGAATCCTGACGTCAGCTCAAGTATGCCTCCCGAATGCGAATGGCTTTTCTCTGGAAGAATGAGAACCATCTTGACAATGCCCCATACTCCAAGCGAGAAGTGCAGGCTGCGTTATGACCTGTAGTGGGCTGCTGTGCCTCCCGTAATGTGTGACAGTGCGACGCCCAAAAGACAAGCCTATAACAGAAGTGATAAAGTATTGGAACATTCTCAAATGTGATTACATGTAAGAACATACACATAGCACTACCTCGCCGCTTGACCCTGTAGATATGGCCAATAAGGCCGCACCTACTGACACTCCGCCAGCCCATCCGAAAGCCTGAACAAACCGCCAGAACAGCAAGCTTATGAGAGACGCGGGCGCTCCAGCGCCGAGGCTTGCTATACATAAAATAAGCACACCCTACCAGAGCATTGACCAGAGCCCATCTTTGGGGGATGATGGTTATCTAAAAGGATGCACAGTGATTGAAAAACGTACAAAATGAGGTGTGCTTACGCTGCCCATACCAAGCGCTCGATCGCATTCGCAAAGATTGACAGACTTGCAGCAAGGCTGATGACAGCCGACTTGGGATCAACAGCCAGTGCATACTGCAAAGTTCGGAAACATACCTCATAACAGCACCTGTTGAATCGAGGGCTATCTGGGGGAGCGACAAGATCACCCAGTCAGATAGTTCATCTTCAGTCTAAACAAAGAAACACTATCAGCGACAAACGAGTACTAAGAGCTCATGAAAAATAGTGCGACTCCTCCAGCACGTCACAATGTCCATGTCGTGAGCTTGTGGAGCGAGCGTGCTGGCCATTTCCAAGACTGGGCGCTTTAAAGTAGCAGTGGTGGAAGTGGACATGGTGAATGCAGCGGATGGGAGCAGGATAATGATTTAAATGTAAGGGAAAAGAGTTCAAAAGACAAGTTCTGTTCTGGTCACGCACCTCACATTAACGCGGTCACGTGTTCGGTCACATTCTTTGCCTTCAACTCCCAGCGCTGCTTCATCATGGTCTGGCTCACTCATCAATTCCTAAGGACCTTGTCGTGCGTGACTCCCAGTCGACTGGACGAAACACGCCTGCACGACAATAAACCTTGGTGCTATGAGTAGTGTTCAAGAAAAAGCGGGCGTTATTCTGACTTAAGGGATGTTCATTGAGAGGACTTCCATCTCAGTTGCGTCGCCTCGTCGCCGACCTTGTTACCTTGTCAATCCACTGCTGGATGTTCGCTGATGTTCTGGAATTGGCGGTGCCAATGGTCACTGTGTTGTTGAGGGTCTTCCTACACCTAATCCTGGAGTGCCGTTCTGGTAATCCGAACTCCTTGCCCTTTTGGTGGCGGGTGTGCTTTCCCCGCATCCTACAGCACCCACAGGAGACCCTACACGAGCCATAGATGGTGAAAATTCACCTTCTCTTGCAGTAACTTTTGGACGTCGATCCAGGCCAATGCCTTGCCATTTTCGTCCTGCTACTTCATCAAGTTCTTGAAGAAGAGGTCGACGCACTCATACATAAGATGCGGAGCCATGTGATCAGCTCTCCCAGAAGGGGGTCTTGATAAAACGGCGGATTGGCATCCATGGATGCGCGATACTGAGAATGGGAAGGTGATCAGAGCTCCCTTGGATGGTCACACCAGCGTGGTGATCACTTTAGACATTCCTCCCGACAGCAATATGCTAGCTAGCGGGTCATGGAACTGAGTTAGTTTGTGGGACGCCGACCTGACAGAGTCAAGGTGATCCCTCTCCCGTGGCGCAGGTGCTTACACGGTGTTTGGAAATCTCGTTTTGCTGCAACCCAAGGGAGAATAACAAGCAAACAGCTCATGAACACGATAGAATTAAAAACAACAGTAGTTCGTACTTTCTACAGAGGCGCCCGATTCCTTCTGCTCTCGCAAGCTCTCAGGTGTAGCTCAGAACGTTCACTAGCAGTGCTCGTCGTGGCTGTCGTATCGTTAACCTGCGACGTAATTCGCATCTGTACCTACGATTCCGGTCTCGCATGTGTTCGTTGTCCCGGTCTTGCATCTGCTGGCCCTCAATTTGGCCCTAGGGCCTGCACTGGCGCTTGTACTAGCGTCTGGACATGGTGACGTGGTGACTTGCTGAGTGCAACTGGAGATCTTGGAGAAAATCAGGGTAAATCACCGGCCTCCAGTAGTTTTTGAAGAAGAGGGGAATAATGACATTGTTGAAACGCTAGTCGTAGGCGTTTGGTCCTGTCATCGATGCTGGCTGTGTGATGCAAAAGAGCGAAACTTGTCAATGGAATGAAGACATCGTTCTTGCGCAGACAGATAAAGTACTGACTTTCAAACGACGATCTTCATGCATGTAGTACACACCAAGGAATTTAACAGGAGGGTGTGTCTCATGCTGAAAAGCGTGTAGAGGGGTGAGTGGGCTATGGAAGACTGTCCGGAGTCGTAGGGATTGAAAATCTGAAGTGGGTTCATGGGGGATAGAATAGCGGATTCTGTGGATTGTATGCCATGCAGAGCGGGGTACGACGGATAGAGGATATGATGAGTGGTTCGTGCCCCAGCGCTTGTTTGCGACAGCAAAACGGACCGAAAAATATAGTGTGCCGTCACGGCTGAAGCAGTGCTTTGGCACGACCCTAGCGCCTACACGAGGCGATGTCCTTCTTCATGGAATAAGCTGCATGCTGTAGACGCATTGCAGCAGCCACGCACCTTGACCAAAACCTTTGCTTCAGAAATAGGTAGATTTCTCGCACTATCCTCTTTGGCGCCTCTAACTTCCGGCTAGGCATAACAGACGAGGAACTCAGTGGGAGAAGAATTGAGAATGAAGGATGCCAAACACTTACCTGGATCACATCGAGAGCCTGTCAAGACGTTTCAGGGTCATGATAGTAACATCGTTTCAATCGCAACTTTTCCGGATGGCAAGAGAATAGCGACTGGGTCCTACGACAACACAATACGCATATGGAGCCTTGAGGACGGCAAGGAGATGATGAAGTGGGTGGTGAAGCAGATGCTCGGCGCATTTGTAGTCTTGGGAAACGGGAAACAGGTTGTAAGTGCTGAGGGAGAGGATCCAAGAAGCGATCCTAAAAAAGGTTTTCAAGAAGACGATTTTGATAATGTGGCGTATTGGGGGTTATGGGTACGTGATGTTGAGAGCGGGAGGATCGTCGCAGGTCCCTTGGAAGGTCACACCAACGCTGTGTTTACTTTGGACATTTCCCCTGACGGCAAGATGTTGGCCAGCGGGTCATTCGATCGCACAGTGATTTTATGGGACACGACCACCTGGCAGAGGAAAGGTCATCCTCTTGCGTGCGGATCACCCATCTATTGCGTCCGATTTTCTCCGACCGGTCAACTCGGCGTTGCTACGATGGAAGATATCCAAATATGGGACTTGAAACGAAGAAAACGTCTTGCTCAATTCAACGGCCACCGCGACTTTCACAATGCAGCGAACACCTCGCTCACCTGGACTCATGGTGGCACACATCTCTTCTCAGCTGGTAGTGGCAATGATCCTGTCATCCGCTGTTGGGTCCCATCCACCTCGAAACAGGCTGGTGATCCTTGGACTGGCCATGACGAAAATAAACACATCTTCCACATCGTCTTGAACCCAGCTGGCACCCTTCTTGCATCAGCATCTGACGACCACACTGTTCGATTGTGGCAATTCCCCACAGGCACAGAAGTCGCCCGATTTGAGCACTCACATCAGGTGTTTCGTGTTGCATTCTCGGTGGATGGACGCTCCATATTCAGTGGCGGCCATGACATGAAAATCTCTCAATGGGAGATACCTAGGGATGTGCTCGCAGCAGTAGAAAGTGTTTCTCTGGCCAGCGCGAAGAACAAGGTGACTACTCCCCACTGTGATCTCACTCCCTATGCTCACACGCACTCGTTCCAAGTCTGAAACTCAGCCCAACTCCCTATCTTCATACCTTGACGTCAGTACTTTCACCTTTGACCGCCTGTCTTCCTTGCTCACAGTGCTGTCGCAGGCTGATGCTACCGGGGGCGATGGCATGAATGATAATCCATACAACAACTTCTTCCAGGTTAAAATCGTGTTTCTCATGCAACTACATACTGCTGACAACATGTAATTGTAGTCTTCGAATCAATCTCTTCCATCGGCATCCCCTGGCTCCCATCTCCCCCACCTATTTTCAGCTCGCCGCTTCTTCAAGGTCTTCTCTCGCCCTCACCCACCGGCAGACGAGTCTGTTCCAAAAGAACGCTCGAAGCGCAAGTTCTTCGCTCGTCGTGCTCGCTCAAACGCATCCCTGGAGCTCGCAACCATGGCAGGCAATCCACCAGCACAAGAAGGGAAAGTGGGAGAAGGCAGTGGCGAGCAAGGTGACAATGATGTAAGTGCCATTTTAGCTCTCCCACAATGACACCTCAATACGACGGCTTTCAGTGCGGTTCCGCGAATGATCCGCCCAGCGCCAGAAATAATGAAAGCGGACAGCGAGACGAGACTCCCACCGACACGCAGAGCCCACTGTCTCATGCACTCACTCCCCCTGCCGACCTCCATAGCAAATATCATCGAAACCTTTGGGAATGGGTAATACAGGCACGAGGAAACAATGCTATATCCAGTTCCCTGGATTTCAGTACTCGGCCTTCAAATGCACCCAAACCAATACCCCGCCAGCCTTGGCACCGGAATTCCAATTTATTTCCCGCAAGATCTTCTAGACGTCCCGTTGATGTGGCCGCTTGCCGCGACGAAGATGTGAGCAGCTTGTCATTGCTGCTCTTTCATATCATTAAAATCACTGTGCAGAGATACGGCATTGTCCCTGAATCTGACGCGGAAGCGGCTGCAGCTATGCTACGGACAAGCGACAATGAGGTCGACAGTCCCATGCAACCAGGTCGACCTGCAGTGGGGGCGCAAGTGTCTCACGGACGGCCCACACAAACACAAGCCTTGACCAGCAGGCCAGAGGGAGACGTCTATGAAGGAGTAAGCTGCTGCGGAATTTTCTTAGGCTATCGTCGTCGTTCCAACTCACTTCAGCCATGATGTCATTTTCTGAGACACTCTTTGTCACACAATCAATTTCTTTTGTTTGCATAGTAGATGAACCATATCATACCCAGCTCTGCACCGTCCGATGTACACGAGCGGTATTATATTGCATAGCTGACCACATGACACCATCTCATTCGAAAGAGCCGCGTCCCGAAACTCAATTGATTGATATGCATACTCGATGCATACCTCCTGAGAGTTGTCCACGGTTCACTGCGAGTTACTCATTTGCGATCGCACTTTCTTCAGCCACCGCAGGTTCTACTCCCCACGCCCTACGCAGGCTAATACACTGACTCGCCTATTCGGCTTGATAGTCAATTCACACTTCAGATTCGATGTTCATTGGCACACCTGCCACCCACATAACCAAACACGTGCATACTTCGATGAAGTTTGCACCTCGCGCGACTCTATTATCCGCCCCAATGCTCAGTCATGCTGGTCAGCCATCTTCTGCAACGTATCTATACTCCACCAGAGATATCCGATGGTTTTGCTGCTGGAGGCGACTTAACTTTGTTAGGCTGCTCTTTATTTTTGTTTCGGCGCACAGACTTCTGTGTTGGACTTTCGCTTCTTCATACTTGCACCTCCTTTGATGGGTTTGGCGTCTCGACATGACTGAAGCGCCCACAAAGTTCAGTAAGTCAGCGACGAGCGAATTACATACGTGCGAGGCGATTACATTAAAAACTCGCCCATCAGAGTTGCTTAGTATGATATGGAGTCCGTCTTCGTACAGCGCGGACCAGTGATCAGGGGTGACGGATCTCGAAAAGCGTCAAAATGCTGCTCGCAATCAGCATTAATCCAAGGGCCTTCGTTTGTGCTGCAGGATCGCGTGTGATTTACAGACCTGCAGACTAAACCGTGAATGCTGATCGACTTCTTCATCCAATTAATTAATCACCGACCGTGGCAGGGTCATATCGATCCATCAGATTGTGGTAACGGGATATGACATCTGAATCTTCTGCAAAGTCTACCCTTGAGGAAGCTTCAACCCCAGCGCGCGAGCCAAAGGACCAACTCCAAAGCACAAGTGTCAAGGGCACGAGAGGGCGATTTGGGATTCCGTCTTCTTCTACGACAATGTGCACATAACGAGCGGTTCTGAGGATGGCACGATGCGAGAGTGGAACTGCGCCACAGGGCTTCTGTCGGAGAGTCGTAGAAAGGAAAGGGCGGAAGGATATATGCGCTGGCACTTTCACCGGATGGCAATGTTCGTATGTGCGAGGGGGGAACGAATGGGTTCAGTAGTGGAATACTGTCGGGGAGATAATCGCAGGCTTCTGAATGGGTCATAGCGGCCGGGTGAGGTTGCTGCGAAGCATATCGATAAGGTCCTTCCAGTTAGTATGGAGCTGAATGACGCGTAATCAGTGTTTCGGGGTGACACGAGAAGTAGACCCAGGGCGAACATGAGGCTGTAGGGCACTACATGAGGGCAATTAAGGAAAATTGGCTGTACTTTGGAGTACTTCTGATTTGAGGCGAAGACACAATCCAGCATCAGATGAATATACCGGAAGCAGAATGTACTCACCTCACCTGGTATGCAAAAATTCCCTTGCGCGCTCTATGTCCTGTACCTGTGCTCAGCTATATCGCCTCGCGCATGTTATTATGGCTCGTTCTGGAGAGCGCTGGCAGGGGCTACGAGTTATTGTATTGTCTTCTGTACAGGAGTAGCCCTATAACGAGTAAGAGAACATTAGAGTTCGGAGTACATACGAGCAGGAACAGAGACAACAGGATATCGCGCTGGCCAAAGCCAGCAAAAGATTCAGCTGACTTAATAAGTGAAACATAACACTAGAGCGAAAAATGTAGAGAACGAACGAACAATAGAACAAAAGTTCATTATCCTGGCATCGCTGGACGCGGCGCACACTTGGTCACTTCCATCACTTGCTTTCCCGACGGCCAGTGAGTGATTGGCGGGTCTTAGGGCAAGACTGCTCCACGATGGGACTTTCAGGCAGGTAAGGTGATTGAGAAAGCGCGGGATTTTTGCAAAGCGGAAATACGGGCAATGGCAATGTCAACGGATGGTCGACGAGTTGTCAGTGGTCAGTGGTCACTGCTAGTGATCGTCCGGAGCTGAAAGTTTGGGATGTTGGGACGGGGATTGTGAAAAAAAATTAGGGCTGTTCTCCAGGAGTGAGCTATATGCATGTCCATGCGGACAGCACACTTCTGCCAAGCGGGTCAGATAATTCCACAGCACTGATTATGGGGCTCAGGTAAATTGCCGCATCACTGCCGCAACTTGCCGCACCCTAACGCACCACTGCCGCACCCATCCCAAATCATGAGTACTACACTTATTTTCAGCCTGCGCTGTTCTCGTGCACCAAATAAATGAACTAGGAGTGTTTCTCGTCCGACTCCTCAATTATCCACTTCACACTAATGCATTTGAGAGGCTGAATTCAGAGAACAATTTTGAGCATGTTGCGGCACGGATGCGGTACTGGGTGCGGCAGCTTCCAATCAAGGTGAGTCTTAGTATACTGTGTACTATATATGAGACACTAACATTCAGACTGTCTACAGCACCCACCTCGCAACGGCCTGTCTCCCTTGACAGGCGCCCTCTGACTGCAATATCATATAGGCTTACCATGTGCACGTCACACCACCCCTCAATGGCACAGCCACTAATATCGAGGGATGCGCATCGATTTTGCAGTATCACGCTTATCATTGCATCTTGTGCGAGACTCGACGTTTGCCTGAATGCTGTTGTTATACAGCCCTAGTCGCAAGGATGATTTTGGTACGTTAAAGGATTTTAATTCGTGAATTCTACTGATTGTATCATTATATCCTCCAGAGTTTTATCCGTCAATTACTTCGGCGCGGGACGCCATGCGAATGTGATACAACGCAGCTCAATACTGTGGGTGTGACCCATAGTGCCAAGGAAGGTGCGTGACCTAATGACTGCTCGGAGACTGGGCATCCTGAATCATGGCCTCCAGCCTCCAGTTACAATCGCACAGAAACTGTGACTGCGCAACCTCTCACTGGTACTCCCAATGAACATGTTCGTGTTGACGGTAAGCATTTTTCGGCCCTTCTCTTTCACTGTGCCAATTCTTTATTTGATGACTCCAGTTACCGTCCGTGTTTTTGACTCGCCAAATCAAAGGCTCGAGTCGCAGCACTATACCTCGAATGCTCACACCACTCCGACTTTACAACAACAACCCGCCCCATCACAGCTTGCACTGGCGAACCAACCGCCGCCAAATGAGGCGCGAGATCAGCCTCATGAAAATGTGCGAATTCCTATTGACGAGCCACATGGACGAAAGGCTACGCACACCTTTGCTGTCTCTGAACCAAGGGCACATAAAATGCAGCCCCAGGAACCTACCAGTGGCAATACCGAGTGGGATGTCTGGCCTGACGGCCACATTGTTCGCACCTACTCACATGAAGATGCCAAACGACCCGAGGTCAACGATTTCCACGTCCACTGGGCTTGTGAGGGCGTAGGTGCTCCTCGAAAACAACACAAAGGCTCACTCGATGCGTTACAGTGGCAAGACGGTGTACGTAGTCGTCGACGTTGCCACGGTGTAATTATATGCACCAACCATGAATCCAAGGGTGGATCATGTGCCATTGTCATCCGTCCTACAACAACCAAGAAACTCATTACAAGGCAGCTTGAGACAACATGCTCGTGTGGTGCCATGCTCGTCCATAATAACTGCGGTATAATTTACGACCTTTTCAAATTTGCGGGTGGTGTGTGCTTTGTTCATCGTGGCTTTCACAACCACCTTCGCCCACCACGACGATTGCATCTAACGAAAGTGGAATCGGCTCTCTTCCAGCAAGTCATTGAGGAGCACCCCCGCATGGGTGCGACACAGCTTTTGATGGGTCGCCCAGGCATCAATGGACCCCAGGAGTCAATTGCGGGCATATCCCCGGTGCTTCTGAACACAGCCAGGGTGAATGCTGAGAGGAAAAAGGTTTTCACCATGAGCCGAGGGAAGGACATTATCGCAGAGTTCACGGAGTTCCAGCGCCAGCATCCTAATTTTGTGATTTTCCACACCTTCGAGCCCGTCGCAGTTAGTGCTGCCGTGGTCCGGTTCGGTCCGGTTCAGAGGGTCCTGGACGAGAACCAAGAACCGGACCATGGTTCGGTTCTACAAAATCTTCGAACCCAGAACCGGACCTCAGAGAACGGTTCTCTGAGGTCCGGTTCGGTTTTTTTCCGGTCTGAACTCGAACCGAACCCGAAAATTTTAGTAGGGGCGAAAAATCATTTACAAAGTCTCTGGAACAGCTGCGTAGGAGGGGGAGGGTCCAGCCGTTGACTTGTTCACCCGTGCAGGATGAGCTGCTGAAGATTTGGGAGGTGGAGCTTGACATCTTGTGCGCAACTGGTGCATCGCACTCGACGGCAAGGGAAACTAGGAGCGGGAGAGCATTTAATGCCTATATGACCTTGGGAAGGAGTTCGGCGGGTACGTGTCAGTGAGCAGTGCGCACATCGTGCAGCTTCTATATTGACAGATCTGTTAAGACTATATCAACTTCTCTGGTAAGACCACATACTGCTTATGATGCCGTTACACCACATAAGTTCTTGCAATGCGTACCCAGCGTGTCCGCAATGGGTCCAAATGCCCTTGTCGACAATGGAAATATCTAGGTTGGGAGTCTGAGTGAGTATAGATGTGAGGGCGGCTTCAAAATCGTCGAGGGAGGGACCACGACGCTCGTAGAGAAAGTGAGTTATATGTAAACGGCGTGTCTACCACCCCAGTGACTCAGGGATTTGGAAGTGAGAAGGAAGTAAGAGAGCGGAGCTTCGAGAGGTCATTCAAAAACAGATAGCGGACGAGGAACTTGAGGCCGAGACACGCCATGATTTGCATGTTGATATGATTGACTACTAGAGGACAGGTGAGCGAAGAGCACCTGTAGGTGTAACCTCGAAGATGTTGAGGGTTGCGGACGGTCGGTCGCTTTAACATTGTCGCGTTGAAAGTGGAGGAGCGAGGAAAGGCGAACAAGGAGTGTGCTTGCAGAGGAATGAGGGTGGGCACCACCCATTTGGGAGGACTGAGAGCACAAGATCAGGACAAGAACTAAGTGATAGAAATACCGATAATGAACATGAAACGGCTTCTATGCTGTCAAAAACCTAGGTGGGAGTTCATTGACATGACCGACCCCCGAACTCATTGTGACATCATCGTGTAGCATCGACCTGCAACGTTAATGTTATACTAACCACTGAGCATGTTCACAAACAATCCACGTACTTCCAAAAATGACTTGACACTGAGCAAAGAGCGTTGTCAGTGAGAGAGAAAACCATAGTCAATCGTAAATATCTTAAGTTCGAAAATAAAATCGGTTCGAGGTTCGGGACGGTTCGGGACGCGTCCGAACCAACATAGAACCGTTCGGCCAATGCAGAACCGAGAACCGTACTATGGTCCGGTTCTGGCTGACACCTGGACCGTGGACCGAACCACACAAGAACCGGACCAAAGTCCGGTTCGAACCGTGGTTCTGGACCGAACCACGGCAGCACTAGTCGCAGTTGTCATCACGCAGTCACCCACCATGTTGTCGTTTCTCGTCAAGAATCACAGCAATGGCATTATATCTGATGCTGCCCATGGGTTTTGGGCTGAGCGTAACGATCTCTTAATCATAAGCTCGGTCTTCAGTGATGCTTTGCAATGCTGGGTGCCAGGTGTGATGACGTGGTCGAATGGTGGCACCGAAGCACACTACCGTCATCATTTCCGTGCGCTATTTGAAACAATGGCTGGGGAGTATGAAAGGCAGAACATTATTCTCACTGACGATCTTTTTGCCAATGTAAGTGCACGATGTCGAACATAGTGACACCAATTCCTCACGAGTTCATTTTCTATAGGTCGTTGATTTCAGCCAGGCAGAGCGAGCAGGCTTCATCAATGCATATGTAGAATTCTGGATGGTTCGTGAAGATAATACTCGCCCAGCTGAAGAACTTGCAGAAGCTGCCAGGGGTCTACTGAAGGGCTGCCACCAACATTTTCGTGCACAGGTCACCCGCGTCAAAAAAATTAGTGGTGTCGTCCCTCCTGCACTTTCAGATGTGTTTGAAGATCGTGTGCTGCAGCTCCTGCAGTGTCAAGACCTTGCGACGTTCAAGTCTATCTCATCCTCTCTCGTTCGCGACTACCCCAAGGCTGAGGACTGGTTGAACTGGTGGATGGCAGATGGGCGTGCCGAAATGTTGTTCACTCCCTTTCAGCGCATGCCAGATAATCTCTGGTATAATCTCGAGGACCAACGCGGAGGAGGCAATGCATTGGCGGATATACTGTGGCCTTGGCAAGTTTCATAGCTTCGTGGCTGGATTACATGCACTGCGGGCATTTTCTGAGTATTGGCAGCTGCAATTGGCTGGTAATTCTTGTACGTGAATACCCTTATAGGCATATATGCTCACTAATCACTAAGGGCCTAGCTGGGATTCCTCTTTTCTATGGAAATATGCGGCAGTTTTGGCAGAAATGGAAAGCCGAGCTTGGCACTACGCATCCTTCTCGTGCACCAGACAAGATCGCAGCCAAAAAACGAACTCGAAATGATGGTCGCCCCCCTGATACAGCTCGTCAATTACTTGGCAATCACTCTACCAATGGAGAGGCCCTACATGACACATCATTGTCTCCGACGAAACGACCCCGCCTAAATGACATCAAACGAGCTTCCTATAAGTGGTCTAACAACTCATGTTGGCTTGATACTTCACTCGAACTTCTTTTTGCTGCTGCCTCACGAGATTTCGAGACATCATTCAGCCCCCGAATGTCAGAGTTAACTGATGACGACTCGCTTTCACTCCTCAGTCATGCCCTCAATGCTCGCGCTGTGGTGCAAGGCCCCGATCCCTCAGCACCAGATGATATTGTTGGTATGTTGATTGTGCAGCGTGATAGTCTTAGAAAAGACCTCTCCGACAAGAATATAATCTCGGACGTAGACTCTTTCGAACCAATCTTTGTATGTAATGAAACGAACTAATCTGGTCACATCCTAAACAGAACTCTTGTTTTGCAGACTTGGTTAGGATCATTGCTCGACTATCCCGACGAAGCATTGGCTCCTCACACTCAACTCCTTACAGATATTCTTGAGCATCCAGATCCCGTGAAGATGCGCGACACAGTCCCAGTTCTTGGATATCTCGCCAACCTGTCAGAGAAATCAGGTTGTAGGCACACTACAGTCCCATATTGTGGTGATCTGTCACTCACGGACTGTGCCCATATTGCGAACTGGATTTACCGACATGTCCCTGGCGCAGCTAAACGAATTATTGATTGGCTGAACTGTGCTACATATGCACATGCTTGCACTATCGTAGTTTCGAAGCGCAAGAAAAACTTACTCCAGGAGCCGGCCGAAAATATCCTCATTGAACGTCGCTCGTCAGGACCTGACGTGGACTCAGTTCCTACTCCCGAAGAACGAGAAAACGCGATGCTCCAGGCTGCCTGGCTTGACCTCCAACTCAGCTATGATCTGACCTCGATGGATATAGACGTCGACTTGGAGTGTCTTGGCATACTGGAACAGCGGATGTTCGAGCTCTCGTTGGCTGCAGGAGCTGCAGGAAATGAACAATGGGGCAAAGATGCTGGAGCACACCAAGAGCGATGGAATCCCTATGAGGGCCTCCCTGAGCACTGGAATCATGGCGACCGAGATTCATACGCACCAGAATTTGAAGGAGAAGTAGACGTGCGTCATCATCACTTTTCATCGCGGATCAGTCTGATATGGTTCGACTGATAGTGCGGACCTAACTTTAGTGAGGGAAGTGAGCCTGACGTAGTTAAGAAAGAGAAACACACCAAAAAAACCAAACCGCGGCCACGACCAAGGAAGATACACAAGGCTTCATAGGCTGGGGCCTCGTAGTAGTAGTTTGTACTCTGAAATGAACGAGACTCAGCTTGCAAGGACAAAAGGCCACACAGATATGACATACATACATCAAAGCACCGGTATCCGTTTGCACAGGTTGGTGCAGAATCTGGTCGAGGAGATGTGTGACAGCGAAGTCAGCAAGGCATGCAACCAGCGAAGACATCTGTTGAATGAGAGGCGGAGGCATCGAGGCGCCAAACCTGACAGGCGTGAGCCTGTGTGAGGGGTCGTTGAGTTGCCTCACCAAGTTTCGCGCAGCTGCTGGTAACGGTGCTGCAAGTGGAGTTGATAAGATGCGTGGTTTGGTGTCGGTGCAGTGGTGCGGTAGTGCACAGCCACTGCCGCACCCAACTACAGAATTGCCGCACCCGATTACAGAATTGCCGCACCCGATTACAGAATTGCCGCACCCTACCGCATCACTGCCGCACCCATCAAGTACATATATCACTGTAGTACCACTGTTAGCCTTACACAAACACCTGGAATATAGTATTACTTATTCTTAAATCATATTCCAGACAGTTGCGTACGACGTAGACGCATTTAAGAGGCATATAAGACATTGTTGAGTAGGGTGCAGCAGGGTGCGGCACAGATGCGGCAATTTCCTAAGGCCCCTGATTATGGAGCTGAGCTGAAACGGTCCGGGTGGTTTGGAACTCCGCTGGGACTTGTTGAACCAATCCATCGCGCTCTACTACCTGTTTGTGAGGGTCCTCGTGGACATTTTTGCGCATGTGAATCAAAGCCTTATACGAACCTGCAATGGATGTACTGTGGGCTGAAATAAATCAGTTGGAACCACTGCTAGAATCAGAAACAGCAGCGATTGTATAACGAGGCTGCATCCACCTGATATATCGCAGCGGTGCAAGGGTCAGTTTCGCTCTGTTCATGTTTTTCGCTCATTTGCAGCCTCTGGCTGACCAAGGATCTAAATAGTGGGACTACTCCTGGGCAAACGGCGTCAAACCATTATCTGCTGATGAGACCCATCAACTTCGCCTCACTCCACTCATTGCGCAATTATATCATACAATCACTCTTTTCACGTTCTCTTGGCCATCCCTTTCCAGGAATGCGTTTTCCCGAGGTTGCAGTCTTTAACCTGGACTCAAATGCGGATGTGCTCCTCTCCCACATATTTGGACTTGTTCCTGCCCCATACGCTGATCTGTTGTTATCTGTCAGTCGTCAGTGAAGATCTGACACTCTATCGTGACCCGTTGTGTTGCTTTGCAGGACTTATCCAGCAGATCAACTTTTCCTGCTGTCTAACCGTGTCCGTCTGTGCGGGTGGCTTGTAACTCTGTCTTGTTCACCGCTCGACTGGGCAGCACGTTTGTTAACACCCGAGGCCTCGTACAATTTCTGACTTCTGAGTCCTGACGATCGTGACCTCGACATCTATATATCTCCCGTCCGGCATCTGATTGCCAGGACGAGTCATCATAGCATACGCGAGGCCACATAGCTGAGCACAGGTGCGCCGTGCGAACACAAGACGCAGAGCGTGCAAGTGAATTCTGGCATGCCAGGTGGGTATGTTGTGCTTCCAGTACATTCGTTTGTTCTTCGCCCTGAACCAGAACTTCAGAGGTGCCCGCGAGCACGCCGACCTTCCTCAATTGCCTCCACGTAGTACCCCACAGCCTCACGTTTGCCCTGGGCCCGTCCCTCGTCACCCCGAAACACTGATTACGTGTCTCTTATGGAAAGCGGGAGTGATCAGCTTCGCGAGAGTGATCAGCTGGAGACTAAAATGGCATTTGTTTGGCTCTTCTCCTGCAAGACCCCAGATCACCCATAGCCCATATATGCGGCTGTGCGTACCCGTCTACAATCAATGTTAATAATTCTGCAAATGGGCTGGCCCAGCCGGGACAGGCTGCACATGCCAGGATGCAGTGGATACCAAAAACGACACCGAGCCTGCTCAGGTGTCTCACCAAGATATTCCTGGGGGCGCTTTCGCTTCTGATCTTGCAGATGTTTACTATAGCCAGCGGTTGGAGTCTCCTAACCCTGACCACAACCACGCTATCATCACATCGCACGCCAGGACCCAGTCCCTTGCTCGCACCAACTCCAACTCCAGCCCCAGATACGACCATTCATCAAAATCGAACGAATCTCTAGACGTCGACGTATGGATACCGACTGACCTGGTGCGCAGATATGTTCTCCCAAATCACCAACTTTTCACCGTAGCCGAGCGGTCACCTTCCAACGTTGCTCAACTCCTTGCGCTCTTCTCACACGACAATGTTCCGCCTATCTTACGACGAAGAGCAGGCGAACTTGGGGAGGTCATCAAGTCTACTGTAGAACGAGTGACATCTTCAGGAGTTGCTGTTGAGGCCGTCATGGTTATAGTCTACAGACATCGAAATAGTCAACTCGGCTATCTTTGACGGATTGGCGATCTAGTAGGATAAGCTTATCCCAACGAAATGTATACATAAAACGGACATCATCAGACATAGCACAACTTGCAACTAAACTATATGTATTTCTAACGCGCATGTTTTTTTTGGCATTCTTGGCCTACTTCACCTTCGGTACCCCGGAGCAGATGAAGACAAAACAAAACGACACAACAGACAACGGGTACAGGTATGCCCGGGGGGCCCTTGCGAATCTAAAATTGTGTGACTGCTTTGTGACTCGTGAGTATCCGAGCAAAAAAAGACTCTCGATTTCACTGACCTGCTGGACGCCTAATTAACGCGTGGTCTTCTGCCAGAGGCCCAAGCATTGATGGTGAAGGGCAACTTGAAGCGAACGAGGGAGGACCAAGATCCTGATGACGGTCAGCACGAACACCGCACACACGCTCGACGCTGTTTCCTTACATCATTCCAATTATTTTCAGAGCAGATACCAACCCACCGGAACAAAATTTTAAGGCATAATGATCGACCTTCAGCTTCCGTTGCAATTGACAGCGCTGTTGAAAAAGATACCAAAAGCGATGATGTTGAAATTGTAGATTCTCGTCCACACACTTTACGTCCAGCACCGCTGGGCGGCACCCACGGAAATACTATCAACTCTTTGCTTGACCTAACTTCTTTGTGCTCTCAGGACAACATATCTGCACGCTTTGACTCCATATCAAGCGCTTTATTGTCTGAATATTATCTTTCAGTCATTCATGGCGGCTCTCAGACGGACTATGAAATCCTCGAACTAGAATTCTACTTCCAGAAGACAGCCTGTCACGAGGACCCATTCACCCATGGAAGTGCAGAGCAGGAGCGCAGCGGGCAGTGGTGAGAAATTACTCATGAGTTGTCGTATAAGAAATGGTTCAAATCGGCTCTCACAGGTATTTTCATCGTGCACCAAAACGCTCAAACACATCCCAAGCCAATCTTGCTGCCACTGTAGCAGGAGGTTATCGGGGCGGCACCCGTAAAGGCCTTGATTTGACATTTGGTGGTCCCCGTATGCACTCAAGCGTCTTCTAGCATGGAGCCTCACATCACATCAGCAATATTGCGAGGCGGTGCTCTTCTGCGCACCATACGTCGATATCATGACCAAAAGGTCATCTCAGGACCCTCACTCCTCGTCGATGAGATTTTGCGTGTGTGCAGTGCTTCGAACATCAACGAGCTTGTGTCTGCTAAATGGCAAGGCGACATTTCTGCCCTCTCAGCCCCGAGCCAACCAAGAAGCATTTATATGTACTTGCGCGAGCGACCTGCATCGAGCCTTGCGACTTCGCCCGTGTTCCGTTCTCCACGCATTGGACTTGATCTTTCTAACCCGGAAACCAAAGCCAGCCCAACACACCCACGAGTTATCTTTGTCGGCAAATTGTATCGGTACTTCACTTATCCAGAGCTCCTCGTTACCAACGGACGCACGCAAACATTCGTAGGACTATACCTGGCTCTTGTCGAAGGAAAGAAGTACGAGCCTGGCTCACTCGAGTTCCGCAACGAACTGAACAAGCTGACGGGGATCAAGGACACGACTCTTGCCAAGTATTTTTCGGACTATCAGCTCGGATACGAGAAAGGGAAGTTGGCAAACTTCGTTGGGGCTCATGGAAAAGGTGTCTTAGCGTCGGCGTCTGCATATCTTAGGATGATGGGTACGCTCGCAATGGTCCTGCACGAGGCTCCATGAAACGATTGTATATATTCAGGTATCTGTAAGTGCTGCCTTAAGTGCTGCTCTAGTGCTACAGCTCACAACGTATTTCTGAAGTAAAAGGAGAATATGTTAACTAAATAATGAATGAACGGGATTGGACCACATGCTAAAACAACATGCTCATCTGGGAGCGAAATCACCTTGGTGAGACACCTGAGCAGGCTCCGAGTCAAGATCGTAGCCGGTGTCGTTTTTGGTATCCACTGCATCCTGGCACGTGCAGCCTGTCCCGGCTGGGCCGCTGAGCCCATTTGCAGAATTATTAACATTGATTGTAGATGGGTACGCACAGCCGCATATATGGGCTACGTTCTGTGGGTGATCTGGGGTCTGGCAGGAGAAGAGCCAAACAAATGCCATTTTAGTCTCCAGCTGATCACTCTCGCGAAGCTGATCACTCTCGCGAAGCCGATCATTCTCGCGAAGCTGATCACTCCCGCTTTCCATAGTCTCAGTTCCACGATAGGTTGGAGGTCCTTACGGATATGCTTCGCAATGGCCATCCCATCTGGGGACAGAGTCCTCAATCGAAGAGAAGCATGACGAATGGAGATATCCATTGTAACTATTTTGATTGGTGCCTTCAAGTTTCATGCAGCGATATACGCTGCAATTCAACTGCGTCGCGCCCTTAACCTTCAAAACGGAAGGTTACTGGTAATGCCAATGAAAACTAGCCCTTTCTCGTCCAGAGTCAAAGTTGCATGCCGATAGAACGGAGTTAATACAGCTTGGACGACCATCGAAGAGGTGGCCGTCAGCGTATCATAGTGAGTAAGGGATAGGTGCCCACCAGGCGTGCAGTGACCTGCGAAGTCACAGGCAACAGCTTGTTTTGAAAGTACTCGATCACAGTCTCGGGATGGCGCACGATGAACGGGCCGAAGACTGACATCATCGCAAGCACGCTGAAGCGCTGGGCCAGTGTGGGATTTCTATATGGCATTCTTGTGAGTTGACGGATGTAGTAGAAGGAACAGGAACGTACGAGCGCAAAACCGTGTTGATAAACCGGAGCATTGGGAGGAAGGTCATTTTTGTGCGGTTGCATGCGAGGGAGAGGCGAAACGAGGTCGCAACACTTACGGGGGACGAGGAGCTGAGAGATTACGCGCACCATGACAATCAAATCCACGATGCGGAACAAAAGAATCTTCCCCAGGGAACGAACAGAGTTTATTTCCAGGTCAATTCCGATACGCTCTAATGTACACTGCACCTGAGTTTGGACATGAATAATGTGGACGTGTGACTAACTCATTATCCACGTCATCCATACTTATTCCGCAGGCCCTAGAACCTGAGAGACGTTAACTTTCAAGGGTCAAGAGAGTTTCAGTCTTCAGGTCCCACATTGGTGCTCGTCTCCAATTAACTGTGCCTCGGGATCCAGAAATAAATTGCAAATGATCACGATCAACAGTCTATCGACATGCCAATATCATCTGCTAAAGATGAGCTCACCTGACCCCGAACACCAATACTCCTCTTGCAATCTCAACCAACGCCTCCGCTTCGTTATCCTAGATGCCAAATAAGCAAGCCTCGATAGGCATACGGCACGTATCTGCCCAAAAGTCGTTAGTGTACACCCAGTCGTGACGTCAATTGTAATGAGCAAACGATAATATAGTAGTACGTGGAACTTGCTGTCGTCCGCCCAAAAGACAGGATCACAACTCCAGGTTGAACCAGAACCACAAGCAGCAGAGACCTAGATCCCAAATGCAACAGGCCACCACGCCTTTGTTTCCACAAATGCTAGATCGGGGAGAGCGAGAACGTGAGGTTGCTGCTGCGGATATGGGGACTTGGTGATATCTATGCAGCGTGAATGAGCAGGAGAAGAAACAAAAGAGCAAGATGAAAAACAACGGCGCGTGAGACAGAAGAAGCAAATTGACTTCCACCGCACCCCTCCTGCACTGTGTACACGTTCAAGAGAGAGATGCGCGGGGATTGGGGAGCCGTTCACGCTCGTAATATGTACGCATGCATTGACTTGGAACGCATGCGAGAAGGCGACTGAAGTTTGGGCTTGCCGTTGTCCATAGATGATCAGCCTGCGTCTACGTATAACCTGCCAGTGAGATGAGATGAGGGCCAATATATAAATAGTTAACGACAGTTGAGAGAGACTACCGAGGATTACCGTTGGTCTATCATGCCAAGAAGCAACAGATTTGAGTTACAGTTTACAGCTGTGCAGCTTTCGGACTCACCTTGACTCTTCCGTTTTCTGCTAAAGGACCCGCTTGGTCCCAGTTGGGAGACCACGAGAGCGACTTCACCCGGCTGCTGTGACCCCTTTCATCATCTTCCCGTCGATATTCCACCGCTGAACGCTTCCGTCCTCCCACCCGCACGCAATCATCTTCCCGTCCGGTGAAAGAATCAGTCCGTATATCCTTCCACCCTCCTCCATGGCTCTCTGTGTAGCTCAGAAGTGCACTGGAAGTGCTCGTGGTGGCGCTAGTATCAGTACCTGCGATGTAATTCGCATCTGTGCTTGCGGTTCTGGTCTCGCATGTGTTCGTTGTCCCGGTCTTGGATTTGTTGGCCCTCGTATTTGGCCCTAGGGCCTGCACTGGTTTGTGTCCCAGCGCTTGTTTGCGGCGGCAAAACGGACCGAAGAATATAGTGTACCGTCCCGGCTGAAGCAGTGCTTTGGCACGACCCAAGCGCCTACATGAGGCGATGTCGTTCTTCATGGAATAAGCTGCATGCTGTAGACGCATTGCACCAGCCACGCACCTTGACCAAAACCTTTGCTTCGGCAATAGGTAAATTTCTCGCACTATCCTCTTTGGCGTCTCTAACTTCCAGCTAGGCATAACAGACGAGGAACTCATTGGGAGAAGAATTGAGAATGAAGGATGCCAAACACTTACCTGGATCACATCGAGAGCCTGTCAAGACGTTTCAGGGTCATGATGATAGCGTCACTTCAATCGCAACTTTTCCGGATGGCAAGAGAATAGCGACTGGGTCTCTCGACAAAACAATACGCATATGGAGGCTTGAGGACGGCACGGAGATGACGAAGTGGGTGGTGAAGCAGATGCTCGGCGCACTTGTAGTCTTGGGAAACGGGAAACAGGTTGTAAGTGCTGAGGGAGAGGACCCAAGAAGCGATCCTAAAGAAGGTTTTCAAAATGACGATTTGGATAAAGTGGCGTATTGGGGGTTATGGGTACGTGATGTTGAGAGTGGGAGGATCGTCGCAGGTCCCTTGGAAGGTCACACAAACTATGTGCGGACTTTGGACATTTCCCCTGACGGCAAGATGTTGGCCAGCGGGTCATATGATCGCACAGTGATTTTATGGGACACGACCACCTGGCAGAGGAAAGGTCAGCCTCTTGCGTGCGGATCATACAATTGCATCCGATTTTCTCCGACCGGTCAACTCGGCGTTGCTACCGACGAAAATATCCAAATATGGGACTTGGAACAAAGGAAGCGTCTTGCTCAATTCGACGGCCACCGCGGCTTTAACAATGCATTGAACTTCTCGCTCACCTGGACTCCCGATGACGCACATCTCTTCTCAGCTGGTAGTCAAAGTGATCCTGTCATCCGCTGTTGGGTCACATCCACCTGCAAACAGGTTGGTGATCCCTGGACTGGCCATGACGAGAATAAACACATCTTCCACATCGTCTTGAACCCAGCTGGCACCCTTCTTGCATCAGCATCTGAAGACCACACTGTCCGATTATGGCAGTTCCCCACAGGCACAGAAGTCGCCCGATTTGAGCACTCAGATATGGTATTTCGTGTTGCATTCTCGGTGGATGGACGCTCCATATTCAGTGGCGGCAAGGACAAGAAAATCTCGCAATGGGAGATACCTGAGGATGTCCTCGCAGCAGTAGAAAGTGTGTCTCTGGTCAGCGCGAAGAACGAGGTGACTACTCCCCACTGTGATCTCACTCCCTCGCATGCTCACACGCCTCATTCCAAGGCTGAAACTCAGCCCAACTCCTTATCTTCATACCTTGACGTCAGTACTTTCACGTTTGACCGCCTGTCTTCCTTGCTCACAGTGCTGTCGCAGGCTGATGCTACCGGGGGCAATGGCATCATCGAGGAGGGGAATGATAATCCATACAACAACTTCTTCCAGGTTAACCTCGTGTTTCTCATGCAACTACATACTGCTGACAACATGTAATTGTAGTCTTCGCATCAATCTCTTCCATCGGCATCCCCTGGTTCCCATCTCCCCCACCTATTTGCTCGCCGCTTCTTCAAGGTCTTCTCTCGCCATCACCCACCGGAAGACGAGTCTGTTCCAAAAGAACGCTCGAAGCACAAGTTCTTCACTCGTCGTACTCCTGACCCACAATTACGACGTAAGCACTGATAACTCATGCGTCGACGCGAAGATGATTAACTGGTTGTTCAGAACTGCGTCAGAAATACGTCAGTCCGTCTGAGGTAGAACACGCTATTCGACAAGGCATTGACGCTCACCTGGGAAATGCCCCACTTCGTCTGCTCAACACATCCACTGGGCGTTTATGCAATCGGGAAGCGCAGATCCTTGATTTCAAAGAAAGCACAGAATACAAGGAGCTTTTTTATTCATTGATGATGCATACGCCCCTCCAAACAGAGCCCATCACAGAAGCAGTCGAGAGGTACTTTAGTTGGGTTATGTTATCGCACAGGTGGGAAAGGAAGGAGCCGCTGTTGCATGACATCCGGGACAAGGTCGTGTACAAGTTGAAGGCAGTTGGTGGCATCGGGAAGCTGCAAATGTTCTGCAACATGGCTCGTGCCGCAGTGTATCGCTGGGCATGGGTCGATACATGTTGCATCGACCAGAATAATAATGTCGAGCTTCAAGAATCAGTCAACTCGATGTTCACCTGGTATCGCCACTCAGCACTCACCATTGTTTACCTATCGGATGTTCCGCCTGCGTCGAAGTCCGGTGCACTCGCAGACAGCACTTGGAACACGAGAGGATGGACTGTTCAGGAATTTCTCGCTCCTAAAATCATTCTCTTCTACCAAGCAAATTGGACCCTATATCTTGGCGACCGCTCCCCAAACCACAAGGAGTCTATTACTATCATGCAGGAGTTGGAGAATTCAACAGGCATAGATGCACAGTCCCTTGTTGCCTTCCGTCCAGGGATGAGAGGCGCCCGAGAGAAACTCCGATGGGCATCCAGCCGTGTCACCACGTTGCAGGAAGACATCGTGTACTCATTATTTGGCATTTTCGGCGTCCACCTACCTGTCATCTATGGAGAGAAGAAACAAAATGCGCTCGGACGGCTCTTGCAGGAGATTATTGCTCGTTCAGGCGACATTGCTACCCTGGACTGGGTCGGAAAACCATCTGAGTTCAATAGCTGTCTCCCAGCTGACATTACCTCATACAAAGCTCCGCCATGCACGCTGCCATCTCTATCCGAAGACGAGATGCTTGCGGCTGTCTCCACAGTGCGAAAAATTACGGTTGTGGAGTCAGCTTTGAAACTGTATACCCTCCTCGACAACCTCAGTGTACCTCGTTTTGCGAACTCCAGACTGCAATTGCCTTGCATCGCATTTCCCGTCACAGAAGTCAGACGGAGGCGCGGTCAAGATCGGGAGTCGTGTTTCACTTATGATATCAGGGCAGATGGGCTTCAAGACCTGATGATTACCACGGGTGACAGATTGATTCAATTCTCGCCGGCACGGCCTACTCCGCAGACATTCTTACTCATCCGTCCATGGAATCGTCACGACCTGGGACTCCCTGACTTTTCGGACGACACGCAGAGCGTGTACGAGTCCATGCCCGACTCTCCGTTAGACGATTCGCCCAGTGGGTGTTCTGGAGATGAAAGACCTGCTGAGACGGAGTCTCACTCACGAGAGCTAAGGTTGATCGTTCGTCTTGGACAGCCTTTTGGCGCACTTTTCCTGGCGCAGCAGCGTGGGTTGGAGTACAAGAGGATCGTATCGGATCACAATATCATTGCACAGGTCAAGGACATGACTTGCGTTCATGACATGATGGACATTAGAACGCTAGAGATATTGTAGCTGCGAGCGGAGATCTCTGACGCGTTTTCATAGATACCAATGAAACGCTTGCTCGTCACTGGGCCATGCATGATATCATGGGTGATAATGCCATCGAGGGTGAGGATAGGCAGAATAGACCGCCGCGTTCCTCGGACAAAGCATCTGGACTGAACACAACGTGTTCCCCGTGCTGAGCATCCCATCTGTCGAGCTAGGGTGAGCTTGTTCTTTGCAGCCTCGTCTCCAAACATCAACATCTCCGGATCAGGAATAATTTCTGCAAGTCTGTTCATAAATGCAGCACGTTTTTCTTAGTTCCGCTCCAGTGCATGTCGAGATACTTTTTTACGTGTGATTCCAAGCCGTCGGAGAGTTCAAAAGAGGGTGGACAATGAAATCTTCACAGTTCGGAATGAGAGCAAGTCACCCTGCAGGAAGTTCATCGAGGAAGACGGAGCTGTGCAAATGGCAGCGAGACTTGATATAGTTTATGTCCTCAAAATCGACACTGCGACGACGGCCTGCTTTGCGTGAATTTGTGTTGGTAACATCAGCGAGTGTGTCATAGAGCTGCAGAGTTCTGTATACAAGCGATTTTCGGATGCCAAGAGCCTCACAGATCTTTTTGTGGTACTACTGTGTATCATCTATTATGAGAGTCCTGGTATTGCTGTTCCTACGACAGTGAACACTATCTTGGTGGATACAGCGCTGTGGAGATATTCTGTGCTTCTTGATACGAATTTTCCGCTCCAATCTGGGCTGGGGTTAACGAGTCATATATTGGGCAAAGGTCGTCCAATGCAGCTGCCATGTCACAGGAACCCCAGGTGCACCAGGATTGATGAATGCATGCAAGTTGGTCTCGAGGAGCGGCATGGTACTTTTGGTCTGTTTCGTGGTAGGATCTGGAGGATCTGCAACGGGTGCACCCTTGTATCGCAAGATAGCAAGGCTCTGGCCGTCGCCGAAGGTCGAACCTGGAGGGTTTGGGAGTGCTCGTATCCAGTAGTTGCCGACTGGCTGATTCATGGTGAGTACAACAGAGTATCGTTGTCCAGCAAGTATCGTCATCGAGTCCACGAGCAGGGGCTCCGTCAGTTCACCGTCTGCTTCTATTACCGTCAAGTTATGATTGTCGATGGAAAATGCAAAGTTGTTATGGCAAGACATTGCTATAAGGCGTAGGCGATATCGTTTCCCGTACTCGAGACTGACTACCGCAAGCTCACTCGCCGGTCCCCCTTCATATCGACCGAGACCGTTAATGAGTGTAGAGTTGCCAATGGTACCAATGATATGACCCAAAACAGGCGCCACCACAAGTACTTGAACGCTGAGTAGAAAAATGACAAATTGCATTTCAGGTTCGAGGAATTCTGAATGCGGGTGAAGACAAATTGGATGACTTCCCGTAGGCAAAAATAATGCAGTATAGAATATAACTTCACGCTTTAGGAAGGTGTGCCGCGATGCCGGGTGTCATTTCGTCACCGTTTGAAATTCAACCAGGGTCTGCCCCCCCCAATAAACTTTAAATCTGTAGGGGGGGTATACCCCCCCCCCTACAGATTATTCTAACGAGAATAAAGCCACATTTTGCCTGTTTAGGACTAATCACACCGGATATCCGCTGACATAATCTTACCGTGCGGTACCTGCGCAGGCTGCGCCGTCCTGCGCCGTTCGATACTACAGCTCTCGCACTTCACGGATCCCTCGTATACTCTCACATATCTACCTTGATTCTATATGTACTGGCTTGGATGATTTCTTAATGAAGGCTTGATCACTCTAGCTTGCAAATAAAGGGTACTCATCCGTGGAAAGTTTGGATTGAGCTGCGCGCAGCAAAGGTAGAGTCTGTCGATGCATTCTTGTTGAGTCAGATGTCGACCGGTTCCTACCAGTACAGGAGTGCAGACTCTCCTTCGTCAGTCACTTCCATCTCTATCTCATTTTGCACCTGATATATCTACATCTACATATTGTAAGGACGGAGTGATTTCCAATATGGTGTCGACGCCATGTGCGCGCTCCAACTGTGCTGTTTTCGTACTGCCATGTGCGCGCTCCACCTGTGTGCTAAGGCCCGTTGGCCTTGGACGGACGCAAGCATCTTTCTGCGGATCACAAGGTCTCACGCTGCAACGCGCGGTTGTCGACGTACGGACTGATGCGGCTTTGCGCACGGTCAATTATACACGGCGCTGTCGAGAGTACGACATCGACGGCATATTCGGACGTTGTGGTCAGACCGTCAGAGGCAAATGAGGAGAGAGAGACTGCGAATGTTGTTTATGCTTCGTTACTATCGCAAAGTCCGTCCGTCCGCAGGCGAGCGGTTCGCTTGTATATTATATTCTGGCCTGCGGTTTGGTTTTTCATACAGATTATCTTATTGGATGATTTGGTAACTATTTTTCAAAGTCCGGTATATGATAGTCCGCATTATTTTGCCTACGGGAAGTCATCCATTATCCGACTCGGTGATCTTGTATTAATTTATAAAAGCGGAACCAAACCAAATGCATTTCTACCAGTAAGAACCATACCAATTCTCGGGATCAATTTTAGTACAGGGAACATCGTAGTATTGACTTGGAAGAAACACTAGACATGTTCTTTCACAGTATATCAGACCGGCAAAGTGGGCAACTTGATGAATGGCTGCTTTTGAACCACTGAAGGCCAATTTAGATCGTTAGAGGGATCAAAGTTTCTGGCACTCACTTTGTACAAGCAGCTTGCGTGGAAACGGTTCTTGCAGGTCTTGCAAGGCTTTTGTGGAAGGCTGCTGTCCATGACACTGATAATCCTGCTGCAGAGTAAGGACCAATACAAACATGCAAAAAGACTTGCGCGTACGAGTAGCAGATTGCACAATCCACTTGGCCAGCAAAATGGAGGGACACATTCTTCGTGAATAATGTCAGGCCATCGACAATCCGACCGTTCTGTGTATGACTCGTTAAAGGGACCAGCATCTATCGTTGCCATATATCGCTTACCTGTTGCCAAACAATTTGTTGTACCCCAAGTACCCAACCTCTCCATCTATCTTCGGATACCCCAACCATCTTTGTATCACGGATGTCAAGTCGGTGCAATGGCCAGTCGTTTGGCAATCTCAGAGACAATTCCAGTACTTGATCATCAACCGTGTAGGATGCTGTGACCTCTCCAGCGTTTGGTGACACCTTGATGGTGAGATTCTCCGTTGTGTTGAGCTCTGACGATGGATCAGCCTGCCGCACTTGCGCAAGCTCGGCTCTGATAATTCCTGGTGAGAAATACGAAGCAGTATAGTCCACCACGCGCGATAATAGCTGTCTGTCTGAACAGTCTGAGATCCAGGTGCGTATTGACGCTGGAACTGTCAGAAGCGCTCGATGATATATATGAGCGGCTAGGAGTCGTAGGCCGAGAACGCTCTCCGGCTCGAAGTCTGAAGAACGTTAATGCGAAAATATGACACAGGACAGAAGCACTAACGGTCAATGAAAAAGTCGTCGACTGCCCATATATCAAGTTTGAATGCCTTCTTCTTTCCACTGAACAGACCAAGAACATCGAAAACATTAGGAATGAAGAAATTTGCGATGATGCCAACGCTCCTCATTTGATTAAAGTACTGTGACCTAACTTTGATAGACTGAAGCGTGCGTTAACTGAGTTTCTCGGCAATAAATAAAGCGGTACTCACCGCGTCAATGAATAAATCGAACATGATCATCCATGCTAATAGGTACCCAGAGACTTTGTATAGTTCTGACAGATCGATCTCGACGGTGTCTGATTCAGAATCACAGAATCCCTCTGCCAAAGGGAGATTCAATTGCAAAATCGCAAGAAGTTCAGCAGGTAGTTCAGCGCTGACAGTGTCTTCTGTGTCAACAGCAGATTCAATGACAAAATGTTCGGTCCGCTTTCGAGCTGCTTTGTGCAGAAGGGTGTACCCCATGCGCTGAACTTCGTAGGAAGGATCAGTGAGGAGGTGACACATCTAGACATAAGGTATCAGCACATGCACTCGAAATCATTCAAAATATTACTTCAGGCAGAGTTTTCTCGTCCACTAGTGTATCGGGCAATTCTTGAATGACTGCAAGTGCCAGCTCCCTGCACAGAGAACGTGGCTCGGAACGATCGGCGTTATCTGTGGCAGCTTCAGCGGTGTGCTCTACCGGTTCAAGTCACGACTAACCAAGTCTTGCGGATACCAAATTCTTCACAAGCGCCAGGATAGATTCTTTCCTCTCGTCCCAGCTTGCACGCAGTGGCTTGTTGGTAAGGACCAGATCTTGAACAGCAAGGATCAGACGGAGCGATCTCCCTAGCATCGTCAGCGTTGCGCTATCGGCAAAAGAACAATTCTGGTATGACTTAGCGGTGAGCGTGGCGACTTTTTACGATTAGTTGACATACCTCTAAGTTGTTCTCAACCACATCGAAAATAAACTCCCAATGGTTCCCAGCAACGGATTGCAAAATCGGGGACAAATGTATGAACAAGAGTGTCATCATACTCTCCACTTCTTCATCAATATCTTCGTCAGAAGAAACCCAAGCTTGACAGGCTTTCACGATATTGACGGCGCGCTGCTGTGGCAAGAACACCACATCAGATTCAGATAAAGGTGCTGTCGCTGCAAGACGACGAAGCAGGACGACTCCTGCCGTGTTTGCTCTGCTCGCAGGTATTCCGAGGATATCCGAAGCAATCTCGTTGCGGTAACGGTCCATCCTCGATGGTTCTGGAGCAAATTCAGTGATGCTGGTGAGGATGGCCACGGTAGTTTGCGGCGCTATAGGCGTGTTATTGAGTTGATATTGACCACGACATAATCTATGTGGCGCACCTGTCTTTTCCAGCCTACGTGCCAGATTCATCCATTGGTCAGAATCTGATTTACTTGCGCTCGCAAAAAGGTGCTTCAACACCGAGCGCAACAATAGTGCATCTCTGACAGTATCACCTCTTTTGGCGTGATTAACGACGTCCACAACAAAAGACACTAAACCATCCGATGAAGGTATTGCGCGAGTAGATGTGCATGCGCTGACAACTTGATTGTGAAGACCATCGTCGCCTGTGGACAGGAGGTAAGTGGATAGTTGGTGGACCTTCCCAAGCAGTCTGCGCAGTTCTGACGGCGATACATCTGGCCTAAATAATCCACTTGGTGTCGCGGGGACACGTAGAAGATCATTCGCGTATTGACCGAGTGCCAATATGTGCCGAAGTGCCCACATACTCTCCTTAGCGATGCTCCGGTTGTCACCCAAGTACGCCAGAAGAGCAGCCGTAACCCTGATGTATGGTGAATAGCCCCTTGAATCAAATTCTAGGCCAGAGATGGTTGGGTTCTCAAACTCCGAGGTGGCCGGGATGATGGACTCGATGAATGCGAGACTAGGGTCAGGTGGATCCGACGGAAGCGAGTTAATCATTGTGTTGAATTCGCCTGGTGTTGGGAAGACGTCTGCAAGTGGGGTGATATCAGTGCCTTTTGGCTTATGACCTATGGCTGTTAGAATATCTTCTGGTCTAAAAACAGTTCAGAAACGCAACAAAACATGGTAAGACGCACTAACCGCGTGCAGGTAGAGCAATCTTGTAGAAGGTCTTTCAACCTCTCTGTGACTAGTCCACTCAGGACGCTCTGTAGTCCAATATCTGCCTTCGAAACCCAAAGATCCCAAACCCCTCGTGCGGTATCAATTATAGGTGTTTCCAATGTAGGAAACGTCACTGGCAGTAGATATCCGACGATGAAAGCATTTGGGAGAACAGATGTCAGTGAGTCACTGGTAAGTTCAGAGTTCGCGCTGAGCATGATGCGCATGAACTCTATAGCAGTGGCTAGCCCAGTGAACGGCGTGTTTGTTGTGTACAGAATATCGTCTACAGTGGACGATAACGACGATACAAGCGTCTGGAACAAGATATCTTGCCCATTCTCCGAGAGGATAAAATCTATAATTCCACAGTTTAAAAAGGACACCAAGACCAAAGGCGGACCCACTTTGTACTTGAATGAGCCTCTTTACCAAATCGCTGCGAGAAGCCGGCACATCCCCGTTTAGCACCTCAATAAACAGGTGCTCTATGACGCCATCTAACTCGCCGTCCTCGGGTCGTAAATATTTGGGACATATGTCGGTGCTGATCACGTCCAGTAGTGACGACAACGCGTCGATCTGTTGGGAAATGTCGACCAGTAAAACATGCCATAGCTCCAGACAACGATCCTCGTCATTCCGACGAGACATGAACGTGGAAATTGCCTGAGGAGAAGCTTGTAGAATGCGGAGAGCATGATTAATGAACATGTTATCCATTCTCTGCCAACAGTTAATAATTGTATTTCTAAAAAGAAGGGAATGGTACATACCACAGCAAAGTCGGAGTGCTGGAATAGATGAGATCCAAATGTCTCCATGACCGTGATCACCACACCAATGTTCTTCGATAATCCAGCACTGATCGCCTCAGAGGCAAGGACTGTCTCACACTTCCCAACAGTTTCCTGCACATAATTGCTTATGAGAGTGCGTGTAACCTCTGCAGGAAGGCCTTTGGTTTCGAAAGTGTCCACGAACGTCCGGAGCACCGTAGGTGTAAGAGCCAGACTCTCGTCCTCTTGAGAAAGGACCGCACTCGAGACAGTATCCCAGGCAGTTTTGAAAAGATCTACGGAGGAGACATGTCATCGATCAAGATGGCGGTGGACGTAATACACTCACCAACATCCATGCGATACAGAGAGAGTAACGAACTAGCTATCAACTTCCCCGCATCATTCTCGTCGGTTCTTAGGCGCCTTGACTTAAGCTCTTCCCAAACTCGTGTGAATTGAGATCTGATAAGTCCATCTGCCACGTCTCGTGGGTGTGTATTATTTGGCTCTATGCCATCTAAGACAGACCCGGATAACACTGAATGGTCATGCGATCCACTCAACAGTCGTCTCAAGAAGAACACCAGACATTCCAGGAGAGACGAAAGGAATGAGGCAGAAGGCACCTTTCTCTCTAAAGAACTTAGTGCGTGGCCATCGATCGCTGCCCAGAACGAAGTGAAGAAATCGTCGAGGGGCATCCCCGTCCTAGAGGAAGCTGCAATGACCTGCTAGACGGATTACTAAAAGCAGCATGTTGTAGTAAAGGACATACGGAAGAGGGAATCGTTGATACAACAACCAGGACTGTAGGATACCCATCGACGGGTGATCCAGCACACCCAAGCTCAAGGAATTGAAGAAACTCGCGGTATGCCTGAGAAGATTGCTCCTTGCGAGTTGACGACTTTTGAGTCTCACGCTCCTCGCCATCCGAGTCCGAATCATCATCATCCCCGTGTTTATCTGGCTCATATGCTGCTTCAAGAATCCACGCATTTGGGAACTCTGTGGAACCAAAAAAATTAGGAATGATTGATGCCAAGACTGTCATGATTGATTTACCTTTGAGGAAAATTAAGATTGGCTGGAACAATGTATTTCTAACTCCTGGGTCCGTCTCGACCCATGCAGAGCGAAGTAAAGCAACGCTCAATATGGTAATATATGGCTCAATAGCACCTGGAAACTCATTAGTGCCATGAGCCAAAAAAACAATATTGCCGGACCACCTTTATAACGCTGTAGCAGAGCAGACAACAATGCCCATGTGGCCTGGCGTACTTGAGGTTGCCCATGCCCAAGACCTTGGATTTCAGGGTCGGGAATCCAAGGCGCATTCTCACCACAATACAGCGACGTCCAAAATAACGGGTTAGATAGCAGCCCAGATAGATCATCTAGAGACATAATCTTCGAGGCAAGACGAGCATCTGTAGAACTATGAGGAGACCCATGAGCATCACTTTGACCTAGCTCACCCAAAAGCCAGCGGACAGCGCTCAGTGCACCGAAACGAAGACGAGCATTTCTGTCAATATCACTTTCTTCATCTGCCTTGTTAGATTCTGGTTCTTCCCTAGGGGCTACCGGAATGAATCTCCCGGCGGGCTTCTTGATTCCCGGAGTAGGAGCCGCAACTGGTGCAGCAGGGTTTAGGTTGAGATGCACTCCTGAAGGATCCAAAAGAGTTCTTTGGAGAAAATCCATGATAGAGGCCATTATTTCGGAGTTTACTAGTATTTCTCCGTCTACACCTGGAGAAACGATGCTAGACCAGGACTTCCGTCCCTGCAGAGATACCTGGCGGTCAACATCGTGTGCGACCATGCACCATGTACCCATAAGAGCCTCTATTTGCTCAGATGTTGCAGTCTCTCTCAAAAAGAATGTAGCGGCATCACGGACAGCGGGGATGCGTAGGTATGAGAAATGGAGTGTAGCAGCCAAGAGGCGGATGCGGCGGACCGGATGTGTGAAGAATACAGGAGCCCTATGAAACTATATATAGTTAACGTCAAGATATGATCCATGATTGCCAAACGACGCACCCAAACTGGTAGCATCGTAACAAGTGCATCGCATTCCACGCTCTCATCCCCCTTCCTCGAACTTTCATCGATCCATTTTGATTGAATTTCTTCCAGAGCCCGTCCCTTCGTGACTGGATCCTTCTTTCCCAAGGATCGAAGAATCATGACAAGTTCCGGTGGTAGTCTATGTATAAGGCCAAGAGTATCCAATGGATCTGGCTGCGGTGGGGACGGCTTAGAGGGCTGAATGTATACTTTCTTCCGGGGCTCTTTTTTCTGTCCTTTCTGTTTCTTCTGCTTCGGGACGACAAGGACTTCCGGAGGGAGTACACCTACAGCTGCCTTGCGAGCATTCTTCTTCCGTGTACCCGAAGTCGCTGAGGACTTCTGGTTCTTCGGCATAGTAAGCGAGACTTTTATTTACAAGTAAATCAGAGCTGCTCGATGCTGCGTGCACCGCCGAGCAATTGCGATTAGGAAGTGATGGTGATGGTGGACCGTGGTGGTAGGGTATGTGACTAAGTGGTGGTTGTTTGTACTTATTGAATCCTAAAGCCTTTGATTTCCTTTTCAGAAAAAAGTTAAAGTGCGGGTTCTTAAAAACTTCCTTCCACTTACCATTAATTCGTCACGTCGTGGTCTTCCTCATTTTTGAGGCTCACAGCTCGTACATGACGTGTAGTCTGCTCGCTCGAGTAACAACAGCCTCAAGTAGAGGATGCTTTCGTTCACAGCCCTTTCATAGCCAAAGTCATGGGTTTGCGACGTTCAGTGGAAAGCGCGCAAGTACGACCATTCCATGTCTAGCCAGATACAGCTGCAATAACTATTTCTTTTCAGGCGTTCCCATTCTTCGTGTTCGTTCACGGAAGTATGAATCTACTGCAACAGCGCCAGCAGCTGCTCCTCCATCTTCTGTCGCTCAGCAAGAAAATGTTGTCGATGATCTACCACCCACAAGTATCAGAGCGGGTAATCTTGCTCTCGAACCACCGTCATGGGAGTCGATTAAGCAAATCATATCCTACCCGACATTCAAGGCTGTCACTGAGAAGCCTTACCAGTTCAAAGCGATGACCCCCGTCCAAGCTGAAGTTATCAAGCTTCTCCCAGAGCTTGCTCACCCTCCTGAATCAACATCTGATGACGTCCCGACACGTCCGCGGGATCTTTTGGTCAAGGCTAAAACCGGTACCGGGAAGACATTTGCGTTCCTAATTCCAGCCATTGAGGCTCGGGTAAATGCCATCCACGCTTGGGGCAAGAAAGCGGTTCGCGATGCAGGCCTGGTTTCAGAAAAGCATCTAGAAGCGGCAGCGAGGAGACAATTTACTAGGGAACATGTCGGTACACTCATTATCAGCCCAACCCGAGAGCTCGCTACGCAGATCGCCAACACTGCCATCAAGTTGACTCATCATCACAAGGATTTCGAGGTTAGATTGTTCTATGGTGGATCAAGCAAGCGAATGCAGATGCGCGACTTCATGAAAGGGCGGAGGGATATTGTTGTAGCTACCCCTGGGCGACTTCGTGATTTGCTGCAGTCGGAGCCTGAGGTAGCAAACAGTATCAGAAAATGTAAAATGGTATGTCATCCTGCGTTCCACATGATCCCCTTACTTACCACAATTTGGCTAGTTGATCTTCGATGAGGCAGACATGCTTCTCGATATGGGCTTCCGGGATGACATTGATGCTATTATGAGTTACTTGCCGCCTAAAACGGAGAGGCAGACATTCCTCTTTTCAGCAACACTTTCTCGGACCGTTCGCCAGGTTGCACAGACAGTTCTTGCCCCGGACCATAAATTCATCGACGTCGTTCCTGAAAATGAATCCCCAGTTCATGCGCATGTCCCCCAATATCACACCGTCCTTCCTAGCCCATCCCAACAGATCCCTCACCTTCTTCGTCTCATCGCACACGATCAGCTTACGAACAAAGGCAAGAGCAAAGTTTTGTTGTTCCTCCCTACGACACGCATGACTCAGCTCTTCGCGACACTCACTCGCGAGCTCTCAAAAGCGGTGTTGCCTGCTGGGACGAACACCAAGGTGTACGAGATTCACTCCAAGCGCCAACAGGACTCACGCATAGCCGCCTCTGATGCTTTCCGCGCTGATAACTCTGGAGCATCGATTCTCGTCAGCTCCGATGTATCTGCACGTGGCGTGGACTATCCAGGGGTGACACGTGTTATTCAGCTCGGTATTCCTGCTGCTACGGAACAGTATATCCATCGTGTCGGACGTACCGGTCGTCAGGGTTCTACAGTTGGACGTGGTGACCTGGTTCTTATGCCTTTTGAGATCGGTTTCTTGAGCTGGCAGCTCAACGAAGTCCCGCTTAAACCAGTCACTTCAGATGAACTCGCTCGGCAGGTCCAGGACCTTGCAGCCCAGTTCGACGCTGATCCTCAAGCAGCATGGAAGGACGTACCAACTAAGTCGTATAACGACAGGGGTCGACCAATTCCTGGACCCAAGATGTACGACGCGCCACTTTCACCGCGTCTTTCTTCGGAAGAAATGTACAGCACCATCGCGACGCTACTGAAAAATGTCGACGAAGAGGCCATCAAGGAAACATTTGCTTCCTTGCTTGGTTATTACATTCCAAAGTCCCCTGAGCTGCGAGTTCAAAAGGGCAATATCCTGGCTGGATGTAGAAGTTGGGCAACAGAAGCATGCGGCCTCGCTACGCCTCCATATGTCAGCGATGGCTTCCTGCAGAAGATGGGCCTTAACGACGGGCGCACGAAGCACTTTGGCCAATCGGACCGGAACACTAGGTCTTATGCGAGACCTACAAACTCGTGGGAAACGCGGGGCAGACAGAACACACGGTCTTTCGATAGTCCCAGAGGAAACTTCCGTGAGGACAAGCAATCGGATGACAATGACCCTTCTGGCAACATTGACGAGTATCGCGGTGCACGTTATGGAAGGGAGAGGCCAAAGCCTTACGGAGAGCGGGAGCGTGACAATGGCCGTTCTGGCGAGTATGGTGGTGCACGTTATGGAAGGGAGAGGTCCAAGCCCTACGGAGAGCGTGAGCGTTCTGACGACGCCGGCGAGCGTCGTGGCGCACGTTATGGAGGGGAGAGGTCCAAGCCTTACGGAGAGCGGGAGCCGAAGCCTTACGGAGAGCGGGAGCGTGACAATGGCCGTTCTGGCGAGTATGGTGGTGCACGTTATGGAAGGGAGACGCCCAAGCCCTACGGAGAGCGGCCGCGTCGCGAGAATAGTACACGCGGGTATGGCGATCGGTGAGGGATCGGCGTGGTACAATACTAATGTAGACCGCATACAATGCATCACTCAACGTTCGTTATTAGCCTATAGTCACATTTATTAATATCATCTGCATAGAGCATTCGCAACGGCATTGATCGATTACACATGATAATTAAGGGTGATACGTATGCCATGCTCGCTAGTTTTTTAGTCGGATGGTGGTGTCATAGTTCCGACACCATTGGCAATTGGATGTTCCTCCGTGCTTGTTCTCAGCGCCTCTTCACTAACCATCGAATGTTCGGGGTGAGGTGGGTGGAATGATTTCAGTTGCTCCTGGAGCTGTTCATCGAGTTCAGATTGGCCACAAGACGCTGCAATGAAGCCTAAGAAGGGAGGAGAAGGATTGAGTGGTCTTGAGCACAGTTCTGGATGGGCTTGTAAACCCATGAAAAATGGGTGATCTGCAATGATGAGTCGCAACAGTCTTCAGATCGATGGCGCATGACATACCTTTGAGTTCAAGGATCTGCATTCTCTCCCCTTTTTCGTCCTTGCCCACAAAGGTAAGACCGCTCTCCTGTAGACGCTGCACCTGTTCCGGATTGACCTCGTATCGGTGTCGATGCCTCTCCCACATTTTTTCATTGCCACCATATAACTTGCGAGCCTTGGACCAAGTCTCAAAATCACGGTCAAATACAGTGGGGCGAAGACCAAGGCGCATTGTTCCTCCCATATGAGTGCGTGAGATCTCAGGCATGAAAATGACAAAAGCATTTTGTGTGTCGGCCACGAACTCGGTCGATTGAGCATCTGCGGAAGATAAGAGAAGTAATAGCTAACGAGCAGCGAAGCGCACCTGATATGCCGAGCACGCTGCGTGCCCATTCGACCACAGCCATCTGGAAGCCCAGACAGATACCAAGGAAAGGTATTTTCTGCTCTCGTGCCCATTTGATAGCAAGAATCATACCCTCCGTGCCACGCTTCCCGAAGCCACCTGGAACCAGAATACCGCTGTCCCAATCTGAGTACCAGGCGATCTCCTCATCATATGTACGACCGCTACTCACCCAGCACCAACGACTGCTCGCCACGCATCGTGGTATTTAGCAGGATCAGACTCCTGCGTTGAAGGCTCCAGGTCCGATGACTCAACCCACTACGAAACATCACCATAAGTCTGTCATTCTCTGGGGACCAGCCAAACCAACCTGAATAATGAGTTTCCTGCGAACACGGAATGCAGAATGTTCAAGAGCTTTTATGACAGACATGTACGAGTCTTTTAGGTCGGTGTACTTCCCAACAAGAACAATTTTGACCTCGTCGAAGAGGCGTTCTTGCCTGGATAATGGGAAATGAGAAACGACGATAAAAGAAGAGAAACGATAGTACCCCTTCGTTACGCCTCTCCACCTCGCTTCCAAAGACAGCCCTTTGGAAACCCACTCTTCTGTGATGTTCAAACTTGCGAGATTGAGCCGCTTACGGAGATACTCGATAATCCGTTGTGACTGCAAGAGTAGAGGGACGTGATAGACAGACGAGACATCATGAACACCTATCACCTGCTCCGACGCAACGTGACAAAACATTGAGATTTTGTCCTTGGTAGAGGGTTCAAGGGGTTGGCGACCCAACAACCGACATGCGATCTCCGGACAACGTCAGTTGTGCCATTTGAAAACAAGACGTCGCTTACTAGGTCGGGCAGCAAGCCGAGCCCACGCAGCGCATGGACAGTAGTTTGAGTTGGCTTCGTCTTCTGCTCACCATGCATGTCGGGAACAAGTGAGACATGGATTAAAGCGAAATTGTCGTATCCAACACGAAACTGGAACTGGCGCATTGCCTCTACAAACGGCGCCGACTCGATGTCTCCGACAGTGCCACCAAGCTGAAAAAGTCAACATCGCGACGGAAAGTATTGTATGTTGGTCCTCACCTCCACAATACAGATATCAGGTTCCTCTCCTGATTCATCCACCGGTATTTTTGAAACACGCTGTATCCAATCTTGAATCGCGTTCGTTACGTGCGGCACGATCTAGCCCCAATGATTAAGACCAGTGAGGTACGTAACAATTATCATAGACGCACCTGAACCGTTTTTCCAAGGTACTCCCCTCTCCGCTGTTCACAGTAATAAACTCCAGGTCAAAAGCTCAAGAGAAGATAAAACTCACCTCCCTGTCAATAACTTCGCGATAGATTTTTCCCGTAGTAATGTTATTGTCTTTGGATAGTGTAACGTCCAGGTATCTTTCATAATTCCCAAGGTCCAGATCTACCTCACCACCGTCATTCAAAACGTAGACTTCGCCTGATGAACGAATCTCAGAAGTTTGTGGAGGGAGTCTCGCGCTCAGATCTCACCGTGTTCTGTTGGTCGCATAGTACCGGCATCTATATTCATGTAAGGATCTATCTTGATAGCTGTGACCTTGAGGCCTGCAGTTTTTAAAAGCAGGCCGGTGGAGGAGGCTGGGGGTGATCATAAACGACGGAGTACAGCGTCAAAAGCGCTGTGTCGCACCGATAACACCCTTCCCGATCCCACTAACAACACCTCCTGAAACGAGGATATATTTCGTCATCGCTGCAAAAATCGGGAAGGTGGCAAGCAGATGAGGAGCTCGCAAAAGATCGCGAGCAGGAACGCGTCGAAATTTTGGAGACGTGATCAACAAATAAGTATACACACAGCCACTATCTTATCATGCCCCTGAATATCGAACGTGTATGAGAAGGACACCTGTTACGATACCCCAGTGTTCGCAATCAGCTTTGGTGTCGTACAAGTTCCGGTACTAGTATTCGGTGCAACAGTGACTCTTCTGTGATAAGTACTAGTGTACGTCCAGGAAGAGAAAGGAACTGCGTAGACCATTAGGAACTGGACACGAACATAAGTGCTCAGAATGAGTCTTCGATCGAAGGACTGAGGAGTTGATTGCGAGGGAACAATGAAAAGAAAATGTACATAAAATGAAGTCCTTACTGCGTGAAAGGCAACCGACAAGCGCCGATCGGGATTTCTAGTGCTACATGCCACTGCCAGTTGACACATGCGTACGCTGCTGGAAAGACATGGGAATCATGTCCACTCCTGCATCAGAATTGTCCACGAGCTTAGCGTAGTATTGTCGAACGCTAAGGATGAGGCGTGGTCCGAGCACAAACATTTGCAGAACCGAGAGAATTTGACGAATACCATCATAAATCTGAGGTCCCACGGCAAGTGAGTTCTATAAAAGTGATCAATAGTGGCCACATGTGGGTGTAAGCGACGGAAGGGCGCACTAAGTACTCTGGAGACAAAAACCCCAGGTCGAAGCAAGAAACAGCAGCAAAGCTAGCATGTGCGAAACTTCAGCGAAGAAAGTTGACCATATTCAAATTACGAGCTCACCTTGCGAAGTAAACCGCGTGGGTCTTCATCAACACTGTAACACAGTCCCTAATAGTCCATCCCGGCAACGATCGTTGCAGCTCACGGAAGTGTTTTATAGCAATCCAGAGTGCAAGACACAGTGCGAGTACTTCCCATGCAGTGGAGAGTATCCATGTCATGGCAAGCAGGATAGAGGCATCTGCATCTGGGTCATAGCATAAACACATATAGGTGCCGGAGAGGACAACCTCCCCTTGTATCCATATGATTAGCATACACTTAAGTCTCTCAACAATAATTAAAGCTTACCCCCTATAGTATGCCTATTTACCATCGCAGTCATCGCTACACAGGCGATCGTGACAGTCGTGAAGAATACAATGAGAAAGATAAGCATGTTTCTTGATCGCTGATACATGGCATATAACCGGGTGATCATAATGGCTTGCGTGATGTACCGGTCAAGACAATATCATGAGGTATTGTGGCTGAGTAGCTTACCGCCTAGCATGGCATTTGCGACCACACTCATCCAATTTTGGGCAAAGTACGAATTGTTGCCTGAAAATTCCAATTGGTAGCGAATCTTGGAAGAGGATCAAATACTCACAGCTGTTGCAGTCAGTGCGTTGAACCACAAGCTTGTTGAGAATCTCACTCACCCCTGCATAGGAGCGCAGTTAATCAGATGGGAATGGCAGGCACAAATGTATTAGAATACTCACCGCATCTGACATCGAGACTGTCGGAAGAAGTTCTGTATGCTGCTGATCAGAAGAAACACACGCGAGTGTGTGCGAGGAAACATACGCAGCATGTTAATGCTGATTGTGAGAGGTGACATATTAGCCAGCGGAAAGTTGTTACGTTGCAAACGCACGCAATGTATACTATTCCAACGTAGCGCACCTAGAATGTTTTGAAATAAGTACATCTAGGCAACTGCCCTTATAACATAAGCTACGCACACCGATGTACAGAACCGTCATAAGGGACCAGTCGTGCATCTGCCACGAATTAACTGCGTCCTTCTGATATGGGACTCTGCTCACCCAGATCAGTTCAAACTGTCAAAATCATTCTTAGTGAGTTGGTTGTCAAGCAACGACGTCGACTTACCTCTTGTTCAATTGTCAATGCTAAAATTTTCATAAGGATATAGTAAGTGGTTATTTAACACGACCTTACTTACCCCAATCGTATATCACCGCAGCAGAGGAGGCAACTGCGAAACTACAATTGAGACATCACTGACATCATCCAACTGGTTCTCCACGAACCTATATAATAACTGAAATTGATGTTGAAATTGATTAGCGGCCACCATTCGGGATCATTTGAGACTTCTTGGGTCATATTTGAGGGATGATGTGAGTGAGTGGCAAACTTAGTAGACGGATTATGATAAATATCGCGCTAGATATACCACCATCCAGCGCTTTAATCGCTAAAAAAAGGCACCATGGAGGTAAACGTTCTTGATGTTGTTATCGCGGTGTGAAATCAAATCGAACGGAGAGGTTACTCCAAGGCCTCACGAGTCGATTGAGTCAGGGCACATATTGGGCAATGTTGGTGGTATGTAGATCTATAAAGCAGTGATCTTACACGTTTGAGCACTGCAAAAGTGACAGGCTATTTGTAAGTTGGTTCCGATTGCAATCCCGCGTTCGAGATGTCCCTGCGTTAGAAACTTTATCAGTAAATTCATGCAGCCACCAATCTAACACAGACCAAGGAGCATTGCAACCTTCGGAAAAAAGTCTGCCATCTCAAGTCCTCGGTCTTGTGTGCACTTCCTCACTCCCTACTTCGGTCATCGGATTATAGTGCTATACAAAAGATATGTGATCCGTGCAACTCCGAAGCGAAATCGATGCGAAACGCACCACATGAAATCTATCATACATGTCAGCTATCGGCGCGGCATCAACTCGCACAGCTAGCTGCTGCTAGATACATCCTGATCTATGATCCATAATGGTTTGGCGAACATAGCCCTAGCTCAAAATAGAAATGAGAGGTCACAGGCCTGAGAAGAGATGAAACCTTGAGGGCTAGCGCTCATCGATCATCTTGTATGTCGTCGATGACATGCATTGCTTTTCTGCTGTCAGATCTCGACTTTCCCTAGTCCAAATATAAATGTCATCTTAGAATATCCGTGACGAGTGTATGAGAGAATATTGAGGCAAAGCACCCACTGCCAAATCTTCATCACACTCAGCATCACAGGCAGTGCAGAAGGCGAAAAGAGGCGCAGTGATTTCATAGTTCCACTCTACGTTCCACCCTCATGCACGAAAAAAATATCCCCAAGGGATTGCATGTCTATAACAGCGCGCGCTGTCTGCATCTAGAACCGAATAAGAAACAAGCGCACATATGCAGCGTAAGGTTTTCAACAATTTATTTTCAGGGTTCATCGTCAGCTCACTAAAGTTGGAAATCGAGGACGCGAATTCCTCGTAGGGGTCCGAGTATCACATAGACGTGCTTCTGCTCAATACGCCTTCGGAGGGTTTGAGTTTTGATTTGATTGCTTAATGGGCCGGAGTCGTCAGTAGTGTCTTGCTCGACCGTAGCATCGATGACATTGGCGGACATAATGGAAGTACTTGTAAAAATTGACGTGTGCCATATTTAGGTAAGCACCTGCAGCGACAACAGGCCTAGGGAGAGTGGTGGAATAGGGGAGCTCAAAGTTGAACGCCCAACACCCAAGCCCAACGCCCAACGCCCAACCTCGTGACTGAAATTAGGTATACCTAGAATAAATAGAAGTAAATATGGAGTAAAGCCACTGATGAGATAAGCTCCTTACCTAAACCTTGTCGCGCGAAGCGCCGAAACCTTCGCCAACTGTCTCCCCCTAATCCTCAGCATTTCTAAACCTTTTAAGCCTTTTCATCGTACCTAAACCTTTTTATACCTAGGAGACCTTGCTTTTTCATTCCTAATCCTGTTCAGTTATCCCTCATTAGACTTTTGCCACATGCTCACACAATAAAATCTATGACATGGGTTATGATTAGGGTTAGGAATAGCATTTTTTAAGTATGGAAAGGTTAGGAATAGAATATGAAAAGGTTTAGGGTGTGAAAAGGTTTAGAAATGCTGAGGATTAGGGGGAGACAGTTGGCGAAGGTTTCGGCGCTTCGCGCGACAAGGTTTAGGTAAGGAGCTTATCTCATCAGTGGCTTTACTCCATATTTACTTCTATTTATTCTAGGTATACCTAATTTCAGTCACGAGGTTGGGCGTTGGGCGTTGGGCTTGGGTGTTGGGCGTTCAACTTTGAGCTCCCCTAATATCACAGTCGGCCAGCGGAAGCACTTCATGAAGCTCATTGTGGTCCGAGTCTATGGGGGAACGAATGGAATGAAGCTTTAAACTCCGACTGTTTCCTGGTCGAGTCTGTAATCTAGATTTGCATACAGCTCATCTGGGATTGACGAAGCTACCGATTTTGATGGGTGCACATGTTAAGTTCATGGTGCAGAAGGCCAGGAAAGCTTGAAGAATGATGTGACTGGAAGGCACGAGTTGGCTCATATTATCATGATGTACTCAAACAGAATACGAGGGTGCACACGATTCAAATACACAGGGACATCGGAGAAGATTTTAGGGAACAACAACATGAGGGAACACGCAAACGAAGCAACGGTAGCGCAAGAGTATCAGGGTGATGTTCACAAAAAACAGGATGACAGGATCGCAGATAAACAACTTGCGAATATGTACGAGACGAAGCAATTCGACGTGAGTAGAACTACACACCAATATGTATGAAAACCATTCTCTGCTCGAGTGGCACCTTCGTCTTCACAGCTTGAGTAGCACGGTTGAGTGCCCAGGCTGCCCTCGTACAGTCTATGACACCATCCTCCAGGTCTTCAAACATCTTCTTGTAAAAAGCTTCCACGATGTGTTTTGCGAGAGCGTCACTGACCCCCCACAGCGTGCCAACGACGCTCTTGAACCCCGAAAACTGCAGTCCAGCTGCGAGGTGGATGGCTTCGTCGGGTGTGTCCTCATCGCCGACGGCGGTATGACATGCTGACAAGAATGCGAATTCAGCTTGCGGAGAATTGTTCTCCATGATGTCGAGCAGCGTAACAGGTTTGTCTCTCATGGCGAAACATGAGTTATAAGGCTGCTCAAGGTCTTGCTTGCCGTGACAAGCGAGGTGCACCCAGGTGTTGCACTGCAAAGCATTGAGCGCACCTGCTTGTGTGGCTTCGTCTTTCGACACATTAGTGAACTTGATGTTGGGAGGAACGAGTGTATGGACAGGCTCAAGCTCGCTGTCAACAGCCGGGAGCACGTCGCCTTGCCCTGCGCCTGGTTGACTTTGTCCGATCGCCGCGAAGGACGAGGTTGCACACGTCTTCATCGCCTGCCGAGCTCTAATAAGAGCTGAAAGTGTGGGTGTATAAGAGCAGATGTAGAGATCCTCCAGGCACGACTCGCTCCCAGAGCGATCTACATTCACTCGGAAGGGGTTGGCTGCATGGAGAGGGATGGACGTGAAGGCTGCCGTCGGACACAGCCATATTCGAGACCGATGCCGCAATTTCAGGTCATGCTGGAGGACGTTAACGATGGGTAGCATGATCTCATCCCACACTATCCGCAAGAGCACTTGCAACTTCTTCCTTGGCTCCTCTGGGCGCATACGAGCCGTATGCAGGATTGCCTTAGCAAAATCGTCTTTGAGCTTCTCTAGATGTGGTAGAGTGATGCGCGGGAAGTGAACATAGTAGGGCTCTCCCGACGTTGGGACAACAATGGCGCTGCACGAGTATGTGCTGGCAATGAGGATGATGACCGGGCCATTGCGAGCTGCCACTTGCAAGTCTTCGTACGAAGGTGGAAGTAGGAACCGGAAGAAACCTCGAAGATAACGTATCTCAGCTACTGCAGCTTCCCATTGCGTCATAATTCTCCTGTACTTTGTTTCCGCTACTTCAGCTGCAGCTTTGTCGGTGATGGTTGCGGAACCCTGGGCATCAGAAAGTTGTTTGCTGAGCTCCGAGAATTTGTGAGCTAGCTTGGGATTCGTGGACTGGAGATCTTCGAGTGGACTCCTCAGGCGAGAGGCCAATGACCACTGTTGGCCACGGCCCTGCTCTGCAAGTTCAACCACGCGTCGGAGATTGTCACTGCGGATGGCACATGATGCTGCGTCTACAGGTAGTGATCTGGCATAGTGGAAGGCAGTGGCAGCTTCGCGGCGCGAGGTGGTTGATGATTGTGTTCCCAAATGAGCATCAAGAAGCTCGAAAAATGTTGAGTAAGCCTCAAGTGCGGATCCATCAACATGCTGCTCCGCTTTGACGGCCCAAGTATATGCATCAACAAGACGGCTCGGAAATCCTTGAGTAGGGTGTCGTGATGCCAGCCAGAAGTTCTCCATTGCGAGTGACAAATCAGCAGGATTGTGCTGAATCTGGTAACGAGATATATATGCCTCACATATCCTGGAGTATGAGTCGTGCCTGTCAGGGTGGAGTTGTGGCAATACCGCCAATGACTCTTGGCAGAGTCGAGTGGCCTCCTCGATATCTTCATCATTCCGAGTTTGCGTAAAACGACAGCAGAGCGCCGAGCTCAAATTTGTAAGATGTCTATGGCGCTCTGGAGGGTCCAGCTGCTTTAACCGAAGAGATTCGCGATACAGATCAATGGCCTCGTTAAGATCCTCGATGACATGCAATTTGCCACATCTCTCTTGGAGCGCGAGGGCAAGGTTGTTAAGTGTGGTGTCACGACGTGGATGCCCAGGTGGGCGTAACGTCAGTGCGTCGCGATAGAGGCTGACAGCTCGGTTGGTGTCATCAACATCACCGCAAATGTTGAAATGGGTGCGGAGGGCGCCCCCTAGGTTGTCCAATGAGACACTACGAAATTTGTGCCCAACAGGCCACAGGCTCAGCGCTTCTTCGTGCATGGAGATGGCCTCGTCGAGGTCATGAGATTTGCCTTTGTGATCAAAGCGAGAGTCGAGTGAGAAGGCCAAGTTGTTCAGGCAGGTGCCTCGGTCAGAATGTCCCTCGGGGCACAGAGAAATGGCTTCACGACCAAGTTGTATGCTCTCTTCTAGATCATCAATGCTGCCGCGGTCTTGAAAGCGTGCTTTTAGTGTGAGTGCAAGAGTGGTGAGAGTAATGGGACGGCGTTGATGGCCCAGAGGGCAGAGCTCGAGCACGACTCGTCGAAAGCGGATGCCTTCGTCAGGTGCATTGATCGGAAGATTGTTACATTCGCTGATCACATAATTGACCGCAGCGTCTATGGCGATGTTACGAAGGTAGGTGCCTTCTGGACAGAGCGGCAGTAGCTTGCAGCACAGCTGCAGGGATTTGTGAATGAAGACGGCGGTGCGCTCCTTCACGTAGCACCAGATCAATGCTGCAATGAGATGAAAGAGAGATAATGTGTGGTTGGGATGGCCCTGCGGACGCAATGCAAGGGCTTCGCGGAAGAGGGAAGTGGTGGCATGAATGTCTTGGAGATCGTTTTGAATGTAACCTTGAAGGCGGGCCCGCGCGAGGTTGGTGAGAGCTGCTGCGTGGTCAGGATGGTCGACTGGACAGCGGTCCAGAACCAACTGAAAACGCCCCACAGCACCATTCAGGTGCGAGACTGTCTTGCTAGTCGTGTATTCGGCATATTGTGCGTGACCCGCATCTGTCTCTCGAGCAATCTCGCAGTCTACGAGGGACTACAGTTGGTGCTCCGTCAGCAAAAGCTAACCGCAGAGGCTAGTGTCACCTACGTCAAATGGTGCGCTGTCCTGAGTATCGCAAGCGTGTACAACAGTGGCCTTCAGCGCGAGCGAAGGAGTGACATTGCGGATGGGTGGGAAGAACAGTTCTACGGGATGTGAGTGGATACGCATGAATGAGAAGCAGGTTACTCACCGAATGGTTCATTTTCATTATCGAGCAGGTCGTTCCATGATGTTTGAAGTTTTCCGATGAATTCGCCATTGCCAAGCGTCCGGTCGACCTCGTAAGATGCTCTGAGCTCCACTGATAATGAAGGTGATGCCTGTGTTCTATAAACCGAGGATGAGTTCTCGAATCGCGTCCGAAAGTTTTGAGGGACTTCACAGGGTCACGGAATCTCCCCATGCTATAGATTTGTCGGATGACAAGACTCTGACGGCTGATTTCCAGCATTTCCTTGAGTCGACTTTGATGAACACGTAAATTCCTGCGGGTATGCGCTCAGAAGGGACTTGAAGGTTTTTTGCGCTTCTGACTGTGGATAGAATGTAAGGATCTCAAAGAGATACGAAAGTGATACGGAGTGACCTACCTTCTAATCTGATATATTGGCCTTCCCAGCTTCCGGGCATGATGTTGCAATAACGCATTGTGGTAATGAGGATTGAAGCTAAGGTTAGTGGTAGGTGATACGAGTGGTAGGAGAAGATGGTGTAGGAGTGCTGTGGATGGAGTTTGGCTGAGCGAGAGAAGAGGTTGAGGATTTAGGTGATGACTGCACGTGTATTTCGATGTCGTTGAGGGCTGTTCGGCACGATAGACGCTGGTATGATTCGACTGAGCGCTGAGACGAAAGACGACCGAGTGGAATTAGTGGGAGAACCTGTAGGTGGGGAATGCGGAGGTCAGACACATCAGCGGAAGTGGTATGCCAACGTTATGCGAGACTGTGCGTCCTGTGATGTTTGCTTCTCCTGGACTGAGTGGTACGACTCATTTAGCACACCAAGGCAAAATGTAGAATCACATTTATATCACAAGGTCATGCAAAACGGTGAAAACAATGCACACAGAAAAAAGCTGAACGGTTATGTACTAGTACAATCAAGCTGATAGTGCCATGGCATGGGGGAAAGGGGGATCGAGCGCGTTATGGAAACACCAGAGACAGGTTGCGAGAGTATGAGTTGGATTCAGATGATGAGCTGAATGCTGCAGATGATACAGAGTGTGAATGCGACCTGGAAGACAATTGACTGTGGTAGATCAGTCCAATAAGGGTGAATGCGCAACCAGTGTTGTTTTTAACCCGGGTGATAACTGAATAGGTTATAACTGGTACATCCTGCGTTGAATTAACTGCGAATTAATTGGGGTTAATGGGGTTAAATAATAGTTAATTTCTACCAGGTACTAGCTACTCTGACTCGTCAATATCAATTGAAATCGTCGAGCTTGATGGACCGCTTCCCATGTCCAATGACTCCCGCGCTTCATCTTCGGGCAGGCGTGACATTAGTTCGTAGAATAATGCTTCACTCTCCATGTTTTTCACACCCTGGAACCAAAACTCGTCCCATCCGACCTCAACTGACCAATTGAACATGTCCCGGATTTGAAACATCCTCTTCTGACCAAAGAAACAACAAATTTGCCGTGGTCTGCTACCTTCCGCAGGGCGCGAGACGTCTTCTTCGGCTTCAAAAACTTCTCCTAACCCAGACGTGTAATTGTCATTGTCGTCGTCGTCGGCATCTTGCCGCAACTGCAGCGCAACAGCTGAAAACGAGGATGGTGAAGGGCCGTGGCTCTCGGGTCCATTCTCCGCAACACGATTTTCGTTGCCGTCGTCTAAATCGGACTCGTCAGTTAGCAACGTGTCAATGTCAGCATTCATGACGAGTTCCTGATCTTCCATACGGCTGCCAGTAGGATCACAGTCAGTCTCCAGAGGAGGGATTTTACCTGATTTTACCGTAGGTCATGATCGGTTCGTCCTATGAAACAATAACATGACCTCTCTGACTACACCATGATTAGTTTTACCAGAGTCAGATAGGACTGAGGTGTCGGTCCATCCAAAACAACTTGCAACCTTGGCAGTTTGAACTTTGAACTTACGAGTCATCTGCATCTTATTCGGGACTGATCTTGCAGTCTACTACTGAAGGGAGCGCCCGCGAGCACCCCCAGCGTCAACGCTGTCAAGCACGTGTTCATAATGGTCGCACCGCCTCGCATCATCCAAGTCGCTTGCTGTGTACCGCCACTCTTCTCTGCCCAGTCACCTCATACTCTTCCCAAATCTCACTGGGTTTACTTGGGATCCAATACAAGTATCTCATGTCAAAAGCATCAGGCGCTGACGACGCTGAGGATCAGCGCGCTCACAATGATGGGCACCCTCCCCCGAAAAATGACACCGTAGGATCCACAAATGAGTAAGTTGCGACTTCATGGAATCTGCCACCCAGCTAACAGCAAGACAGTGATGGGATAGAGGTTGAACCTTCAACGGTGTTGTCATCAGGGATGTAAGTGTTTTTGCCCTGGCGCTTCTGTGTCCCTGTTCACCAGAACTGCAGCTCAAACATCGGGCATTCCCAACCATCAGAACTTCACGTACAGAGTATGCCCAAATTGAATGTTGCGCCAGATGGCGATTTAACTCTGTAAGTCCATATGAATGCCGATGTCAAACAAGCTCATGTGTTGTCTCAGCGTGGGGGAGAAGGATGTGGTGGAGAAGGATATAGTGGAGAAGGACGTGGTGAAAAAGGATGTGGTTGAGAAGGATGTGGTGGAGAAGGACCAGCCAACTCTAAGCGAATTGTGAGCGAAAAATCAGCCGAGCGATCGTAGCTGACAACGTCCTGCACGCAGAGCAAGTGTCATGAAACAAGTATTGGAGGTTCTCCAGGACTCGACGATTGCGTCGAAGAGCGGCAAGGACCATTGCTCTCGTTTCTGGGGTGTGTACAAAAGAGTCGCAGAGGAGCACGACAGCGAGTTCCTTGAGCGATACACCAGCGATATGGACATTGTCTTGGTCTTCGTACGTGTCGCATGCCCATCCTCAACCCGCTTTGAGATTGATGTTTGATCAGTCTGGTCTTTTCTCCGCCGTCAGCACATCTTTTATTGTGGCGATGGAGTCCAATCTCAGTCCCGACCCCAGCGACACTACGAATGCCCTTCTCACACAACTCATACAAATCGGACTCGGGAACCTCACTGCAGCGGGTACTGCAGCCGCAGCACCAGGATCTATGTGGTCGCCGTCGGCAACAACTGTATGGATTCAAATGATCGCATATGCAAGCTTGTCCATGAGCTTGCTCGCTGCTTTCGGGGCCGTACTAGGCAAACAGTGGCTCGGGTACTACAAGTCGAACAGATATGGCCGTGGCTCACAAGAGGAACGAGGAAAGCGCAGGCAAGAGACGTTCGACGGCATTATCACATGGTATTTTGATGCTGTCGTGCAATCCTTTCCGGTCTTACTTCAGGTCTCCCTTCTTCTGTTTGGGATCGCGCTCGGGGCCAATTTGTGGACCAACCAGCCGAGCATCGCCTGGGTCATTATTGCTACAACGGTCTTCGGATTTCTATTCTATTCGCTGACCGTGATGGCATGTTTAATATCCCCCGCCTGTCCATTTCAAACACCAATATCGACGATATTGCGGATATTGCACATCGACAGTAAGATCATCTTGTGAATTCTGTTGGACGTTTCCTGACTGAATCAACATTGCAGGAGTTTTACTCTTGATATTCACACCAGCCTCCAGGTATTTCCAGCAGCTCATGACGTCAACACACGGTGAGCTACGTTTTCTTACGTGTCCACAGGGTTTGACCTTTTCTTGTCAGTTGTGCTGCGGCGATTGCTTGGCACCGTCAGATCGAGATGGACCCAATTGTCTGAATTATTGAGAGGTGACGTCCTTATCTACTATTACACAACATAACCAGTACTTATTTCATTCTCCAGGCCCTGTTCGTGCGGTCGGCGCATTCGCATGGCGATCTCTTCAGCAGTTATCCGCCATGCTTCATAACCTGCGTTCTTTAGTTCCGCGCTCTTCGACAAAGGTGGTGGACTCGGAAAGACAACCGGTCGACCAAAACCTGGGCATTTCGGCGGCGGATGAATGCACCCTCGCTCTCGACCTCCCTTACATACCCACTGCCGGTCTGGAAGCGCCTAGCATCAAGTGGCTGCTCGAGACGTCTATGGATCCTGAAGTGTTCCTCGCCGCTGCCAGCCTTGTTCCACATGTCGAATGGCCCTTGGATCTTGACGTGTCAGACATGCTGCCTCAGCTGTATGATATTTTTACAAGCTGCGTCGATATTCAGGACCAAATTGTACCGTCGTTGAAGGAAAAGGCCTCGGTATGTATAATGGCTCTGAGTCATCTATACTGCGGCCGTGTCCTTCAGGCATCCCCTGGCTATGGTGAATTTCTTGGCCGACGGGAAAGAGACTACGAGGCGTTTTCTCAAATACGCCGGGGGAACACTTATAAAGCCGACGGCATTGGGCTTTCCATAACTATGAATCTTTGTCCTCCGGAAGATGGCGATTTTAATATTCCATTCTGTCTTCTACAGGTGGAGGATTGTCCCGACTCTGTCTTGGAGTGGCTGTCGCATTCTCTTCCATACCATTTCGTTACTGGGCGAGTGAATCGAGTTGTAGAAGAACTCGCCGTAGCAGTGATATCACGACCGCTAAGCTCCCCATCTACTCTGTCGAATCAAATTGTCGCCAATTGCACTCTTCTCGCTTGTTTGATGATCGGGGTTCAATTTGACAAGAAGGACAAAGTTCGGATTGATAAAAGGTGCCATTGTCTTATTCGGTGGTTTTTCTGCGATCATTAACAATGAAATTGTGTAGTTCCGCTCTGCCTCAGCTCGCGCAGCCCCTTTTGACGCAGTTCCAAAAGGTTCTTTGGGCATGGGATGGAGGCGATGTCGACAAAGACAGCACAGGAGTCACACGCCGGGCATGGAAACTCCTTGACGTTATCTGTCGCATTATCGAGCCTGCTCGAAATTATTACTATATTTCTTCATCCCACACAATGCAGAATCTGGACGAGTGCAGGAAGATTTATTCACGAGCGAGGTCATCCGAAGATCCCTGGTATTTGTTTAAAGCTCAGCGAAATGCAATGCATTTCACGTTCGCTGCTGCCGGAGTATCTCGGGACCCAGCCCGGTTGTGGGATAGGCAATTTTGGGGGATAAATGATGTCCACTCGCCAGAAGACTTCGACTGGTTAGTGGACTACCTCGACTATATTAATTCCGACGACCACGAGACCGCATATGACATCCTTTTGCTACTGGATGGCTTGGGGACCCGCTGCAGCCCCGCTAAACAACATACGTTCATCAAGTGCCTCATCGCATGCATGGACGGTAACATGCCTAACAGTTTACGTCACATCGCTCTTCGCGCTGTTCACAGCGTCCGACAAGATATGGCATCAATTCATGCGATTAATGATGCAAGCTTACGGGACATGGTTTTGACCGAGCTCTCCCCCGCTATTCTGACTGCGGTTTGCCCGCGACTAGGTTCAACGCCCACCGATGATGGCCCTGACTGCATTTTCGATGATCTCATCGAATCGTGCTATCTCGAACTGGTTTTTGCCCTCGCGAGGAATTCCGACTGGCACTCCCATTTGTCTGGGGATAACCATATAGATCAGTGCATTAGCATGATTGCAGATCGCCGCTACATACTGCATGGATTTTACCTAGCTGGCATCCTCCTCCGTATTGCACCTGAACAGTGGTCGCCCACATCGCTTGATTCTATCACAGAACAGCAGTGGTGGTACGTGATGAGCAGTGCATGGATGTATGCATACCATGTCATTGACGACATCCACTGTTTCGAGTTCCTTCCCGACCTTGTGGAAGGCACGAAAAAGTACATGCGGGTTGCTTCGACATCTGATCTCCAGCTGCTCATCAGACATGTGGGCGATACTCTCGAAACACTGGAGAGCGGAGACCCAGAGCAGGGAGGGGGTTGCCGTTGCTGTGAGAGAGCTTAGGACTATGGCCAACGACATGCTTGAGAGGATGGTCAAAAGTGATGAAGTTCTTAGTCCCTGATTATCACGGTGCCTGCATTTTGTGCTAGGGTCCTGCGACCAGAGGAAGGAATGGCGCAATGCGAGTGCGGAAGGGGATACATATGATCAGGATCTGACAACAAGATCAATTTTGAATAATCAACTATTTCAAGTCCAACCAGTCTTTCATGTCAATCACTATCACCCTCACGAACACTATATACGTACATGGGGGTCAGCATCATATCAATTGCGTTAGCTGTAATCAGCACTTTCAGTTATCTTCTTCCACTTTCATACCCTTACTCATGGCGTGTAGCCTTCAGTTCCACCCATCATCCGACGCAAAACCCAACAAACAAAAAACAGACGGTTGTCTGAAACATCATAACTACATGCCGAACCACGCCTGCATCTGATTTGCACCCTTTAGAGACCACACTGGATCTCCCCAACTTACCTTCTCACATCACTTTGCTAACTTGGTTGTGGTCCAGTTACGATATAGAAACAGATCAGTTCATTGTTTTTGGCGTGTCTATGCTCAGTCACCTAGGTACATCTCTGTGGGGGTGGTTCTTCCTGCTTCAATGCTTACTGGCGCCATAAATGAGTGGGTATGTCGGAAATCCCCAGGGGTGCCTTGGAAGCATTCTATATTGGGACACAATTGGTGTGCCTGCCAACTGCATTGCGACCGAATTCCCAGGGGGCGTGACTTAATTTGAGGCACTTGCAAGCAAGGCACACGCTAATTTTGGATTCCAAGCAGTGGTGTGATTCGACGTTGACAAGTCTAAGTAATAATAAGGTAATCAATCAATCCTCGGCTTCACCTCCTCCCATCATCGTGTCTTCAGCTGCCTTTCTGTATATCTGTGTACTGCTAGATGGCCCCAAACAGAAACGCAGACCTGGGGCGTAAATATCTTGCTTCAACATCGACCAATAACCAAGTTGATTGTCAATACTGTACCAGGTCATTCGCAGCACGTGGGATCAAATCTCATGAACAGAGTTGTTTGAGAAGACGGGATAAGAAGAATGCTAATAAAGATTTCGCAGCACTTGCAGTGCATGCAGTAGAGGAGGAGCTTCAAAGGAAAGGTATGTGGTCATTGATCAATTTAAGTACTCATTAATAATATTGATACCTTATCGCATGATTGTTAGAGGCGCATTGAGAGAAACAGCGGAATCGTAGGAAGCTGCAGCAGACAACAGCTTCTGCTGCTGCTGCTGCGTTGGTCCCTTCGGGATCGGCCCTGGATGACGCAGAGTCCTTGCCCGCTCAAGATCAGCAACCTGAGGATTTTACTGCGCATCCATGGTCTGAAGGTGGTTCAGATCTCGTCGATATGAGCGTCAGTGGAGATGCACGCCAACGTATGTGCTACTCTGACTCTTGATGCGCCCCCCTCTAAGACCATCCAGGTTCGGCATCAGATACAAGCATGGGCACCGCGCCTATTCCAAATACCCTGTCATCACTCCCAACTATGCCTTCGGCTCGCTCCAATCTCGACACCTTCAAGACAGAGTACCACCCGCACAGTGGCTGCGCGACTTCTGTGGAGACGTTCTCCACTTTTGGACACAAAGAGCCTTCACAGCTGCCCATCATTGACGAACAACCCTGGCAACCCTTCGCTTGTCGCGCGGATTTCGAGTTCGCCGAGCTCCCACATGGCACTGCTTTGAACAAGAATCAGACAGATGAGCTCTTGCGGCTCATCTGGAGGATTGTGGACGGCCAAACGAACTTCACCTTCAAGTCGCATGGAGATGTTTCCAAAGCCTGGGATAGGGCAGCCGCTCAAATGACACCAGTGAGAGAATCACAAGATGTTCTTACTTTGCAGTCATATTGGTTGCCTTAGTTCGAGAAACATACCATCACCGTTCAGCACAAGCGAGAGGAGCTCGAGTACAACATGTATACGCGGCCATTGTGGGATTGGGCGCTGGACTTACTACAGGACCCTTTACTGATGCCCCACTTCGTTTGGGATGCGCAGCGATTATACAAGCATGACGGTACACGCTATGAGCGCTTTGTACACGAACCTTGGACTGCAGATAGGTGGTGGAATGTACAAGTATGCCATGTCTTACTACTATTGTTCACTTGTATCTAAGTAACACTGTTTTCTGTATGTTTGAATCACAGTCATCTTTGCCCGAAAACGGCGTGCCGTTTGCGTTTATATTATACGCAGATAAAACACATCTCTCCTCTGCTGGCACAGTTAAGAGTTAAGGCATACCCGGTGTTCGCTCGATGCGGAAACTTGCCCATTGGTATCAGAAATACCGATGGGCTCGGTGGTGGGTGAATGGTTGGGTGGCTACCAATAGTGAGTTATAGTGAATCTTAGTTCCGTCGAGTTTCACTGGCGAAACAATTCTTTCACGCAGGTTCCTGATGACTCCGAGGAGGATGGCAAGCTCACGTATGTCAATCTCAAACGGGTTGTATGGCACAAGTCATTCTTCAAGCTACTCGAAACTATTATAATGTATGCCCAGATGGGGTATGCGTATGTGTGCTATGATGGCATCATGAGGTGGCTATATGCGTTCATTCTGCTGTTATCAGCTGACTATGAAGAGCAGTACTTCATTTCGTACTAATTTCTGATGTCGTTTTCTGATTTAATCTCTCAACAGATGTGTTATGGCGCTTATACGAGGGACCAACTGTCACTGCCCGTGCCCTGTCTGTCTTGTCCCTTCGGACAAGCTATACGACAACACTTCCACTTACCCGATTCGATCGTCCAACGATGCAAAGGCTTTCATGGAGTTATGGACCAGGGACCGTGCGGCTGGAGAAAAGGCACTCAAAGAACAGGGCCTGCGGCCTGTTACGGTCAGCGCTTCCAATGATATGTACTACTAACAGTCGCATCTAACTCATTACATTATAGAACATCTTTTGGAGTGTCCCAAATTCCGATCCTCAAGACACGATTTCACAGGACCATTTGCATGTCTATCACATGGGCCAATGGAAACATTTGTTTGGTGAACTCAAACGGCGCATCGCGGCCCTTGGACGCAGCGCTGAGAAACAAATGGATGACCAGTGGGTTTTTAATCATTTATTATCTCACTCCGCACTATCAGACTAATCCTATTTATCAATTGCTCACAGATTCGATGCCTTCCCGCGATGGCGCAATTTAAACCACTTCGATCGGGTTACTAACATCACATATAGCGATGGCAACAAGCTTCGTGATATTTCCAAGGTACGCCGTGACTTTACAGCTATCAGTTCTTCGTATTGATGAAGTCGCTCCTCTGATAGCAAGTATTGTACGCCGCCCAGAACATACTTACGCACACAGAGGATGAAGCCGGCTATGTGCTACTGCAGTGCATAGCAAGCTACTTACATATCGACATGTATATTTCACTCGAGGTCCAAACCGAAAGCACAATTGCTGCAGGGAGGGCTGAGGTATTTGAGTTTCAGAACCGCTTAGAGGTATGTGCCACTGCGATTCTGAGACTAGTTCACATATACTAACTATTTATTCACTATCTCAGGAGTACATCAAAATTGTCAAAGAGACCGATCCTGACACGATCAAAAACTGGAACTTTCCTAAGATTCATTCCGGAAAGCACATATTCGATGACATCATGGCGAAAGGCACCGCCCGCAACTTCAGTACTCGACCCAATGAAAAGCAACACGGGCCAATTAAAAAGTGGTATCTACGGCAGACCAATCGTAAGAATATCGCTGATCAGGTATGTTAATTGGCATTTCTAACTTCCAAACGAGTCGCTCCACACCACTGACTCTGTAATATTAACTAATAGATCCTTGAGCTCGACCATAGGAGTGTTGTCTCCGAATTCGTTCGTAGCCGTATCGAGTACCTTGATGAGGAACGACGCAAAGCCCTGCTCTCGCGGGATGAACTCGAGGATATGGATGACGATGATGATGAGCTGTTTGAAGAACATCTTCATATTGGTTCACCCCTCAAGAATCATACAAGCTTTGCGCAAGTGGAGGAAGAAAACAAGTCATCGCGCGCCTTTCACCAGTTCCAGAAGAAGCTCGCAACATTTCTCAATCACTTCCTTCCCTCCCACAACATACCATTGCCAGATGGAACAACATGGTTGAAACTTAGAGCACATGACCAGGTGATTATCTTTCCTCGCTGTTATTCAAATCTGACTTTGCGTGTATCAACAGATCCATGAACATCGTTACCTTCAAAGTGCACTACGAGTCTGCCGCTGACTGGAAGTTGGCTACCGACTACCTGCGATGCAATACAAGCTTCCATGGCAAAGAATGGCGCGACTACGCCCTAATACGCACACAGGACAAGGATGGCCACGACAAAAATATCTTTGTGCAGATATTATACATGTTCAAGCACACTGTCGGTAGCAACACTTTAGATCTTGCGCTGGTCCTACCCATGGATGCCTTAATTGGCCCATTGGCACGTCGGCGTATGGATAGGGAACTACAACTAACTCGACTCCGTGCACGGCCCACCTCTTCGTCTGAGTTTATCACCCTTCATTCCATCATTCGTGGTGCCTTGGTCGTCCCCGATTTCGCTAACAAGGGAGATTATTTTCTTGTTGATTATGTTGATACTGACATGTTTCTTCGTACCAGACGTTTGCTACAGTAGTACCGGTTCATCACCCACCTGTTTCCTTGCGCCATCCAATGCCCCCCCTCCCCATCAAGATCTCAAGTAAAACTCCCGCATTTCATCGTGTACACCCTCCATCACCCTCCTCATCTAACCGCCAAGTCAAGTTCCCGCATTTCATCGCATATGCCCTTCCCCACACCAACCTGCACTCACCCTCAAATTCTCAAGTCAAGCTCCCGCATTTCATCGCATATGCCCTTCCCCACACCACCCTGCACTCACCCTCCAATTATCAAGTCAAGCTCCCGCATTTCATGGTATATACCCTTCCCCACACCAACCTGCACTCACCCTCCAATTATCAAGTCAAGCTCCCGCATTTCATCACATATGCCCTTTCCTGCACCAACCTGCACTCACCCTCCAATTCCCAAGTCAAGCTCCCGCATTTCATCGCATATACCCTTCCCCACACCAACCTGCACTCGCCCTCAAATTCCCAAGTGAAACTCCCGCATCTCATCGCATATGCCCTTCCCCGCACTGACCTGCACTTGCCTCAATTCCCAAGTCAAGCTCCCGCATTTCATCGCATATACCCTTCCCCACAACAACCTGCACTCACCCTCAAATTCCCAAGTGAAACTCCTGCATCTCATCGCATATGCCCTTCCCCGCACCGACCTGCGCTCACCCTCAAATTCCCAAGCAAAACTCCCGCATTTCATCGCATATGCCCTCCATCACCCTCCTCGTCTAACTCCCAGGTGAAGCTCCCACATTTCTTCACAAACACCCTCAGAACTTGACACTGACTCGTTTTGCAGGTCTGTTCTTGCTGCCTCATGTTGATGCTTGGGTACCTTCAGCACTGTCAATGATTCATTTCCGCTTTCTGCATGGGGACTGTAACACGCAATGCTTGTATTATGTATTCAGGTAAGCCGCAAAATATCATCACACAGGGTATCATTGGCATAACTGATATTATGTATCTGAATCAGTCCTGCAACATGTCAATGACGCACCGCACTATGACGTGCATGCCTGATGTGATGAGTCTCCATTTAATTTGTGCGTGTGATGTTGATGCTGATGCTGTTGCCTTATTACATCAACCGACGGGTCTTATTCTGACACAATCTAGACGACGCTGCAGTCTGAATTAAACAAGTCTAAGGTGTGTGTTTTTATCTTTATCTAATAGAACAATGTCACACATTACAGTCAACATTGCGATGGCCCCCATAACGCATGTCAATGTGAGAGTTGATTTAAAGCTTGTGCGACTGACTGAGACTCCAGCCTGCCATTCTTCGACTCTGCCTCACTGCGCTCTCTGCTAATACTGAGACTGATATTATGCATCCAATTCAGCAAGGCGAAGACTTTACGCGAGAAATTGAAGACATCAACAGCAACTCCAGTGACACAGACGGATCTGATGGTGATGATTCAGATTCAAATGATGATGCAGACTTATTGCGGATTCGCGATGCAATTGTCGCCCCCGCTGCTAATGCATCAACTCAAGATCTTCGCAAAGTAAGTTAATTCCGTCTTTTCGTTACATACGGACAAATGTTTGTGATAGTGATCATTGACATATCTACTATAGGCACTTGAACTTGCGCAAAGACTTCTTCTGGACATGCGCGGGAAGTACCGAGAGGCTTTGAAGAAGAACACTTTGCTTGAGGCAACAGTTTCAAAAGGTCAGAAGACGAAACTAACCAAGAATGACCTTGCCCTCGCCGCCAAGGAAGACAGCATCAGAAATCTTGGACGCAAGTTCTCTGTCACGCACTGCTTATGGGTCGAAACGTCTATCTTCCCTTTGCGTGGGCCACCTCCCAGAATCGACCTCTCGAGCAAGGAGCGGTGGCTCTCACTGTTATCGATTCAGGATGGCATTAAAGCCGAAATTTTCCAATTCATTCCCCCAGTCGACCACAATATGATGGCTCACAAAAACTTTGGCTCCCATGTATGCGCCATAATCTGAGACCCTCCTCAATCAACTGACCGTCTTTCCAGTTTGTGAAAGGTGTCAATAATGTTCGCGCTGAAATGCTCTCAGACATCAAGTCATGTGCAGCAGCGATTTTCAGTCTGGATGCCAAGTTCTTCATAAGAGGTTACGCACGGGACACAGAGCCAGCTTGCCGAACTCTGCTCCTCAACCCCCAAGGCATATATACAAAGTTTGCTCCAGTTCTTTTCCCGTGTCCAGACCGTCTCGCCAGAGATGATTTTCTGAAACATCGAAGCTTGTTTATGTAGGTTCTTCCCTTCCTTTAATTCCGCTAAACTGAATCACATTCATAGGTCTTGAAAGCATCCCTTTTTGGCCGATCTTCACTCGCTGCCAACGCAGTCCCCACTCCAAAAACGAAGGCCAAAATATGGGAGTTACGCGCTGTAACACCTGGCCTCATCGCAGCAGCAGCCGTTATTGTACGCTTCTTGTTACAATAACATACTTCGGACTGGGTACCCCTTATCTTTTCTCCTATCATGTACTACCATATGACGCCTTATCATCTTCTTGTACAGCATCCTTGATCGCCGTCTTATCTCGTATCTCTTATCTTGTACCCTGTACCCTTACCATTGCCTTGGTAGTCCTGCCCTGAACTGACCTTTACCTATAAGTAGTTGATCATCTTGTCTTGTATTCTCTAACTTGAATCTACTCAGTCTTCTGATAGACCTTCCTTGAGCAAGACAGCTCTCGTATATGATTTCACTAAAGATTCTTCGTCTTAAGTGCCTTTACTCGATCGATACCATTAGTCTTGTCTTTGCTTGCTGACTTTTGTCACCAAGTCTTGACCCCAACAATAACGATAACGAACCTCTGCATTATCGTCGTCTCACGTCGAGACTTAGTACAGAGCTCTTACCTGAGTCTACGCTTTCAGCGTAACAAAAGATTCAAGTTTCCTACCAGCTCCTCATATCTTGAGGGCCAATAGTCAAGACGTCTTCATTCCCAGAAGAAGATCCAGACGACGTTGTCCTCACCTCTGAAAGCTCCTCTGAAAGCTCCGACGATATCCCAGTAGAACCTACCCCAAGACAATTCTTTCCTCCTCCTCCGCCTAGAGGATTTGTTGTCCCACCTAGAGTACCCGTTGTTGGACCTCCACCAGCTCTACCCAGACCATCTACTCCAATTCTACCTAGACCACCAGTACCTCCACCAGCAGGACCATTAACCATGTCGAAAGTCCCTGAACTAAAATTCGGTTCTCCGAAAGATTTCGATGGCAATACATCCCAAGCAACCAGATGGATGTATAGCATTAAGGCATACCATTATGCCAACTCTGACACCTACTCCGACGACAAAAAGAAAATCATTACTGCGCTTGCATACATGAATGGGGGAACTGCCGCGCTTTGGGCGGAAACCTTCTATGCAAACGCATACAGTGGAGCGACCCCTTCCTTCGGATCATGGGCCGACTTTGAAACAAAGTTCACTACTGCATTCCAATCCATCGACATCAAAACCGATGCCTTAACCAAGCTCGAAGCTCTCAAGCAGACTGGAGAAATTTTTGAATATATCGCGGAATTTAAACTCCTCACCGCTTTAGCTATGGTTAGAGAGGAAGTCTCCCAGATGTACTTCTTCAAGAGAGGATTAAAAGATGGATTGAGGAAAGCGGTCCATGGATCCTCCGAAATCCCAAACACCATAGAAAAATGGTACACCGCAGCCACCCAGCAAAGTGCCAATTGGCAGATGGAACAAGCATTCAGGAGTGCAAACAATAGGAACAACAGCCAATCAAAGAGAGGATCTGGGAATCGTTCCAATCAAGGACGAAACAACTCCAGACCCACTTTCCACCATCAACGAGACCCTGATACAATGGATGTGGATAGAACCTTATCCCCCCAACAGCGTGATGACCATTTCAAGAAAGGTCTTTGCTTCAACTGCTCTCAGCAAGGACATCGCTCGAGGGATTGCCCTGAGAAGAAAACCAAGACTAGAGCCGCAGGAGCGTCTGAAGGAAAAGGGAAAGGAAAGGGAAGGGCTAAAACCCCTGATGATGAAACCGACGATGAAGATATGAATACCAACCGAGTGGATTTTTAAACAGAGGACCTGTATCAACGTCAGACTCCTCACTTTACGTGCTGTATACTAAAACTGTAGGACGAAGCAATGAATTTCGTGTCCCGGTGACACTCTTCTCTACAAAAAGCACGAAAACCGTTGAAACCACCGCTATCATTGATTCTGGAGCTGGAGGCTCTTTTATTGACAAAGACTTCGTCAAGAAACACAAGATTAACTCACACAAACTTCGAAAACCTTTCCATATCACCACGGTGGATGGAAGTAACTCGAAAGCGGGAATGGTGTCCCATTACTGTGTTCTTCCCATCAGGCTTGACAAAAGATGCATGTGGGGAAAATTCAATATCACCCAGCTCTCTGCTTGAGACAACATTCTCCTTGGAAAACCTTGGCTTTCCACTATGAATCCAGACATCAACTGGACAAAGAATACGATATCCCTCCCCTCATCACCCCGATCCAAAATCGTCGAGACCGAAATCAATCTTGAAAGAAGAAAGAACCACGTAGAACCCTTCTTATTCGAAGCCAAGAAAGCGATTATCGAAGAAGAAGAAACTGGTTCTTTTTACCCTCTCAAAACGCTCTCCGATGAGAAAGAGCATTGTATAGAAGAAATCAAGAAGAAGAAGAAGAAATCCAAGAAACCTGAAGAGACCTCTACCGAACTCCCTAATTTCAACGCAATGGAAGATGTATGTGTTGGTAACACCCAATTCCTCCCATACCCTGATAATATCACCACTTTTCCTCTATCCGATGACGAAGTTTTAATCAAATATGCTGAGGATGGAACCAATGTTCAACTCATCGAAAACATCACCTTCAACTCTCCCTTAACCCGTGACGGGACCTTCAAGAAAGAAACTTCTACCAGACAAACTCCGCTTAGGAACATTTGGATACTTGCTGCTTCGCAAGAATACACCAAGAC